AAAGAGATGATAGGCTTATGCTGATCAAGAGAGAGAGAAGATAGAAAAAGAAAGAGAGAGAGTAGATAGAAAAAGAAAGAGAGAGAGAAGATAGAAAAAGAAAGAGAGAGAGAAGAGAAAAGAAAGAGAGAGAGAAGAAAGAAAAGAGAAGAAGAGAAAAGAAAGAGAGAGAGAAAAGAAAAAGAGAGAGAGAAGATAGAAAAAGAAAGAGAGAGAGAAGATAGAAAAAGAAAGAGAGAGAGAAGATAGAAAAAGAAAGAGAGAGAGAAGATAGAAAAAGAAAGAGAGAGAGAAGATAGAAAAAGAAAGAGAGAGAGAAGATAGAAAAAAGAGAGAGAAGAGAAAAGAAAGAGAAAAGATAAAAAGAGAGAGAGAGAAGATAGAAAAAAAAGAGAGAGAAGAAGAAAAGAAGAGAGAAAAAGAAAAGAGAGAGAGAAGATAGAAAAAAAAGAGAGAGAGAAGATAGAAAAGAAAGAGAGAGAGAAGATAGAAAAAGAAAGAGAGAAGAAAAGAAAGAGAGAGAGAAGAGAGAAAAGAAAGAGAGAGAGAAAAAGAAAAGAAAGAGAGAGAAGATAGAAAAAGAAAGAGAGAGAGAAGATAGAAAAGAAAAAGAGAGAGAGAAGATAGAAAAGAAAGAGAGAGAGAAGATAGAAAAAAGAAAGAGAGAGAGAAGATAGAAAAGAAAGAGAGAGAGAAGATAGAAAAGAAAAGAGAGAGAAGATAGAAAAAGAAAGAGAAGAGAAAAGAAAAGAGAGAGAAGATAGAAAAGAAAGAGAGAGAGAAGATAGAAAAAAAAGAGAGAGAGAAGATAGAAAAGAAAGAGAGAGAGAAGATAGAAAAGAAAGAGAGAGAGAAGATAGAAAGAAAAGAGAGAGAGAAGATAGAAAAGAAAGAGAGAGAGAAGATAAAAAGAAAAAGAGAGAGAAGATAGAAAAAGAAAGAGAGAGAGAAGATAGAAAAAGAAAGAGAGAGAGAAGATAGAAAAAGAAAGAGAGAGAGAAGATAGAAAAAGAAAGAGAGAGAGAAGATAGAAAAAGAAAGAGAGAGAGAAGATAGAAAAAAGAAGAGAGAAAAAAAAAAAGAGAGAGAGAAGATAGAAAAGAAAGAGAGAGAGAAGATAGAAAAAGAAAGAGAGAGAGAAGATAGAAAAAGAAAGAGAGAGAGAAGAAAAGAAAAGAGAGAAGAAGAAAAGAAAGAGAGAGAGAAGATAGAAAAAGAAAGAGAGAGAGAAGATAGAAAAAGAAAGAGAGAGAGAAGATAGAAAAAGAAAGAGAGAGAGAAGATAGAAAAAGAAAGAGAGAGAGAAGATAGAAAAAGAAAGAGAGAGAGAAGATAGAAAAAGAAAGAGAGAGAGAAGATAGAAAAAGAAAGAGAGAGAGAAGATAGAAAAAGAAAGAGAGAGAGAAGATAGAAAAGAAAAGAGAGAGAGAAGATAGAAAAGAGAGAGAGAAGATAGAAAAAGAAAGAGAGAGAAGATAGAAAAGAAAGAGAGAGAGAGAAAAGAAAGAGAGAGAGAAGATAGAAAAAGAAAGAGAGAGAGAAGATAGAAAAGAAAAGAGAGAGAGAAGATAGAAAAAAAGAGAGAAAGATAGAAAAGAAAGAGAGAGAGAAGATAGAAAAGAAAGGGGAGGGAGAGAGAGAGAGAAGATAGAAAAGAAAGGGAGGGGAGAGAGAGAGAGAAATAGAAAAGAAAGGGGAGAGAGAGAGAGAGAGAAGATAGAAAAGAAAGGGAGGGAGAGAGAGAAGATAGAAAAGAAAGGGAGGGAGAGAGAGAAGATAGAAAAGAAAGGGAGGGGAGAGAGAGAGAGAGAAGATAGAAAAGAAAGGGAGGGAGAGAGAGAGAGAGAAGATAGAAAAGAAAGGAGGGAGAGAGAGAGAGAAGAAAGAAAAAGAGGGAGAGAGAGAGAGAGAAGAAGAAAAGAAAGGGAGGGAGAGAGAGAGAGAGAAGATAGAAAAAGAAAGGGAGGGAGAGAGAGAGAGAGAGAAGATAGAAAAAGAAAGGGAGGGAGAGAGAGAGAGAGAGAAGATAGAAAAAGAAAGGGAGGGAGAGAGAGAGAGAAGATAGAAAAAGAAAGGGAGGGAGAGAGAGAGAGAGAGAAGAAGAAGAAAGGGAGGGGAGAGAGAAGAAGAAAAAGAAAGGAGGGAGAGAGAGAGAGAAGAAAGAAAAAGGGGGAGAGAGAGAGAGAAGATAAAAAGAAAAAAGGGAGAGAGAGAGAGAGAGAAGATAGAAAAAGAAAGGGAGGGAGAGAGAGAGGAAAACAAAGAGAAGGGGGTAGAGAGAGGGGGGGATAGAAAAAATTATATGAAAAAAAAAAAAAAAAAAAAAAATCAAGAGCAGAGATCTCATGAACCCGGAACCCCAAAATTCTCTTACCATTTACTTAATTTTAGAAAGAAATTTAAAATAAAGAAAAAAAAGATGTTATTAATCAAGAACCTTTTGAATCTGAAGCTTGTCATCAACTGAGAAAGAAAAACCTGAAATGTGCATAAAATAATTTCTTTATTATTATTATTATTTTGTAAAGGGTAAAGGATATTGTCCAAATAGTTCTCCTGCACCCCATGGATTACAGATCAACTTTGTAAGCAAGTCACAAAAAAAGGCACTTCCCCCCCCATTTATTGTCTTCAGCTGTATAAAAAATTTATTTTGATATTTCTTTATTTTTATAGCTATATCATTCTGTAAATGAGAAATGTTGCCAAAGTTTAACCAGTGTTCCCACAAAAGGACATTTTATCACTGTTATTACTTTAAACTACTAAAACTTCCACGGCCATGTTTATTTACAAGATTATAAAAATATATGACCCAAGTACAATGAGATATTTATTATTTACCATTTTATAAACAAATAGATTCTCAAAGAAATATTTTTATTCAAAAATTTATAAAAACTTACAAAAATTTTCAATGACTTGTATTCTTTGCCATGGTTGACAAAACATCAGTAAATTGCAAATTGATTCAAACTTCATAAAATGGTAAATAATAAAAGATTACATTATTGTTGGTTCACATATTTTTAGGATTTAGTAAATCTTTTTTTTTTTTTATAAAATTTATGAATAAAAAAAAAAATTGTTTTCTTTTTATAAATTGGTAAATGATAAAGATTGCATTGTATGTAATTTTAGTTGGTTCTTGTAAATAAACAATCTAGTAATGTTTAATATTTTTATTGTAAATTCTCGAGAACAAAGAAAATGTATGAATTCCATTTCATATGTTAGGGTTTTATTAAAATTCTAATCATTGCTTTTTAAAACAAGCGTTGCCGAGAGAGCAAAGGTTAAAAAAAAAAGAAAAAAAAAGCTGTGTCAAGGGGAAAAAAATGTTCTTTTGACACTCCATTTTATTGTGGTCACAAAGGTTAAACTTTGATGAAATGTCATTCTAGATTTTATCTTGTCAGTAAACAGAATATTTAGAAATAAAAAATATTAATGGGGATATTTTCATATTTTTCAGTTGTAGAATTGAAAATTAAAAAAATTAACATACTAAAAGATGGAAGACAATTATTCTTTCATTCTAGATTCTATTTATTCTTTCTTATTAATAAAATACAAAGTAAATTTGATTTCCAAATATAAAAAAAAATAAACTAATTGATTTACAATTAAACACTAACTTCTGTATTAGAAATAAACATTTAGGAGACAAATGATTAGCTCAGGTTATTCGATAAAGGGCTCAGTTTGAAATTCCTCAATGTTACCCAGATTAAAAGTCAACTGAAGGCTGTAGGGTACTATAAACGAAACAATAATAATAAACAAATGTATAGACATTAGTCTAAATGTGAATATAATAAATAAATTGTAGTAGTTGAGCAATTTTTGTTTGCGTTCATGTAAAATACTGAAGTCAAATTTAGACTTAACTGACATAAATTTAATATGTAATTTTTTTTTTTCTTCTGCTGCTAATCTTTAATGGATGTATGGGTTGCATGATGGATAGAGGCACAGAAAATGAATCTGGCAAGCCAGGTTCAAATTCCAGGCTTCTCTCTTGTGTCCATTTTTGCAAAAATGTTTTTGGGAAAAGCATGAATCTGTCTTCCTCCAGCTATGGGTTAAATAGTTAAGTGGACCTTGGATGGCAGTCAGTCTAAGAGAATTTAAAACTGGAGAATGCAATGATAAACTACTCCACTATCCAAGAATGCATGGCAATTAACAGTAAAGGAAGAATAAAGAAATCTCTGAAGAGTTGTGAGAGAGAGGAAAAAAAAAAAAAAAAGATTTACATATAAAATTTCTGCTACCAAGGAAGTACAGATTTTTTTTTTTTTTTACCCTGTATAAAAGAAAAAAAAATAATAATCAACTATTACAATTTGCATACTTTATTTACATTTAAACATATCACTATCTTTGTTGTTATTATCCCACCATTTTGACAGTCATACTCTACAGCCTTCTCCAGGTCTTTTTCAATCCAGGTAACCTTCAGGTAATTTTAAAACGGAACTCTTTATTCAATCTATCAAGATTGATTGTTCTCATTTTTCTGACCCTGTCAAGTGATATCTAGTCTTGTTCTTATTTGGTATTGCTGACCCTCTTTTTAGTGAATCTAAGTTGTTACAACCCAGCTTGGGGACTGAACTCACAAGGTCACTAAATTCATGAACCAACACTTTAATCCACCAGACAATTGTCCAGTGAGAGACATCCTTAAACACATGCAGTGGAATGATAACAATCTACCCCATGTAGATTAATAAAAGTCTTGGTTGAAAGTTCCCCAAAGGTTACCTCCAAATTGACAGCCACTTAAAGAATGTCAGAAGCCTCAACAGCTGACATGTTAGAATGGTGGCAAAGATGAGGACATTAATCCGAATGAAAATAATGAGAACTTAACCTAGCAATTTATTAGTGTTTATCATGCTAATTGCTAACAAGATATCCAGAATAACATTTCTTTAGATTTCAAATTTCAGTGCATCATAAAAAAAAAAAAATTAAAAAAAAAAAAATGAAATTTAATCTTCTGTTTCTCTGTTGATAATCTCCTCAAAACTAAATGGATTGAATTTGTAGCCTTCTCCACCATAGAATTTGTTCTGGAATTCCACCCTGAAAAAGAAAAAAAAATATTTAGGAACTGAAAGTGATCCCCCACAACCACCAACAACTTTTTTTTTTTTAATCTGTTGAAAATTCCACTCCAGTCAGATGAACACTTGCTTAGATAAAGAGGTCAGAGTTCTATCCCTAGTTCCTTTGTTTTTATTATTGTTATGAGGGCATAATGTTGGGTTGTCCCTAATAAATAAGTCACCATGTGTGCTAATACAGTATATGTGTTTCTTTCTTCAATTTATCCTCTATTCTGGAATATGAAGTTGAATACCTGCATTCACACAAAACAAGGTATGTCTATATTTGCTACCGAACTTGATTGGTAATTTACTAACATTATCTTCATTATTGAATAATCTATATATTAATACTAAAGCTCTAATCTTGTATGTACAAGGGTCAGCTGGCAAGTTCATAGGCTGATCAAGATATACATGTAAATAGATGTACCAGTTGGCAGACTAAAAGATATGCATTTTATTGTCAACCTATGAACAGCCAGATGAACCTTGAATGTAGATGTGTTCCCAAGATACAGCTTAAACGATACATAATAACCCAACAAATTTAGGCGCATTGTACCTTGAACCTCTGAAGTGCACAATTTTATTAAAATTAGACAAGGTGTTCTTTTGCTAGGACAGTTTTTCTGTTTATACAGCATTTTTAATAGGAAATTCAGTATTTGTTTTCAATACACATTCTTATATCAATCCACATATATAAACAAACACTTTTGGGCACCTTGGCATGGTGTAATGGTTAGCAAGCTTGTTTTGCTAGAACCATTACAACCGAGTAGTGAATTCAATCCTCACTGGGTGCCCCATGCTTTCGGCCCTGTGCCACATCTAAGCTATGCTTAGAAAATCCCTATAAACAAACACTTGCATATATTCCAGCTTTTATATATGTGGAAAATAATAAACATGTAAAATACATTATGACAACATTATTAAATAAATTTATATAATATATTTATATTTTCCACCACATTATATTAGAAAGTGTTTTATAAACAACTAGCAGTAGAGCCCGGCGTTGCCCGGGGATATAACAGTAAGAGATAGATCAAGTATCCACCATCATAAAGACTGAAAAATAAAATTGACAAAGATTATTGTTTAAGGTTGACGGACACGCATGTCTTAATTAGTTTTTTTTTTTTTTTTTTTTTTTACGAATTGGTCAAACATAAACACAAACATTGTATTCAATCATTATGAGTCTCCCGATTGAATAGAATAATTTTATAAACAATTGTCTTGTAAATGGAATCTTTAAAGCATTCTGAATATAAAAATAAAGAAAAAAGTGTGCAAGACAATAAGAAACACTACATGCCCAAAAAAAAAAAAAAAAAAAAAAAAAAGTGAAGTTTTGTTGAAATCGGTTGAAAAATGTAGGTAGCCTTTCTGTAATCTTTTAGTTTTACAATTTATGATTTTTACTTATTGAATACAGTAAAAAAAAATTGCATATTTTGCTTGTGGTGATTCATAATTAGAATTCTGATTTGAATATATTTTCCACTTGTTGTTTCTAATACAAAAAATATTAACTTTATTTGGGTTTATTAATTATGATCTAACAAATCTTTTATGATTTTTACTTATTGAATACAGTAAAAAAATTGGACACCATGTGTATTTAAAGTAGTTTCCGTTCGGTTATTATTTTTAGTTAGGACTTGTTTAGATTTCATTATCTTTCCTAAAGATAAAGAATTTATCCGATGTTTGTATTCGTACAATCAGTAGAGATCGTTAGATTATTGTTTAAGGTTGACGGACACGCATGTCTTAATTAGTTTTTTTTTTTTTTTTTTTTTTTACGAATTGGTCAAACATAAACACAAACATTGTATTCAATCATTATGAGTCTCCCGATTGAATAGAATAATTTTATAAACAATTGTCTTGTAAATGGAATCTTTAAAGCATTCTGAATAAAAAAAAAAAAAAAGTGTGCAAGACAATAAGAAACACTACATGCCCAAAAAAAAAAAAAAAAAAAAAAAAAAAAAAAAGTGAAGTTTTGTTGAAATCGGTTGAAAAATGTAGGTAGCCTTTCTGTAATCTTTTAGTTTTACAATTTATGATTTTTACTTATTGAATACAGTAAAAAAAAATTGCATATTTTGCTTGTGGTGATTCATAATTAGAATTCTGATTTGAATATATTTTCCACTTGTTGTTTCTAATACAAAAAATATTAACTTTATTTGGGTTTATTAATTATGATCTAACAAATCTTTTATGATTTTTACTTATTGAATACAGTAAAAAAATTGGACACCATGTGTATTTAAAGTAGTTTCCCGTTCCGGTTATTATTTTTAGTTAGGACTTGTTTAGATTTCATTATCTTTCCCTAAAGATAAAGAATTTATCCGATGTTTGTATTCGTACAATCAGTAGAGATCGTTAGATTATTGTTTAAGGTTGACGGACACGCATGTCTTAATTGTTTTTTTATTTTTCTAATTGGTCAAACCCAAACTCAAACAAAAAACATTGTTTTCAATCGTTATGAGTCTCCCAATTGAATAGAATTTTATTATAAATAATTGTCTTGTAAATGGAATTTTAAAGCATTCTGAATGTTAAAAAAAAAAGAAAAAAAGTGTGCAAGAAACACTACCAAAAAAAAAAAAAAAAAAAAAAAAAAAAAAAAAAAGTGAAGTTTTATCGGCTGAAAAATATAGGAAATCTGCTCCCATATTTAAAGAAACCCACACACACAGAAACAACCCGATCTGAGTTGTCCCCCTTCCATTTTCACAATGTCTCTTAATCGTGTTTTCAAATTGATTTTGTGCAAAAACAATTATATTTTTCCCATTTTTGGCGCTGTTAGAACCACCACAAGGTAATTTTATGTAGTCCTGTGAAGTTTTGTTGAAATCGGTTGAAAAATGTAGGAAATCCGATCCAATATATAAACGTTACAGACACACATACACACACGATCTGCGTAACATTATCTCAGATGTTTAGCAAGTGCTTGATAGGTGAAGATGCTGTGTGGGTCTGTCATTGTAAAATCTGTATGACTGGAAAATTGTCACATGACTTGATGGTAAATAAACAAACAGATGCATGCTGGTTTGCCACTTATGTATTTCAAAATAGATATGACGAAGAAACCAGTATGTATAATAAAAAATATAATTAGTATTTTGAAAACATTACATAGAAAAAAATGAAACTAAGTGTACAAAAAGGAGGCATCTGTACTTTGTTATTTCAATAAATACAAATCTCTCTCTAAGATGATTACCGTCTGTTTTTGGAATTACCTTCACCTTGAAGATTATAATATAGTAAATACTAAATTGCTATAAATTGCCACTCTGGGACTAATATTACTTGAATAAAATAAATTTTATCTTATGACCTTCATTGGTTTTAAAATACTTGTGAGTAAATATTAATTTGTAAGGTGAAGTGATCATAGCTATGAGGTAATTTTAATTCCTACTGTATATAATTTATTTGCTCTGTTAGAATAAATACATTGAGCTCTCTTTGTGGATCAGTTTTAATATTTTATTTGGATTCATTTGGATCATAACCAATGGATTATTACCTGTATATATATTATAAATTTACTTTTTTAAAAATATGGTTCCATTGCTACACAGAAATTACCATGTTTCCAAAACAGAAACTAAAAACTTCAAATTCAATTATAAAATTAAATTAAAGTTCCTAGTTCTGTTTCATTTTCAAGTGAATTTTGGAATAACTTATTTTGAAATTTACTGAGTTTTATAAGTAAATGTCGGCAGAAACTAGCTATTTCATTTCTTTGATTAAATAGATTTTTATTTTTTATAAACCTAGTAATATATAGTTTCTCATATATGCACAAAGGACATGGGTCATTTAATGACCTACATATTAGCTTTTCTTATTAATTTCCATTTCACAGTAGGTGTTTTATTGGTTTCTTTTAAGTGCCAGAAATATTTTGATAGGGACGCCTGATTTCTTTCTGTCGTTAAAAAAGCCCAGATGACATGCGTTGAACGGATGTCATCATTTGTTTGAAAAGGCACCCATACCCCACCTTGACTTAACCTCTTTTCGAAAGTAACTAATACGTTGATACAATAGTTGTCAGTGAAAAAGAATACCCTACCGCACCTTGTAAAAATGATTGGATTTCCCCATGTCCATAGAAACTAATATCATGAATGTATGTGCTTATAAAACTCAGTAAATTTCAAAATAAGTTATTCCAAAATTCACTTGAAAATGAAACAGAACTAGAGACTTTAATTCTATAATTGAATTTGAAGTTTTTAGCTTCTGTTTTTCGAAACATAGTAATTTCCGTGTAGCAATGGAACCATATTTTTAAATAAGAAAATTTATAATATTTATGCTCTGTAGATTTGCATTGAGCACTGTTTTGTAAAAATAAGAATATTAATAAGAACACCGGATTATATATCTTACTGTTCTTTCTCTTTATTATTATTATATATTATATATATATATATATTAGGACTTCATGGGACTAAATTTGTAAATGTTGGTGTGACTATATGAACAAGGGATGCTGGGAATTTAATTTTTTTTTTTTTTTTTTTTTTAATCTAGCATTTTCACTTATATTTCTTTTTCTTTTCTTTCTATCCCTTTTGTTCATAGATGTTTTCTCCTTTGATCAGAACAGCATTTATTATGTCAAAGTTGTGGTCAGTCTTGTTACGATGAGCAACCAATGCATTTGATATATTGTTTCATAAAATGTTGCTTTTGTGTTGAGAAACCAATTCCCTGCAATGTAAATGTCTAGAAGGTGCCATGATCCCAAGGTCATCTACAGTAAATTTGCTCTTATGATTCCTGGCAGAACTTCCATTATACAAAAGTGATGGAAAGAAAAAAAAGGAATTCAAATAAAATTCGGTAGATTAAAATTTAAATAATAATAATTATAATTTTTTTTTTAATTCCCAGCATCCCTCATAAATTTCCTTATATATCTATTCACACATACAATACAATATTACTGTCAGTTAATTATGTGCCATGAGTGATACACACATAGGTGATCATGTATCTTTCGATACATGACTGACAAGGCAGATTTTTTCCTGCAGTAGGTTACCATTTCTTTCTGTGGGAGACCAGTTGCCATTCCAGTCTGTCCTCCATAGCTGGAGGTAGAAGACTAATATCTTTCTCAAGGGTATTAGCACATAAGTTAATGTAATGGATCCAACTGGAATTCGAACTTGGCTCTCAGATTCCTCAATCCAAGCCACTATCCATTACTCCACCATGCCTCCATTGTACTCATTAATTTATAACGCATGAATTTTACCATTATAAGTACATTAGATATATAGACCTAACCTGTTATTTATCTATTTAGTTTTGCACCTTTATATTATATTTCTAATCTGCATTATAGTTTATGTTAATAGACATAACTTGGGTTAACCTCCACCCCTGCCACACACAAAAAAAATAAAATTATTCCTCTTGAAATATTGTTTACTTTTAAAGCCAAATAATTTTTTTTAATTTATTTTTTAATTCTTCAACATTAGAACTTATGAATTTGAATGATATAAATTATTAATAGTTAATTGTATATTTTAAATAGATAAGTTTGTATAGAGAATTTTGAATCATCATCATGAGAAAGCAATAGATAATGGTCAGAATCTCCACACCTGAAGATTGCATTAACTGCATGAAACTCCAAGTAGTGTTAAAAAAAACAAAAAACTGTTTGTTATTTACTGACACCTAAACTGATTTACATATAAACAAACCAGCCTATTCTTTCAGTAGAGACAAGAGAAAATATACTTTTTTTTTTTTCTTTAGTGTTTTTTTTAGCAAAAGATAAACTTACCAATGTAATCTGAGGGCGTGGAGAAAGGCTGAGAGGCCCTCCATAATGAGGAGCACAGCAATGGTGAGAAGGGCCCAGGCACCAAAAATGACAAGCATTACAATGCTTCCTGCATAGCCAATATTCATGGACAAACCAATTTTCATGACCATGTTCCATAATACTTCAGATAATTCTGAAAAGAACAAAGTTGTCATTTGTATACGATGTGTTAAAAGAAGACAGATAAATTGCATCACAAAAAAAAAGAATTTCCTCACATGGAATTTTTTAAGCATTTTCTCAAAGGATAAAGTCAGAAATTTATAATGATCCACCTGGTGTGAACCCGGATTGTAGTACCTTAATCAATAGCAGCCCGGAGGGCATAAAAACAGATGAACCTTTAAGTAACTTGTTTCCTGTTATTCCTCTTTTTGAAGTGCGTACCATCAACTTTTCACACCAAAGCAAAAAAAGGGCTGTGGATGTTTCATATACGAGTCACACCTCCATAGGCGAGTGACACAAATACATTAACAATTTTCATTGTGCATTCCATTTATTTCTAGCTGAAGAACTCTTAAACTTTCCTTTTATTTTCATTAAACAAATGTTATCTTGTATTGTACCTCAAATGGTCGCTGTTGTTTTGTTTATGCACTATTTCACCACCATTATTTCATGTAAAATATACCCATAGAGACCTTATACCTTAACCTTTAACATACTGCAGGCAAAAATTGTCACTGTAAAATTCTCTCCCTTTGCTACTCTAGGCACATCCTGTTGCCTTGAGACGGTTGCTATAAATAACACACTTGTCAACTGTTATTTCCAGTATTTTAAGCTGGAAATCGCCTACTACATTTTTGGAACAAGGTTAAACTTCTGTTTTATTCAGTTTTTCTTTGCTTAAGACTGATGATGATTTTGAAGGCTTTACTTGAGTGGATATCGACAGTGAAGTAGTTGAAGATGATAACCATGCTAGCAAACATGGAAGAAAGTGATGATGAACACTAGCAGCTACTATCATCCATGCCTGACTCATTTTATGGAAGCTACTAGCGACCATCAATATACCTGATCACCTTTCAGAAGGTGAATTAATTTATCTATTTATAAATGACAAAATAATAACTTAATAATTTGTCAATGAGACAAGTGAAAGAAAGAATAAACAAATGCTAGTGTCTTCTTGTATGTAAACACGAGGAAACATGCCACATTTTTGGCAAAATGAAAGCCTTCTTAGTGATTTTGTTTCTTATTGCACTCCCAGAACTCCACAAGGAATAATAAAAATTAAAGTACATTGAATTATTTATGTATTTTTTAATGAATTTGTTTTTTATTTCATGTTTCAATTTTGTTTTCAACGTCAAAACATGCATGCAAAACATAATGCATTACATCAAAATATTACTTATTCCTCAAAAAAAAAAAAAAAAAAAAAAAAAATGCAATGAAAGAAATTAGCGTGGTAAAGGTTAATTATAAAAATAGCTGACACACTAAATGATAATTATACTATATTTTAAATGAAAAGAAATTGCGCTTTAGAACAGCTCTTTTGTCTTAGAGAAGCTTTTTATTTTACCTTCCATATGACTGATGCTAACCTCCAGGAGAGTTACTCATTGCACCTTCTGAGGTTACTGTTTTCCACTGACATGGAGTGGAAAGATTATATTGAATCAATTTCTAGGTCTGCTGCCAGGAAAGTTTGTTCACTGTGTCATATAGACAGTTTTTTTTGCAATAGAATTTATTTTACACATTTATTAGTCTACCATTCACCTTGCCTTGAATATTGCCATTAAATCTGGCCTGGTGCTCCTGCTATGCATTTAGGGATTCTGGAGAAAAGGCAAAGAAGAATCTGCAATGTTATAGGTTCTGACTTGGCGTCTTAACATCAGTTACTTTCCCATTGCCGTAATGTAGCTTTCTGCTGCCTTTTTTATAAATATTTTCATGTTAATTGTTCTGATTAGCTTTACAAATTAAAGTGCAGTACTAGATTGGTAGCTAGGTCTCATTTTATAGCTGAAATGAGCTAGATGTAGCCATATGCTAACAGTTTCTTCTCTTGCATTTTTTGCTTGTGGAACTCTTCCAGCTTTTTGTTTTCCAGTTAATTATGATCTTTGAAAATTTAAATGCAATGTCAATTGTTATCTACTGCCTTAATTCCTGTTCTTTTATTGTTTGCACACCTTAATGTTGGTTTTCTATTTTCTTATTCTTTCACACTCAGTTACCCTTTGTGTCTTGGTGGCTTTACTGACTTTCTTGGGGTGAAATGATTAAATAAATAAATAAAATGAAAAAAAAAAAAAAAAAAATTATGTACTCACCAGCATGGGCAAGACTCAAGGCCCACAACCGAAGATATGAGGCTGTGTTGGATATGCAACCAAGACAATATTCAATCGTATGAATTGCTTGGTGGACCAATGCATCACTAAAATTAAACTGTAAAAAATAAAAACAACAATATTTAATACATTTATATTTTGTTCAGTTAGAGTTTTATTTTTTAATTTCTTAATTTTCAGTTTCAAGTTTTTCCTTTTCAAATAAACTGATAGGCACCATTTATTTTTTCCAGTTTTTATAACAATGTTCAGGTTGTTTTTTGGGGTTTTTTTGGCAGGGGGAGTCATACTTCAACTATGAAATAAGCAGCTTCTAATTTTTTATTCTTATTTAATGGCTATAGTCTATGAAATGGAAAGTAACTGAAAAAAAGATGAAATTATTAGTCAAAAATTAATAATGGTTGACATGACTTCATTTAATAATAAAACTTAAGATAATATTACTACTTGTTTAATGAGGGATTGCAAAAAAAAAAAAAAAATAAAGATAAAAAAAAAGGTAAGTGAGATTAAAATGGAAGAAATACCAGTCATAAATTAATAATGGTTGACATTACTTCACTTAATAAAATTCAATATTACTAGTTTACTAATGGCTATAGAATGTGATTTGTGAATGAGACAAATATGCTAGTCAACTGAAAGAAAGAGCAAACAAATGGTGGTGTCTACATGTTTGCAAACACATGGAAGGACCTCACTTGTGACGAAATGAAAGCCTTCTTAGCCATTTTGCTTTTTATTGCACCCCCAGAACTCCACAAGGAGTAATAAAAGTTAAAATATGTTAAATTGTTAGTTTATTTGTTTTTTTATGTTTCAATTTAAGTTTTCAATGTCAAAACATGCATGCAAAACGTAATGCATTACATCAAAAATATTACTTATCCATTCGTTTATTAGCATCCAAAAATCAAATCTATACACACAATACAAAAAAAAGTTATAACAATTTTAAAATCGTAGGCGTTCATGTTTCTGTGCCCCTAAAACAAAAAAAAAAGAAAAAATAAAAAAATAAAGAACAGTTCAAGAAAGAATTTAATGGGGTAAAGGTTAAAATGTGATTTTAGCCCCACTTTTGTGGAGGGGCCAATATGTTCCCCTGTGTATATTGAAAGACATGTCAAAGTTTATGGTCAGATATTTTCTGCTGTAATTATCGCTCCTGGTGACATTCAAGGCAAAATAGTACAATGGCTTGCCAGTTCCTTTTGCACCAGAGATGTTTTGGTTACCTTGTCCTTCCTCTCAGAAGTTCCACCACCTACTGGTAAAGATGTTGACCTCTGAAGTTGTTGACCTCTGAAGTTGTTGACCTCTGAAGTGCAGCTCCTACAGTCTGGTAACAGGCAGATGGCCACTTGGCACAGATGGGATGGGGACAGGCATTCTCCTTCTCAGGTTGGATCATGAAACACTTCTGACTACCTTCAGTTTACCCAGCAGGGCAATGCCATTGATCGGTGTACTCATGCAATTTCTTGGAGACACGTGAGAGTTGGATGTAGGCCACATCCAAATCCACCCAAGTAAAGCAGGGTTAAAATTGTGTAAATTAATACCCAAAGCAAAACACAGTAGAGCCCACTTTGTGTTTTGCAGTATTACCTTCCAGTTTTCTTTAGAAGGACAAAAAAAAAAAAAAAGTCCAAAAAGTGACAACAGCTTTTATATGAAATGATAAACAAATTGTCAATTTGGAGTTTTGTACCATCAAAAATTCAATGACCATAACATCTAAAATTGAAGCTTATGTAAATTTGTCTAAAATGTTGGTAATCAACTGTTGAAAGTTTGCAGCCTACCAGAAGGCAAAAAAAGGCAGACAAAAAGAAAATAAAAAAGCAGAAAATGCCTCCTCCACCACCCACCCACCCAAAAAAGAAAAAAAGTTTATCTAAAAAAACCAACTGGAATTTGAACTTAGCTCCATGATACTGAGCTACGATCCATTACACTGAAACTGAGAGAAAAGAAAAAAAAAACAACTGAGAAATAAGCACTTACGCCTTCTCCACCTTCAGCGTGCAATTCTACAGATTCATCAGCCACATTTTCAATTACACTGCCATCCATTGTTCCATCAAAATTAATTGCATAATTACCATCTCTGGCTGCATTATGAGATGAATTCATATACTAAAAAAAGAAGTTTAAATAAAAAAAATATTTTAAAAACATTAAGATAATAATGACAAGTGATGAATGAATAAAATATGATAGCAATATTAAAGTAATTTTACAATTGTATTTTCTGAGGTTTTTGAAAAATTTTTATTGCTATACTAGACTACCTGTGACCCGTTGGATCACTGATGGTTCAGAAGATGATTTCAACCTTCCATTGAAATGAAAGTTAATTTTATTATGAGTCTGTTAAATATTTCAATTTATTTGTGCCATCATTGGTCTGGTTTAGAAGCTAATGTTTAACGTTTTACTGATTAGTTATAGCATTTAATAGGAATAAAACTTCTGGGGTAAACTAAATTAAATTAACTTAAAAATATTTTTTTAATATACCAAAAATATTTTTAAATCATATTCAATTGAAAACATATGTTTTAAGTATGCCAAAAATTATTTTTAAATATTTAAAATATTGTTTGTTTAAAGAAAGCTGAAATATAAATAATTACTCTACAAACAACTGGGAGAAACAGCAAAGCGGGATCTCTTTGTGTCTGTCTTTTACTTAAAACTGCAGTAATTAAGAAAATTGTCTGTTTGAAGAAAGTAAAACAGAAATAATTACTGTATAAACAACTCATATTTTTAAATCTTACTCATTAGATTAGATTAACTTAAATCATTATGCACCGGACGGATGCACCACACAAACATGAATGCAATCACAGACTTTTAGTATTATATAGCAAGATAGGTATATAGATTTTTGTAAGAAAAAATTCTGCTTTTTAAATCATTAAAAAGCAAAATATCCAAGTAACAAAACCCCAAAAAGTGATATATTAGTAGCCTAGTCTCCCCTACTTAGTAATGACATTCACTTAAAGACAGAAAGTAATGTCTTCTTTTATCATAACATTGGAATATTTCATTACCAAGACTGAAAAGATCAGGTTGCAGGACAAATATATATATATATATATATATATAATGTCATCCACAGACAGACTGTTTCGCAGCTCTTCAGTGTGGCTAGACGTTCGGTTGCCTCTAGCTATATATATATATATATATATATATATATAGCTTTATGTGTAAAATTTCAGATAGACTATATCTGTAAGAGAGCAATATGGGAAACTTATCTTAGCCTATGTGTTTTGTTCTCTCATGGACTTTATCAAGTACCTCAGCAGACAAAACATGTTAAAGTTTTCCTTTTGTCTTTATTCATATAGCTTTATCCCATCATATAAAGAATAATTTCAGTTTTGAGTTAAATTCTTTGAGGTATTTTTTTTTTTACTTCTTCAACTTGTTTGAATCTGTTCCCCAACCAAAGAGTGTTTCATGATAGTCTAGAAGGGAAGAGGTTTAGAGAATTAGCTACATGCAGAAGAACTTCCCATCCAACCACAATGATTGTCATGTTACATTTGTAACTTAAGAGCAGGTTTTATCATGAAGTAAATATCAATGATCAACTTATTTGCTCAGAAAACTTTTTTTGCTTCTTCCAAATGTTGCATTCAAATGTAATCCAGAATTCACCCCTTATTTTTTTGCAACTGAAGCCTTCACAAATTCTTTTATTTAAACTTCATTGTCTTAAATTCATTCTTCCTTTGTCTAGCTTCTACTGAATTCCCTGATGAGGATAAAATACACATTTTGTATTCATCAAAATAGAATTATCACTTTTCAACAAATAATTTGGAACTACAGGAATCCCTTGATTAATGTGTTTTTGATTAGTGCGCTAAGATTTTTCTATATTAAAATTCAATTTGTGTATACATAATACATTTAGTGCAAAGAAACATTCTTCAGTTTAACCATAGTAATTGAAAATGGATTTTTTTTAGGTACAGATTCATTAAAAAACATTAAAAATTTTATAAAATTTAAAAATGAAAAATGGGTAACTATTTTGTTTGTTAAGTATTATGTTATCTAAGTAATTCAATATCTTCATTGTTCCCTTGACTTTTGTAGTCAGAGTGAATCCAAATACAGGAGCCATATTGAATATCCTCCACAATGATCTATCAATGACAACCATCAACAATTCTGGTGTAGCCATACTTGTCCAACCAGGTTTTGCGTTGGCGTCTTCTCCTATGTCCACCTTCAATAGCGTCTTGCCCAAGCTGTCGTTCCTTGTAATGTGTCCAAACCACACCAATTTTCTCCGTTTGACAGTGGCAAGAAGAGGTTCCTGGTGGCCTACAAAACTTTCAATCCTTTTGTGCACAAACTCATTGGTTTTATTTTCCCAATAGAAAATACCAAGGAGTTTTCTCATGCATTTCTTCTCAAATGCTTGGATCCTTCTCTCTGTTTCTGCCAACAGTGTCCACATCCATATTGGAGAATGGAGACTAACAGCAATTTGTAAAGTCTGTACTTCTTAGTAATTACAGTAGTAAAAAAAAAAAAAAAAAAAAAAAAAATAGATGCTTATAAATAGATAAATTTTATAATATAAGCTGATAATAAAAATACATATTTGTGTGTAATGAAAATTTTTAATATTTTGATTTTCATGTTTGAAAAAAAAAAAAAAAAGAAAAAAAAAGAGAAGAGAAATGCAATTTAATTCAATACAGAAATTTACACATTTATTAAATAATATGAAGATATATGTATTTACTATGGGAAGATTATAAATAAAATTTTCTGGTTAAAATACTAATGATTAGATGTTTGGAAAATTTGAAAGGGCAATTTGTCAGTACTGTCTTTTATATGAAGAACAAAAGGATATGATGCAGCAAACCATTCTAAATAAGTTTTTCATAAAAAAATCAGATTAATAAAAAATAATTCATAACATTTTTATTGTATCTTCTTAAATGTACATATATTTTAATTAAAAAGTAAGCAAATTAAAAATTAACTGCAAATGAGACTAAAATGAGAGATACAAATATTACATAATTTTCTATAAGTGATTATATTCAATTAATGTGTTTTCAATTAGTGTATGTCAATGTGATCATTAGTCGCACTAATTGGGGGATTCCTGAACTAAAGCAGATTGGTCCACTCATAAAAAATAGGGAAGAATTTTTGTAGATTAACATTCCATAGTTTTTCTTCAACTTGTCAGAATTGAAAAACTGATATTTAAATAGATTTAGAAAGTGAGCGGGGGGTCCTGTCAATAACATCAGTAATAGTGTAAATTTCTGATTTTTGGACTTATCGTTTTTTAACTGAATTTTTTTATTTTTACAGAAAGATTTTTTCAAATAAAGAATATATACATTTTTAATTAAAGAACAAAAACTTACATAAATTAATATAAAGTATATATCTGTTTATTCTTCATGTCAAGTAAATAATTATTTTTACAGCAATGTTTCTGCATGTGCTTATGAACAACCATCTGCCTCATAAAAAAACGTTTATTGATTTGTACATCCGAACAAACCTTTTTCATGAGTATGTAATACTTTGTGAGTATACATACATGTATGTATGTATGTATGTGTGTACATATGTGATTACACATACATGTGAGTATACATACGTGCATACAGACAAAGCTGATATCAGTGATGCAACCAGTTTTAAACTTGACATTTTGTAAATAAACTAATTCCAAAAAAAACTTAAGTCATTTTTTGATTGATTCGTGTCGGCATTTACATTATAAATAAGTCCTATTCATAATGTAAATACAGTCAATTATAAAAAAAAAATTAGATTAAAAAATAAAATAAAGAAAATTTTTAAAAAAAACTTAGAAAATAAGCAAATAAATAATTCATAAATTACTCTTCTGTTAATTTGGGACTAACTTGGCTACTTTTCAGGGCAAATTAGTACATCTGGATGTACCGGTTCAGAAACGCTGGTCTAAAACTGTGTATTGAAATAAAAATAAAATAACATTTTTGTCTTACTGGAATTTGATCAAATGCCATTACAACAATGAAACGGACAGTTGAATCTGCCAATTTGGAGAAAATGAAATCAAACTTACATCTGAAGATTCATCATAGTGTACGAGCACCCTTTCTGATGAAGCTCCTAACATCATTGTTCGCTGAGAAGGGAAGAAAATAAAATAAAAAAAAAAGGAAGGGATATTAGTAATCATTTGGGTCATGCAATACAATTAATCTGTTCTATTCAATCCACAAATTCTCAGAACAATTAGAGAAACAAAAAGCATTTCCAAAAGAAAAAAATATTATATATATTTCATTAAATATGACGAACAAAGAATATTTTATTAATTGTTTTTTTTATTTTGTTTTTCCAGCGTTCTTACATTTTTCCTTCTGGTAGGAGTGAGTGAGTACAAAAACTATCCATATTGTCGATCATCCCAAGCGTTTTTGGACACTTCTCTAGCCATTTTCAAGGTTGCTGTTTTTGGTGTAGTTAGTTTATTTTCATGTTTTGACTGTGTGAGATGTATTATTTGTGAATTATAGTATCTGCATTAATTCCGAGCCATCCTGTGTTAGGCATGGCAGGAATTCAAGTGGGTAACTTTCTAGTTTTTAAGACTTTCAACACTCCATTAGCATTGTTAAACAAGGTAAGGTTGATGATGGGGAGAGCTGTTTGATGTACAGGGCCTCTCTTATAATGAGGTGTTTTCAGAAATTTCATTTACAAAGAACTCTAGTGTTATCAACAAGTATCCTTGCCCATCATATTTAACAAAAAGATGTTTAAAAGAAAGGTTGCTTCCCAAATATATATTATTTATAAAATATTCCTCACAATATAAGTAAGCATTAATATAAACATTAGCCATTTAATTTCTAATCAAATATTCATTATCTAAAACCAAGCTTCTTTTTTTTTTCTTTAGATTCTAAAATTTAACAATTAACACTTCCACTGCTGTAGACATTGATATCTACTTCTGAGATTTACATTGCCTGCTGTAGATGTGTGTGTGTATATATATATATATATATATATATATAAGGTGAAAATAAATGAATGCAAGTTTTAAAACCATTGTAATGCAAAGTAAGCAATTGTGAAAACATATTTTGAAACAAATAGGTTTGAAATTGGGTTTATGAAATTACAAGAAATTTTCAATTGTTCCTCAATTTTATTGTATAACCAAGGTTACATGTTTCATCAAATTCTTGACAGACAATCCATAATTTGAGGCATGCGCTCAGTTTCTAAGGAATGTCTCCCACTTGAAGGAATATCATGCAGTGTCTTTGTAGTTTCAAACTTTTCTATCAGACAAGTAATTGTTGATAGAAGAAAAGGATCCGGTTTTAAATTGTAATGACGAGAGCTTAGGTCAAAGTTTAACATAAACCAGTGTAGACAGAGTGATGTACAACGTACAATGCAACATTTGAAATGGAGATTTTAAAAGTTTAAAATTCAATCCGTCTAGATTCGAATTGACAAAAAAAAAAAAAAAAAAAACCAACAACAAGTTAATGACTTTCTATGAATGCATCCGTTGAATCATTGAATGGCAGACCCTTTCAAATACTTCCACACAGCATCAAATGATTTTGTAGGCCCACATGACACGTTGATGAAGTGTCTCTACATAAACCAATTGTTTTAGGTGGTCCCACATATAAAAATACAAATGACTGAGGTTAGGGGAACGTGCAGGCCATGGAACTGGTCCTCCCCTACCTATTCATCTTTTATAATAGATGTCAGCCAATGTATCATGAACAATGTGACTAAAATGTGCTGGAGACAGCGTCTTCATATTAGCAAGGGTACATCCTCTAGCAAGTCTGAAAGTATGTTCTAAATAAAGTCCCTGTAGACAGCTCCTGTAAGATGTGCTGAGAAAGTATATTAACCTACCAGACAGTCATTTACAATTTCAGCCCATACATAAATTGTAAACTGATGCTGGTGTCTAGTCTGTATTGTACTACGCAGATTCCAATCCACCCACAAATGTTGCTTATGTAAATTTGTTATTCCGTCTCTTTCAAAATGTTACCCTATCCATAAACAAAACTATAGAAACAAGATTGGTAAACCCTCAGACAAAAGTCCTCCCAGGGTGAGTGATCAGAGGGCAAAAGTTCCTGCACACTTTGCAAATGATACAGATACGGGAGCTGCTCTTGAAGTACCCACCATGCAGTACTTTGATATGTACAACATGCTTAACATATGCTGATACCTGGATAGTTTCCAGCAACCTGCAGAATGCATTCTTTTGTGGTCAGGCATATCTCAGTCTTCCTCGAACCAGAGTTTGTGGTGCCACAGATCCTGTCTCTGTAATGCAATGATAAACAGCAGCAAAGGTTGGATGTCTCCACTGCCTTTGATCTGGAAACGCAATCTGATACAACCATGTAAGCCTTACAGTATGAATAGCCTGCAGTTGTTAGACGGAACGCTCCTGAGTTAACTCATATTAAGCATTGAAGACAGACTAGCCACGAATGTACACGAATGATAAATGTAACCTAGTCTACATGGCAACACAGCACCATCTACTGTAAAATTTCTTTAAACTTAATTCAAAAATGAAGAATTTAGCATCCAGTTTAAAATATCAAATGACAAAGATTTGACTTAGACATGGAAGCCATGTGTTTGGTGTTTGTAGTTTTTTAGTTGAGTTTAAAAAAAAAAAAAAAAAAAAACTGACATATCTACAAAAACAATACCCTGTCCAGTGGCAAAAGCTGCTGGTGGCACCAGGTGTGGCAGTACCACCTTAGCCACCAAAACTGTTACTTCCCTTGGTTGGCAACTGAGAAAGGCAGAATATTGTATGTGCTTTTACATGTAGAAAAAAAAAATGTTTTAAATAAAAATAATTAATAAATTACTTGTCTGTTAACTGGGGCACACCTGGCTACTTTTCAAGGTGCATTAGTATGCCTGGATGCACCAGTTGAGAAATGCTAGTCTAAGTATATAATCTAAAATCATGAAAGATGTGGTTCTTCCAACAGTTGCTGAGGGCATTATGGACTGAACATATGAGTAATGGGGAAATTAGTTTTAAGGCAAGTAGGAACTAAAAGGACACTTAAATCTACAATCAGAAAAAGGTGAAATTTCTGGGACATACAAGGAAAGAAGACCTAGAAAATTTAACACTCAAAGGATGTATTGATAGAAAGAGAAATGAGGGGAAGCAACAAGTAACCTACCTAATATATTAGTGTGAATGGATGACAGAATAGAGACAACAGCTACAAAAAAAAAGAAAGAAAGAAAGAAAGAAAAGAAGTTGAGGAGAACAATGATCAGTTGCATCATGACCAGGACACAGCATGTAAAAGAACCTAATAGAAGAGAGGTGGGAGGAAAGAGAGAAATTATTAGATTGAGGTCTGTTGAGTTGAACAACCATTCCAAGAATATCATGTCCCTGAAACCATTTTGGTGTGTAAGGGTATGGAACCGATTCTTATCCTGTATATAAATAAAGCTTTTGTGGAATATTATGAGACTACTGAGCAGCATTTAAGCTAGCTTCTGGGGAGGGCTCTTTGATTGGGCCTTTGGCCCAACTATCACACTTCATGCATTGAGTACATATTAAATTTTATTAAACTTGAACAATATTTTTCAAACAACAGTTTTCATCAAAACAATGATGTAATTTCTCTATTTGGAACTTATTTCAAAGCTGCATGATAAACAACATTGTTGGTTTTCCCCATTTGGGGTCAATACAAATAGCTTGTTTCCATTCCTAACCATTGAACAACCAACATAGAACTGGCCATGTTGGAAGCAGGCTTCCATCAGATGAGGTCCAGTTACTTTCAATTATTGTCCTTGGGACTTATTAATTGAAATTGCATAGATCACTCTCAGTGCAAAAGGAAGATCTGGAGGAATTAAGGGGATTCTTGGAGTTAAAACTCTTTTCTGGACCAGTAAGGTTCTTTGCTTTCAAGAGATGCGGAAACATCTTCTTGACAATTAACCGTGTTCCATTACAAAAACTTTAGAGGATCTAGATTTCTCAATAGCATAACTGATGCATTTTCTTTCAGTTCCAGCTTGTGTGATAGCATTCAAAGAACTCTATTGGATAATTCACTGCTTGCTCTTGTTCAACCACAATGTCAATGGATAAGTACTTCATGCTTTCTTTTGGAATTTCTTGGAGAAGTTTCCAATTGATGCTATCCGCAGTTTGATTCTTGAGAGCTAATATGGCAATGTCACAAAGCCAGTTGGAGTCCATGAAATGCTGTTCAATGTTTGGATAAACATGGTTAATCAAGTCTTGGATACTTGACACTGAAACCCTGCAACCATTTGGGAGTGAAATATCTCCATTTTGGTCCATTTTGATGGTTCCATTGCAAAGCTGCAACAGCAAATCTTCCTGCTTCAATGTCACCTGTGATTCTAACTCTTAGGTTTGTTTTCAGGCTGAATCTTTGAAAAATTCTTACATCTGCAGTCATATTCAGAGAGTTGTGTCCCTTTAATTGAAATAGTGTGACACACAGACATTTTTACATTTATTATATAAGAAATAAATGCAATATATTGACATTGAAAAAAGTCTTTTCATAATTTTAGGTGGAGTTTCCAAACTTTTTATTCATTTTTTTTTAACATCTTATCAACCCTTTGTGAGATATTTAAAGCTGAAACATATTTTTGATTGTAGAAGGTTACTTACAGTACCCAATGTTCCCAAGAAGACCCCCATCCAAGTACTGACCAGATTTGACACTGCTTAACTTCACTTGTTCTAATCTATATAAATTTATCATATTCTTGCATTTAAAAACTTACCTTTTCTTTCACATTATGTTCTATCATCAAGACAATCGGTTTTATGAATAACATCCATGGGACACAAATAACTGCAATGACGACCAAGATGAACTGCACCGTTTTCTGAAAAAAAATAATAAAAAAAAATGGTCAAAGAAAAATGGAGACTTCACAAATTCTGCTCATCCCACATTTGCCACTATTTAGATTAGGCATTTTATCTTAGTCACCATTTTGAAAATTTACTGTTTAGCCGTTAGTAATTAACAGAACTAGTACAATGAATCAGAGTCAAAGCACGTATTTCCTACTTTCTTATCCTCCTAACTCTACTCCCAAATGATAGCATTGCCAGGATATAACTTCTTAACCTTTTTGGGCTCTTAATATTGCATTATTATTATTATTATTGTTTGAACCTTTGTTTACAGTACCCACATTTGTAGATATTTATTTTTGCTGTCTTGTGGAACTCCTTTCATAACATGTCGAATATACTCATACTGTGTCAGACTGTAACTTCATGTAACTTTCTCCTTTTCTGTGAACTTATTATTGTAAACTTTATAAATATACTCCTTTAAGCAAACTACTTGCTACATTGTTTACCCATTAAAATGATCTTGGTCTCTCAGCTATGTTCAGCATTCAAAGGCCACCACCTTTGTCATATTTCTTCTTTTCTTTTTATTTATTTTTGAACTAAACTGGTCTCAAAATTGTATTTATTTTTTTTTTTTAGTTTCATCCTCTTGGCTTTCAATAAACCTGCTGATAAACTTTAAGGGTAGCCGCCTTTGTAGACATTTATTTTTGCTGTTGCACGTATCATGTCAAATGATGTCACATTGTAAATTCATGTAACTTTCTTCCTTTCTGCAGACTTATATTCCTATGAGCAAACTTCCTATTTGATTTTATGCCATCAAAGTAAATAGTAATTGTGAGTTCAATCCCTGTGCTGGGTAGTACAGACTCAATCTAAATGGAAACAGACAAGCAAAAACGAAGCAATACCAAAAAGAACAAGAGATCATAAATGAAGAGAAAGGCACCTCCTGCCCATATATGGTAATAATACTCCATTTTTGGTCTAATCTTGCTCTTGTAAATGTAGAGAACACTGGATTGTGTGTATGAGTACCACTTGACGTCTGCATTAAATAAGTCTCAAGGCTAAAATTACTTTGTCTATACTGACAGGGTATACTATCAATATAGGCAAGGTATGCAGTGTCTACCCTGTTTAAAATTCTAGACGTTCATTATCTATCTATAAAAGGCAGGATGTGTGTGTAATGAATGCACGGCTGCAATTTTCGATGGATTTGCACCAAAATGTACATGCACATGCTCTAAGTTAGCGGGAAGGCCAACTTTGCATTTCCCAACTCCCATCGATAGTGGAAATAATTGATTTTTTTCATGCTCCTACGGCAGTTTTCATGTAGTTTGCGGCCATTTTGTACTGGGCAGAGTGAGAGCCAATAGCTGGCTGACACAAATGTTAACTAGCATGCAAAAAAAAAAAAAAAAAAAAAAAATATCAATAGCTGCATTCGTCACAAGTGGAAAAAATTTAAATCTGCATGGCACTTTACTCCAATTGGCTCATTCGCTTGCTTAAACTCAACGTTGATTCTGATTCTGCAGAACTGGGTTGGGTGTGAAAAAGTATTTGTTGTTAACATTCTTTTTTCATTCAGTTTTTCCAGTTACGAGTCCTTTTTTAAAGTTGATCGTTTTGTGTTCATTTTGTTTAGTTCTTTTTTCGTAACAGATTTAATGTTTAGTAAAGAGCTTTGAAAAACTTCACAGTGTGAGATAGACAAGAAGTAAGGCATGTAGCAACATCAGCATGGCAAAGGGCACTCCTTTAAAGGCAAGGAAGGGCAAAGATATTTTAAGTCAAGTGATAGTGATTGCTGTACGAGTTGTACGATTTTTGAATCAAGCACGGGCAACGCCAGGCCATGCTGCTAGTTGAATATAAAAAGAAAAACCTAACTTAACTGTATCTAATAATAATGCATGTAATATTCACATATTAGTATCGTATTATAAAATACAGCGAATATGCATCTTCTCCTTTGTTTATGTTTATAAGAGGTTTAGCTGTTTCTCGTCTGGTTGTTTATGGCTGTACGCGTTTACACAACGAGTATAGAATTAATAACGATACTTTTATCATTCTCTTACTTTTTTAATTTATTTAATTAGAAGATGGGATAAAGAGATAGAGGAAAAGAGGTTAGTTTATTGTAATTTGGTCTCTCGAAAAAGGAACTCACATAATACACAAGATATGATAGAATCATTTTTTATAAGTGACAATTTGGGGGTTGCACGATACACAAGATTGTGCAATACACGAGTATATATGGTAAATAATAATTGTTTCAGACATGGCTTTCCTTGAACGCACAAAATGGTTGGTTCCCTGAAACTGACTTTTCCTTCTAAATCTCTAGCTTTACAAGAACCAGATCAAACCAAAAATGTACTACTGTTGCCATATATGGGCAAGAGCTGCCAAGTCTTCACATTCCAGTCTCAGTAGAATCTAAAAGTATCTCCACGTCCTTGTGGGTGATGAATTATTTTCCATCCTACAACCACTTTCTCACAGATGAGACGTTGCAAGCCTCTTGCTGCTCTATTGCTATTTCCATGGAGAATGTTCAGATGAATTACATTCCTTAGTTCCACTAGTTCTAACCTTCATGGCTAAGACATGCACATTATAGTAAACCATCCTAATTCCCTTCATATTCCCCTGGTGAGATGTAAGTGCCACTCAAGCAGCTTCCCCACCCCCATGAACCACTGCCCTGTGGAACTAATTCCCAAGAGGTTACTTCCCCAATCTCTTTCGATCTTAACCTGTTCAAGCCTAGGGTTAATCATTATCTTCCATACACATATCCAAATAAGCTGTGCATCTTACTCTATAACCCTCTACCTTGGGTGGCTCTTAGGCCTTACACTATAAAATGCCTTTTACTAATCTGATTTCTCAAGGTTCTTGCAAATGACCAAAGCCCCCAAAACTGACTTCATAACTTGTGCAAGAAAATAAAGGACATTATTCAAGATATTTAAAACATTCCATTTCCACAAACTTTAATTAAACCAAGCATTTTGTTTCTTCTATCCACATAGCCATGGTTAGCAGTCTACTCTTCACCTGATGCAGCATACTTGTGGCCTTATGCCAGACTAAATAAGTCTAGAATATTTTAGAATTCCCTCATGGGACAACTTCTGTAATTGACAGAAAACTGCTGAGCTAATTGAAATGCCTCTGATGGAAGCTTGAAAATCTGAATTTCTTTTCATACAAATATTAAATATGAACTTCCTAAAAAAATATTGAATATATTAGGATGTGTGAATAGTGTAGGAGAGATCCATGCCAAACGGGTAATTGGCAAGAAGAGGTTAAACAGGAAACCATTCCTCACACACAGAGTACAGGAGAACTTTATAAAACCAAAAACAGAAACAGAAAAGGCAATGGGAAACCACCCCACAATTTAATAAGTCATGGTAATTGACAGATAAAGAAATCTGTGGATAGCCATGAGAGGAGGAGGAGGAGAAGAAGAAGAAGAGAGAGGAGGAGGAGGAGAGGAGAAGAAGAGAGGAGGAGGAGGAGAGGGGAGGGAGAAAAGGGAGACAGAAAAGAGGAGAGGGGAGGGAGAAAAGAGGAGAGAGGAGGAGAAAAAAGAGGAGAGAGGGAGGGGAGAAAGAGGAGAGAGGGAGGGAGAAAAGAGGAGAGAGGGAGGGAGAAAAGAGGAGAGAGGGAGGGAGAAAAGAGGAGAGAGGGAGGGAGAAAAGAGGAGAGAGGGAGGAGAAAAGAGGAGAGGGAGGGAGAAAAGAGGAGAGAGGGAGAGAGGACAAAAAGAGCAAAAGAATGAAAAGAGAGAAAAAATAATTTTACAAACCTGATCTTCATAGAATATGCAACTGTTGCAATCTCCCTTCGTATATTTGAACATGAACATATTGATAAGCTCTGAAAATTAAAAAATTATGAAGTATAGTTTTTTTAGCAACGTGAGATTTTATATATTTTTTTTTGCAAAGTACTTTGTGGAAATATAAGAAGAAAAAATAAAAGATAAACAAAAATTATGTAACTGCAGAAATTCTCAAAACTGTCTGCTTAATGATAAATGTCACACTGAATCATTAGTGTACCAATGCAATATCTCATCTATTGAGGATCCAGACAATGTAAAAGTCTACATTGAATGCACAAGACATGAATTCAAAAAACAGTTCCTTTAGGAAAAATAAATACTGAAATCAGATGTCCTTGTCGAAATATTTCTGGCACTTAAAAGAAACCAACAAAACCCCTACTGTAAAATGGAAATTAATAAGAAAAGCTAGAATGTGTAGGTCATTAAATGACCCATGTCCTTTGTGCATACATGAGAAACTATACATTATTAGGTTTATAAAAAATAAAAATTTAATCAAAGAAATGAAATAGCCATTCTTTGCCGACATTGTCAAGGATTCTCCTTAAATAATGTTAAAAAAAAAAAAGCCGATAAATGAAATATACATATTTATATTTGATAGTTAATAATAATTTTTAAATAATTTAAGTAATTCTATTACATTTGTTTTAAAAGAAGTATAGTCTATTAATAATTAGAATTAGGAATAATATTTAAAATTGTAGTTCAATACGACGTACTCATATACAAATAACCCTTTAAAAAAAAAAAAAAAAAAAAAAAAAAAAAAATCTTTATGTATACAATTACAAATTTAATGGCAAAACAAAAGTGCTGAAAAACCTTTTGTTGTTGTTAAAGACCAGATGACATACATTGAACGTACATCATCATTCATTGAAAAAGGCACCTTAAAGCTACCTTAACCTCTTTTTGAAAGTAACTCATATTTTGATACAATAGTTGTCAGTGGAAATGAATACCCTACCAACCCTTGTCAAAATGATTGAATTTCCCCATATCCTTAGAAACTAATATTATGAATGTATGTGCTTATAAAACTCAAAATAAGTTATTCCAAAATTCACTTGAAAATGAAACAGGACTAAGGACTTTAATTTAATTCTATAATTGGCTTTGAAGTTTTTAGTTTCTGTTTTTGAAACATGGTAATTCCAGTGTAGAACCATATTTAAAAATTAGTAAATTTATAATATATATATTTTCCATCATTTCACCCCAAGCAAGGCAGGAGTGCCACTAATACACAAGGGGTTACAGAGAGTGAAAGTGAGGGGAAAAGATTGGGTATGGGGAGGGGGACTGAGGAAAGGATAAAAGATGAACAAAGTCCAAGTCAACAGAAGATGGCAACTGACACTGCATTGAAAATTTTTGAAGATTGTAATTATCAGGGAAGCAAGTAAACAGAAAAGAGTTCCACTGTTGGGAAGTGCGAGAAAAGAAACTGTTGGAGTAGAAGTGGCAGTTAAATCTATTTCAACAGTAGAAGCACATTTAAATTCATGTAGTTGAGGAACCAAGAAAAAAGCTCATCAAAGCAGTTGGCATGAAAAGATTTGTAGAAAAGACAGAGGGAAGCCATATCACGTCTGTGAGAAAGTGACTGAAGTCGAGATGCCAAGTTTGGATCATTTACATTGCAGATCCTTCTTTGGATTTTGTTAGAACCGACGGGGCACTAGACCAGTATTCAATGCATGGACAAATGGTAGTTTTGTAAATGTGCAAGATGGACTGACGAGAAAAATCTCCTGGCATGGCCCAATGAACCAACTTTCCTTGCAGTAAATGCAGCTATTGATTCAATGTAGTTGTTCCAGTTCAAGTCACTTGAAAACATGAGGCCAAGAAGCAGCACTCTCCTGAAGTCGAGCATCAGCCATGCTGATGGCGGGCAGGAAAGTTTATGGTGGTTAAATGAGAGCAGTTTACCAATTTACCAACCATTTCCTGTCCCAGTTGACCACTGACTGAAGGTTAACTATGTCAGCTCTGACAGATTTGACATTGAGACAGGAGTAAATGGTTATGTCCTCTGCATAAATGCCTACTTGGAAAATGATGACATCAGGAAGATCATTAATGAAGATCAGAAATAGCAAAGGATTCAGGATAGATCCTTGGGGAACCCCCACATTTATGTGGAAGTGAGCCTATTTGAAATGACTTACATTTCAGTTTGATAGGAATGATTAGATTAAATCAAAGAATCGTCCTGTAATACTGTAGCACTGAAGCTTATATAGAAGGCCAGCATGCCAAACCCTGTCAAATGCTTTTGAGATATCTAGAGCCACAGCTCTAGCTTCACCATTATCATGCACTTGATATTCAGAGATGACCGTAAGTGTGTCAGTGATAGACCAGCCAAAACGAAATCCACGTTGTTTGTCAGAGAGTAGGTCATAAAAGGTAAGATGCTTAACCATTTCAGTTTTGATTAAAGACTTTGCCGAAAAGTGGTAAGAGACTAATAGGGTGATAGAGGCATCAGAAGGTTCTCCAGAGTTCTTAAAAATAGGGACTACAGAGGAGGACTTCCAACAAACTGGAAAGTAGGAAGTAGTAAGGCAAAAGTTGTAGAGTTTGGAGAGAACTGAAGCCAGGTTGGGAGCATATTTCTTTAGAATGACAGTTAAGATCCCGCCACCTCTGCTTGTCTTATGGGAGTCTAATATAGACCAGTGACGTGATTATGTGCATATCACACAGTATAGCTTCCGTTCTTGGAGGAAAATCAGGTGTGGGTACTACAGTTGAGTTGAGTGATGAGTTGGAAGAGAATTTCTGAGCTAGGCATTCAACCTTATCTGCTGTAGACGTTAGGACTTTGAATTGATTGAACAGAGGAGGGATTGTTCAGCACACTCTTGCACATCTGCCAATAATCTCTTAAACTGAATTTGCGAGATGCTATACATAGTTTTATTTTATTAGTAAACTATAACTTTGCTTCGTTGAGGACATGCTTGCATTCGTTACGAGTAGAGACAAAGAAACATCTGTTGCAATCAGATGTGTCACTCTGGTACAGCTGAAAGTGATTCCTGTGGGCTATAGTAGCTGAGCACACAGGTGAGAACCAAAGAGATGAATGTGGTTCAATTTGGTATTTCTTTGGTGGAATGAAAGCATCAGTGCTGCACATTTGAACAGGATGGTTAAATACTTGATTCCAAGGGACGTCACAAAGGAAGACACAGAATGAGTCCCAATCTGCTTGCTGATAACAAAAAGATAAGTCTGTTTGTAGGGGGTTCTTGGCTGGTGGGGGAGCTGAAGGAGATATTTACAAACACAACTGAGCGATCAGAGTTTCCAAGAGAGCAGAGCTGCATAGTACGACAAAAGTCAGGGATAGATGTAAAAAAGAGATTGAGAAGAGAAGTGTAGGGTAGTCAACCACTTCATTGAGTGATGGAGAAGTTGAGGGTTTGGATACCAGTGAGATCAGTGACAGAGTGTTGAAGACACCTAATATATATATATATATATATATATATATATATATATATAAAACACACAAAGAAACCAAAGTACTGGTAAAAGCAACACAAAGACTGAAGTAAAAAAAAACAAAAAAAAAATTTTTTTTAAAAGAAAAAGGAGACAGAAGAGGAAAAACAATCAAAGACAGACACCTATGGAAACCGTGCTGTGACACTACTCAAAAAGAGCTACTCAAGTTTCAGGCTACCATGATCATCAGGAGGCTGATGATTGTGGTATTTTGAAACTGAAGTAGCAATTTGTCTCTTTCTGGGTATTAGTTTTGTGTGTGTGTGAGATAATAGCTGGCCACTCGTTGAGGATGCCCATCTATTAGGGCAGCTAGCCAATCCCTATTGCAGACACTTGCTCGGGTGCATTTTGTGTTTGTTCAACACCCACAGAGTCCACCTGTGGTTTATACTGCAACTATGCTGAGCAGACCTTAGTTACAGTTTCTGGCAGAGAAGTGTGTTATCTAGCATGATCAACAATCTGAACAAAGCCAGCATGCTCAAACCCTCGGTTATGATGACTTGTGACTTTGTGCTAGCACAACCATTGATGACTCCCCAAGGTTCTGTCTACCCAAAACTTGGGTCACAAAACTTGGGTCAACCTGTGGTATGGTTCTCAAGCACTTTCCAAAGGTGCCACACACTGGGAAGTCTCCTTTCTGACAAATCAATCATGGTGAGATTTGATCCCAGGTCTCATTGTCAGAAAGCAAATGTTCTTAGCACTGCCACGTGCCCTACATGTAAAAAGTTTGGTCCAATAACTTGGACTAATTTTAAAATGTGAATTAAGTTTAAGTATCTAATGATTTTTTTTCTTTTTCTTTCAGATTTAACAACTTAAGTCTTTGGCAATTTCAACCATGGAAAGATTAACAATCAAACAACATGCTAAAGTTATCAAAGCCTATTACAAAAAGAAAAGAAAAAAGAGAAAAAGAAAAGAAAAAAGAGAAAAAAAAAGAAAAAAGAAAAAAAAAAAAAAAAAAAAAAAAAAAAAGAAGAAAAGAAAAAAAAAAGAAAAAAAAAGAAAAGGAAAGAAAAAAGAAAAGGAAAGAAAAGAAAAAAAGAAAAGAAAGGAAAGAAAAGAAAAGGAAAAAAAAGAAAAGGAAAAAAAAGAAAAGGAAAAAAAAGAAAAGGAAAAAAAAAGAAAAGGAAAAAAAAGAAAAGGAAAAAAAGAAAAGGAAAAAAGAAAAGAAAAAAAAGAAAAAAAAAAAAAAAAAAAAGAAAAAAAAAAAGAAAAAAAAAAAAAAAAGAAAAGAAAAAAAAAAAAAAAGAAAAAAAAAAAAGAAAAGAAAAAAAAGAAAAGAAAAAAAAGAAAAGAAAAAAAAGAAAAGAAAAAAAAAAAAAAAAAAAAAAAAAAAAAAAAAAAAAAAAAAAAAAAAAAAAAAAAAAAAAAAAAAAAAAAAAAAAAAAAAAAGAAAAAAAAAAAAAAAAAAAAAAAAAAAAAAAAAAAAAAAAAAAAAAAAAAAAAAAAAAGAAAAAAAAAAAAAAAAAAAAAAAAAGAAAAGAAAAAAAAAAGAAAAGAAAAAAAAAAGAAAAAGCAATTTTTGGGGTCGACCAACCGAGAGTGCAATTGGAAACAATGTAGCATTGTTGTGAAGAGGTTCAATTCCTGCATGTGATGACGAATAGAGGTGTCTAGATTTTCAGCCACATTCTCATGCACTGCAACAATGCTTTCAGCTGAATGGCATAAACAAGCACACAATGGCATTTTCACATCTGCCACCGACTTAGTTTGTTCAAATTTACAAAGAATTTTTCAAATTGCACTCTTGAAACTAACACGTTGTTTGATTGTTAATCTTTACATGGTTGAAATTGCCGAAGATTTAAGTTGTTAAATAGGTCCAAGTTATTGGAACACCCTTATATACGTTTAGGCAGCAAGTATTCATCCAAACAAGTTTGATTGAAAGGAATCAAAAAGGTTTGTCCATTTCTTTTATTATATTTTTCAAATAAGGCATTGTGTATTGGGTTCAAAATAAAATTTTGGACAAACTATTCAAAGATGATGTCTGTCCAAGCATTGGTTCCTGAAAATGACTGAAAATATACACATGTGTATGTATATATATGTTTCTCTCAGGCGACGACGTAGAGTGGCTGTGGGCACACGATCGATTCAGTGACATCGTAGAATGCAACGAAGGCAATCGTTGTAGAACACTTCAAGCCTTCGTAGGTCAACCGCTCTAAGTGGCCACGTTTCGCAGCCATAGAGAAGGATAGTCTAAACAATAGCCTGATAGATGCGCCCCTTCGTAGCCATGGAAATCTCTCATCGCCCCCATAGTGACAGCTCGAGATACACGAATTCGGACCTTGCAGCTCCTATACCGTCCTCTTCCACCCGTCCTGCTCCAGCGTCGTCTCTGATGGTTCGGGCACACAGCTCGTCGCCCGGAGGGAGAGCTCATCCATGATGTACTTCTCCCTCCTCCTCCTCTTCCTGGCTGGTGAAAACGTGTCGGTGGGCAGCCGAGGACGTCGGCTAGTACAATCAAGGATGACCTAGCAGTATTATCGGGTCGACAAGTAGTTGGTCTTCAACGATGTAATCGCGATTGGCTTGCCATTTCGTGTGACCTGGCTCAGGATCGGCAAGCATGGGTAGTGATGGTCCGTGATGCTGTACTTGCTCAGGAGGAATCCAGTTCAACCCGACCAGGGTGAAAACCAATACAAGTGAAGCCAAGTATGTATATGTGCATATATGTATATATAGGGTGTATTAAAAATATACACTACTAACAACAAATAAATAATTCAGCAAATATTTCGTGTTGTTGTTCTTGGTCCTACCTTATCCAATTTGTATTAAAAAAAAAAAAAAAAAATAAATAAATAAAAATAAAAAATTATTTTGTCTGAAGAACTATTTGAATGATGCCTACAGTCAGCACACATCTACTGTGCTGTATAGATATTTAGAAATAAATAAGGAATGTTGTAAAAAGTGGCATTAAAGCTATTTGGTTAAGAAAAACTTGTTAAATCATTGCATGTATTGGATGCAGTCAGGTAGAGTTTCTCATTTAGTGGAGCACTCATTTAGCATCCAGCCTCTCAAAACGAAACCCATTCATTAAAGGGAGGAGTTAACAACCTGAAGGGTTTGAAAAAGACAAAATAACAATACAATATTTGTGAAGGTATTTTCTTCTTATTGGTTGGGTATCTGCACTGGAATCAAACACTGGATCATGACAGCCAAGACACAAAGACGTCCACACATACGAGACAAACGCCACCAAGACACAAAGACGTCCACACATACGAGACAAATGCCGCCAAGACACAAAGACGTCCACACATACGAGACAAACGCCGCCAAGACACAAAGACGTCCACACATACGAGACAAACGCCGCCAAGACACAAAGACGTCCACACACACGAGACAAATGCCGCCAAGATACAGGAAACATAAACAAGGAGGAAGGAATCTGAAATGATGCTGGGTAACACAATCAAAAATCCTTGGTACCACACAGCAATCCTGTTGTGCAATCAAAACTGTGTACTAGCAAACTCTGACTTCCCAGAAAATGGGCTTGCTCTTTGGAGCCTAAAACTATAGTGGTTGGCTAGAAAAAGAAATCACTTGCCTAACTAACACTGCTGTCCCAACTATCTCATGCAGGAAGCTGGTAAACACTTTCTTTTTTCATAAGCAGACGTTCCAGGCTTCACACCAATTCTGTTCTAGCATGACAGCTGTGTACTGTATTACTGCAGAGACAACACACTAAACATTGTCTCTTTGACTGACATAGGCAGGAACTGTTATCAATAGCGACTGGTTGCTCAGTCTGCATTTCGTTTCCACTACAAAAGTTATTAGTAATCTACTTTGATTAATCAATATAATTGCAGGCATGAAACTAAACAGGTTAGTTTTTAATAAAATCTTTTTACTTACGGATAAGAAGAGCTGGTGCAACATATGCTCTGGAGAAATTGTACACTATCCATTTATAAAAAATAAGAACATCCAAATATCCAAAAATGGCCGTCAAAAAAAGTATTTGGGGGATGAATTCACAAATGATGTTAAGTTTGCGTCCAAAGTAGCTGGAATGAAAAGTAAAAAAGCATTGTCAAAAATAACACAAGAGACATGAAGTATGATTCAAAATTCAACAAGACAGTTGGAAAGAATATGAAACTATCAAAAACATTGAATGATGTTTTTAACAGTTCCAATTCTTATGGGATATTATATATATAAGTACAGGTAATAAATCCAAGTGGATCCTAGTAATATAAAATATTAAAACTGATCTACAAAATCCCAAATTACTTCATGCGGGGGGGGGGGCGGTAAATCTATTTCAACCAATGAAAACTTTATCAGTCTTACTCTAGCATATAGACTGAGTTCGTGTTGGAATTAGAAATGTAACTTTGACAGCCGTCGAAAAATTGACATAGAATTTATCCATTTTGATGTTTCTGTCAGGCAAAATGCCCAAGATGGCATTTAGGGGAGGGTGGAAGGTATTAGCCTTAAAGGAAAGAGGTTTTTTAAAATTAAACCCGGATATTAACCTTATGACATTAAATTGGGGTTACATGAAGAATGAGATGTTAATTTGAAACTAAAAAGAGGACCGAAAAAGGAGGCTTTATAAAAATAATAAATATATGTTGAAGGTTAGTTTCCTACTTAAAAATAAGATATTATTTAAAAGATTAAAAATAAGTCATATATAGTCAAGTTATATTAAATTTAAGTAAGAATATATTTTTAAAACATTTTATATTAAAGAATAAAAAATATATTTAAAAATAAAAATATAAGATAAAATTATACATTTTTAACTTTAAAAAGATAAGTAATATCAAGTTATATTAAAAATAACCATACAAAGTTATATTTAAAAAAAAATCTATCCCCTCATATGAGGTAATTTTGGATTTTGTTGTTGTAATTTTATATATATATATATATATATATATATATATATATATATATATATATATATATATATATAAAATTCAATAGCAACAACAGATAAATTTTAAATGAATTAAAAGGGCATGTTTGCACATGTTTTGAAAATCACCCCTGAAGATCTTAGAAAAGATCAAAAGTACTTGGGTTAAAAAAAAAAATACTATGGTGCCTTCTTTGATGATCTTAACATCAAGAAACTGATTAAACAACTGGAAAAGGATCAGTATAAAAATTAGTAGACATAATATGTCTATATTATTCAATAAAAGACTTTTGAATGAACATATGATATATATATATATATATATATATACACACACTGTGTGCCAAATTATTATCGAGATAACTTTTTTTCTAATATTTCAAAAACCGTCCAATCAATTCACACAAAATTTTCACACAATGTTGGCAACACTGACCTGCGCAATCACTGAAATTTTCGTACTGGTCTGCGCAATGTAAACAAACTAGCACCATATTTGTTATCAGCATGGTGATTTGAGCGTGTCAAATTATTAGAAAGGTTTAGTCAAATTCCCAGAATTGAGCAAACAAAACGTTTATTAATGTTGCACGTGAATGTTTATGATCAAAAGAAGCTAATAAATAAGATAATCAAACAAATAATAACAGATACAAACAAAGCCACGGTTTTAAACAAATTAATAGGGAATATGCTTTCCCTGTTTTGAAATTACTTGAAGAAGTCGACGATCCATAGAATTTGTTAATTGTAGGATGTCATCTGCTGTAATGCCATGAGATATGTCAAGAATTGCTTCCCACAACTCAGTGTTGCTCCTAAGTTGTTGTCTGTTGGCGTACAGTCTTCGCTTTATGATGCTCCAAAGGTTTTCGATTGGGTTCAAATCTGGAGAATTTGCTGGCCACTTCATTTTTCGAGGTCCATCGAAGCCTAACTGTTTCAAATATTCAGTAGTCTTGTAAGCAGCATGTGAGGGAGCGTTATCTTGCATAAAAACAATGGCCCTTCTGAAGGCAACTCTTTGCCTTTTCATTCACGATTCAAGATGCTCCTTCATAAACGCTATGTATGCATCAGCAGTTATTTTGACACCATCTGGTACTCTCCATGGGCCCACTAATGTTTTTTTCAATAATACCACCCCAGATCATCATGCCTCCACCGCCTTGTTGGCGTCTCAAATGCTGATGGTGATTCTGTCCGTTCATTACCCAGCCTTTGCACCATCTATCTGGCCCATCAAGTGTTGCTCCAGTTTCGTCTGTGAACAAAACTTTAGAGAAGTCAATCTTCATATTGATTTTGAATGTGATTTCTCGTCAACAGGGGCTTCGATACAGGTTTGACTGTTGTTACTATTTCCCTCAGATACTGACACCGAGTACTTTTCGACACAGTAGGATCCCCAATGAAACTGAAAAGCTGTAAGTCCAGGGTTCTTCGTGGCCTCTCATTTAAGTCGTGACATGAGACGACGTGAAATAACCTTTGGCTTGCCTTTATCTGCCCTTTTGCATACTTGTGTAGGGTCGGCGGTGAACTTTTTCACTGTTTGATGACACCTCCCTATCATTTTAGAAATTTCTAGAGTAGATTTACCTTTTGAGATTTCTGAAGTGATAGTTTTCAGCATCACTTAAACTGCTTTTACAGCCCATCTTTTCACTAAATTCTTACACTTTTCTAATAATTTGGCACGCTCAAATCACAGTGCTGATAACAAATATGGTGCCAGTTTGTTTACATTGCGCAGATCAGTACGAAAATTTCAGTGATTGTGCAGGTCAGTGTTGCCAACATTGTGTGAATTAATTGGACGTTTTTTGAAATATTAGAAAAAAGTTATCTTGATAATAATTTGGCACGCCGTGTATATATAAAGCACAGTGGAGTATTGGATAGCAGCTTGGATTGAGGAATTGTAAAGTTGAGTTCATTACATTCACTTCTTGCTAATAATACCCTTGGGAAAGGTATAAATCCATCTCTCATCCCCCCCCCAACTATGGGTATGGGTGAACAGTCTAGGAGAAGGACAACTCTGAATTCTCAGCAGATCAACTCATTTCACCTTTTCAGTCTGACATTTTCTACTGACATGTTGCAGAAAAATGATACTGAATCAATTGATGGCTTTGCTGCTGGAAAAGTTGCATCATAGACAATTTTTCTTGCCAGAATCCATTTTACACCTTTATAAGTCTACCATTCGCCCATGCACCAAAATTGTTTTTTTTTCATAATTCTTCCACATCCAGTAATCCCTTGTGTCTAAGTGGCTTTATTTCCTTGCTTGGAGTGAAATTGATAAAAAAAAAAAAAAAAAAATAATAATCACACACACACAATGTTCTTGCTAGAGGAAATGATCCCTGAGTCAATATACAGTAAATTGTCTACTTCCTTGAAGATGTTGTGTGCAACAGTGACAAGGTCAGTTTTCACTGGATTGTACAACATGAACTCTCCAGAGAAAGCTGAACTGTTATAAAATGAAAAACAAAATCCTGAATTGCTTTTTGAATTTAAAAGTCCTCTGAGAAAATGGACTCAGCAACTGTTTGAAACGCTAATCATAGATAGAAATTTATCAAATAAATGTTAAATAAAATAACAAGGGGGAAAAAGACTTACATATTGTTGAACAAGCTGAGAAATACACCAAACATCATCTGCATTACACCAAGAATGACGGACATTTTCATTTTAAATGAGTTGGTAAATGTGATCTTATTTTTAGCAAACTGCCAAATCTGAAGAAAAAAAAAGATTAAATTCTTTCATAAGAACCACTTCAAGTGAGTAGTTAAATATTAGCTGAAATACTTATTCATCAAACAATAGTATTATAAAGAAGTCTACTTGTACAAGTGCTCTTCTCACATTGCAAATGGCTGTCAACATGCAAAACACACAAGATATCTTTTGTTTTGCTTTGGGTTGGAAATTCATCACGCTTTAAAAATTTATTAAAAAGGGATGTGGCTTTATTTGTATTATTTAAAGATATTTAATAGCTGTGCTATTAAAGATGACAATTACATTTGCATACTTTCCCACTTTGAAGTATATTTATACTGCTCAGATTATATGTTTAAAACACACACCCAGAGTTGTAGCCTCTGTGTTTGTTAGCGAACTCCTCCTAGAGTTTTAGAGATAAGCCACTATAACCATACATATTGTGAAACTACATTACCCAGGGTACTTGGATAAGTATATTTCATTTTGATCAAAGGTGGTCCCCGGGGAAGAGGGAAACAAAACCCTCCACTGAAAATGTTTTTCCCAATGATTTCAATTAAATTTAAATTTGAACAAGGGAATGACTCCTATCCAAAATATAGAAGGAGAAAACCAGAAGATGGAGGTCACATGGATACAATCAAAATGAGACAATATGGACATCAAGTTGAGCAAGAAATCACCATTCAGTTGGCAGTGCCTTACAATACATATTTGATGCGACAATTCAACTGTCAGATCAGTGTTGAAATCTGCTCGTCAAGTCATTAAGTACTGCATCAAAAACATATCAAAGGGATCAGATCAAGCTGTTTTTACACAAATTCCCCACTGAAAATTTTTTACACTTTGATTTTAATTAAATTTAAACAAGTGAATGACTCCTATACAAATTATAGAAGGAGAAAACCAGAAGATGGAGGTCACATGGGCAAGATCATTGAATAATACTGAAAAGCATCATTTCTCTCCACAAATTATAACAATGATTTAAAATCAATCATTTTCTTACAAAAAAATGTGACACACAGCAAGGTGCTGGTAATTCTGCTAGTAATAAATAAAATAGCCTTAACGAAAAGATAACACACTATATATGGGATTGATGAAGTTTGGTTGCAAAGTATCCATCCATTTTAAATATGATGTAATCACTTAACAACCAATTAGAAGAAAATGCTTTAGATGCTTGAACTTACTATGGGAGTTAATCAGTTGATAGTGAAAAGTCATTGAGCAACTTTGGGCATCATGTGACTACCATAGACTCTTTAGGACTTGTACAGAGCTTTTGGTAAAATAATCACATCACCCAAGTGTTTCTGCAACCAGCCATGGCCAGAATTGGCTCAAAATAACTTTTACTTTTCTCAAAGTTAAAGTCACTGCAAAGAGCAATAGCAAAAAGAGTCTAAGACAGTTGATGAGGATTCCAGCCGAGGAAATTTGTTTTGCAAAGTGGAAGGGATATAAAGGTAAATTTGCAAAGGTCCAAGGGAAATACTTTGAACAGAACTCAGCCACCATTACAAAAGGGAATCTTTATTTTCTTTCTTTTTTTGTTTAATTAGCCAGACATCATATATGTCCAAGAGCTTGAAGAGGAAATTGCTTACAGGATCAACACCAAATGGATATGGATTATTCTTTGCAAATGTTGCATTGACTGAATATTGGACGATTTTTGTTGTATTCAGGACACTCGTTCTGCAAAAAGAGAGAAAAAGATTTTTAAATCTACAATGAAAAGACTTAAATAATTATCAATGTGAATTTATATATTTCCTGTCCCATATATAGTGGCAAGGGAGGCAAATTAACAAAAATATTTATCTGCATTTAGACAAAATTAGTCCCCAAGTAAAAATCAGTTACTTTACTTCTACATTTCTTAGATTGCAGTCTTATTTGTTCAAGCCTTTCATGTGAGGCACTCTGATACCTTTGTCGATTAAGTGATCATCTTGCATCAAATTGGTTTTAAAATAGTCTTTGTCATTACCATTTTTGTTGTTCTATTGGTAATCATTTTTTACCAAAACGTATTTCCATTTCACTGTTATATTGAACACAAAATTTTTAACACGAAAAGATATTGAGCAAAAATCTAAATAATACTAGAAGTAATCAATGAATCATAGATACCATTAGATGTCTAAAGAATTATAAAAAAAACGGATTAATTAATCAATTCATTGGCCTTATTTTAGTTGTGAATTTTTTATCTGCACTTTATTGAATCTCAATACATTGTTGCAAGACTTTTTTTTTCATTGCATCTTCTATTAAAACTTTCTGGCGAGTCCTGCCATTTTTGACAGCACAAGTTCACATGTTGATATATATTACTTATATAGGTTTGGGTATTTCCATAATATCAAAAGGCTTATAGACATATGTTGAAACACTGGTTCTTGTATGATCACCAAAGTTAATAAATGGCAAGCCTGGCCAGTACCTAGATGGGTAACCACTTAGGAATAGCAAATGCTGTAAGCTTGGATGTGCAGGTGGTGTAATGGATAACGGCTCACAATTGGAAATTGGAGAGCCAAGTTCTAATTACAGCCAGGTTCATTATATTTGTTTGCACGCAAATATCAATGGGAAAGGCATGAATCCTCCTTTTCTTTCCCCAGCTATGGGTTAATTAGTAGGACTTGTATCAATAAAACATCATCAAAAAAAAAATTCTTAAAATCTAAAATTATTTTCTTGTTTTAAAATAACCTAAAAAAGGCTGATAAAAAAAAAAAAAAAAAAAATCATTCCATGTCATCAAGGTATTGTGGTGCCACCCATCATTGCCTTTACATACCATTCCTCCAGTTCATTTGGCACATATTTTGTCTCTTATAGAGATGCAAATGATAAACTGGCATATTTTATTATTTGCATAACAGACTAAGTATTTGCATGCACACATTTCATATATAGAAATATAACATTTCAGCCGTTGTACACTCCAGCCTTCATCTGGTGGTTGGAATGTCAAACTTAACCCTTTATTTCACTCACTGGGTGTAGACTGTACTAGTTTCACGTGCCATATCTAATGGATGTCAGTTATCAGTTATCTCTTGTTAATTCCCCTCTCCAAATTCTCCACTGCCTTAACCAGGTATTGAACTCACAACTCTTTGGGTCTTTTTGAGTTATTTAATGCTGACAAAATTTTTTATTGCCGGTAATATTTTTATCTTTTGTAAAATGTATTGTTGGTAATTTTATTTAATTTTTTTTTTTTCAAAAATGTATTGCTGGCACTTTTACTACAAAAACCTATTTTTACACTTTCATAGTGTTTTGACCACAGTTTAAGGGTTAACTATTTGCCCATAGCTGGGATCCTAACAGGTGCTACCACCCCAGGTCATGGTGAATCTGGGAACAAGAGCAATTAAGAGGTGGCTCCATGCTCTGAAAAAAACCTCATAATCAGAGGCCTTGCTGTTGGATGTAGTTTATTGTCATACCCAGGACAGGCTTTAATTTGTCTTCAATATAATAAATGCGAACATCAGTATGTCGCACATTTCAATTAAAGGGAGACAACTCACTAACTTTCAATAGGTCATGTTTAAGAAATTTTGGATTCCTAAGTTTTTATTACGCTGTTTGCTTTTGGCATTTTTTTTTACGTGATTTTTTTGCAACAAATTTTTTTGTATGATAATTTTTATAACTTGGAAATAAATTTGTGAATAATAAAAATTAGATTGCAAAATCCAGCAAAAGTCACCAGTGAAATAAAAATAATTGTTTGTACAGAAAGTAAGGATTTGTGTACATCAAATTGTCTTTAAATTAAGTGGCGGCAGAAGAATTATCATTAAACTTTTAAAAGGAAATCTTAGATATTAATGCAATAATTAAATGCAGTGATCAATTTTGAGATCTTATGTAGATCATTGTTGCCTATTGTATACAACAGCAGTATGCTTTGTGAATAGTAATCTCTGTCAACAGGGGACCAGATCGCAATCAAAAGAGCCAAAGCTGCAGTGAGGAAAAGAATGTTCCATGCAAATGAAAACCCAGATCAAACAGCAGCCAGGAGAGCTTCCATTGCTGAGAATATGCAGACTTAAGAACTCTTGAACAAGCAAAAAGCCCAATCAAGAGCCCTTTGCAAGAGCTAGCTTAAATGCCACCATATCAGGGGGCTTTTAAGCTAGTATCTAATATATCTCAAATGACATTATATTTCATTTAAGATATAAAGTGATTATTTCCCCTATTTGCATGCAGACTATTGTCCTCATTTTTATTTTTGTTATCACAATATTTCATCCGTTGTGTTCTCCAGGCTTCATCAGGCGTATGTTAATTCAGGTAACCTATAGGAGAGTTCCTATTTAAATCTGATCTACACTTTGTTGAATGCTTCACTTCACCGAAAAATCAAAATTTAGAAAGCAAAAGAGGGAGATAACTTCTATATTTGAATTCTGAGCCACTATCCTTTACACCACCCACACATCCATTGAAGGCAACACAAAAACCATTCCACCACCATTCTCAGGATTGTATTCACAGATAATTAAGAATAATCTGTAAAGAGTTATGATCACCTGTGTATCAGAGGGAGATTTTTTTTTTTTTAAGTTACCATCTCGGTCTTTGTATAAATTGGTCATCTCATCACCTAATGAAAAATGCAATTTCTGTGATGAGATATTGTAATTATTTACACTATTTAAACTGTTCGAACTGTTGTCCTCACTTTTGTTGCCATATTCCCAATGTTTTGGCCTTTTTCCAGTTACTGGAATTTCAAATTGAACCCTTTATTTCATCCACCAGGTAAATTGTTCCAGTTCCACGTGCCATGCCTCTTCCATATGTCTCAATACCAGTTATCTCCCTTTAACTTAACACTTCAAGTCTTTTGTTCACTTCTGCTGTAGCCAGGTATCAAAATCAAAACTCTTTGGATCAACGTTTTTATCCACTCAGGCATGTGAATATGGCAATGGTGACAACAGTCCGAACAATGTAAACGGTCTAAATAATAATCCAATTGTTCAGTATCTTCAAAAGAAAAAAAATAAAAAGATCACAATGCACTTATAGGTGTGGCAATTCAAAAAAAAAAAAAAAAGGTGAGAAAAATAAATGATCCACATCAAGGAGAAAAAAAAAATACTTAAACTTACGGAATGGCACTTGAATTCCAACTGCTACCAAATATATTAATAGATCTTGAATAACAATCATTATAGATGATTCCAGTGTAAATAGCAAACAAGCCCATCATCATAATAATATACCGACCACCAAAAAACGTATTCCATATCTGTAATATAAAGAAGTATTAATTACTTATATGAAGTATTAAGTCATTTTGATTTATATTTCTTTCATCTTATTTCTTTTGCTGTTTATCAAAATACACAGACCGGCATTTTATTACCATCACTAAGCATCAGGGACAAGAAATTAAGAAGTCACAAGAAAGATTCAAATTTGGGCAAACATAAATAAACATGCCCACAAGAAAAGGTTATTTTTTTCCTATGACACAAATTTTTTAACTACCTTCACTCTTCGGGAGTGTTTGTTTTAAGAAGTGATTAGAATTGGAATAAAATCAAGACATCTGATTGTACATTTTTTTTTTTTTGTTCTTGAGAATTTACAAAAATATTAAACACTATTTATATTAAAAAAAATAAAAAATAAAAAAAATAAAACACAAACAATATTTGCAGTTTGACCAAAAAATTAATTTTTAGAAACTTTAAATTTATATTTTTATGAATGAAGTGAAAAAACAAAAAAAAACTGAAATAGAAATTATTACCAAAAATAAACAGAATTTTCTAAAGTAAGAAAATAACTTAAACCAATTCCCATCCATCAGAAACTAAATGATGGACTCCTTGTTATAACTTTAGTCTGATCAGTCCCACAAAAAGAAAAAAAAAAAGAAAAAAAAAAAAGAAAAATTAGGATTTATTTTTCCTTTTTTTTTTTTCCACATGCAAACTCACTCTCTTGAACTCCGTCTCTATATTTGACACACTCCCACTATTTGTTGTTGACCCTGCCACTTTTTCAGTCTTGTCTTTTTGTTATGTCTTTCTTTGTATTTTTACTTCTTTAGTCTTTCTTTTTTGATTTGCTTTTTTTTTTTTCTTCATTGCCATCCTTTTACCCTCCTTACCTTAACTGCCAAAGAAAACTGATACCTAAGGTTTAAAATTAATTTTTAAAAATTCAAAATCTTTCTTCAAGCTTTTATTTCAGTTTTAATTTCAAGCTAATAGATTAAATTGAATATTTCCAATAAGCAAAAAACTTTACAGTGTTTTAAACTGAATTTAAATTGATCGGAATGAGTTTTTTGGGGAATTTTTTTTATTAGTACAAAACACTAAAATCATTCATTAAAAATCTATCAAAACAATTCTCTTTATTAAAAAATACTTTTGTGAAACTTTAATTGAGGAAGATTATCTGATTTAAAGTTTAATTAATCTGTAAATATTGATTATCTTCGTGGCAAAGAAGTAAAACACAGTGCTTTAAAAAAAATTCCAACAATCCCATAGAACATTTCGTTATTTTCATGATGGGCCTTTGTATAAATGCATTATTTCTTAACAGACAGTAACTGGTTAAGAATCACTTATCAACACTATACAAAACTTTGCATCCAAAACAGTTTTTTTTTCAAGAATTATCTCCCTTGAATCTAGTCTCCCTTCCACTACTGAAGAGATTTGTAATGACAATGAAGAGTAGTAAATACAACTTTGAACATATGCAGATCGAGATTACAATACTTAGGAAAATTAAACTAAAACAGCTCTCCAGAAAATTTTACAAATACTATTTTAGCAAACTTGTACCTTTATAAAAAAAAAAAAAAAAAAAAAAAAAAATACAGTGTCAAAAGGACAGTTTTTCCATTGACACAGCTATTATTTTAACTACCTTCACTCCTCAGCGATGTCTATTGTTTTAAAAACCATGAGTAAAATATTAATAAAACTTAAACATATGAAAATGATTCACCTTTTCTTTGTTCTTGAGAACTGACAACAAAATAATAAACACTGTTTATTAGATTATTAACACTATTTAATATATTGGTTATTGGAATGGTTGGCAAAACATTTGCTAATTGCCAGTTAATTCAAACTTTATAAAATGGTAAATAATAAAAATTTCCTTATAGTTGGTCAACATATTTTAATACTTTAGTAAATGTTTCTAAATTTATGAATAAAAAAATTGCTTTCATATTTATTTCTTTGTAAATTGGTAGACATTACATAGCAGTAGTTTTAATTGTATTAGTTTTTAGAATGTTGTAAATATAAAATTATTCTTGTAAATAAACTAATAGTGTTTAATATTTTTGTTGTAAATTCTCAAGAACAAAAACCTATATAAATTCACTTTCATATGCTTGGCTTTTATTAAAGTTCTAATCATCACTTTTTTTTTTTAAACACAAAACATAGCTGAGGGAGTGAAGATAGTACAAAATAAAAGTTGTGTCAAGCAGTGTTTTTTATTAAAAAAATTATTAAAATATGTAAACCAATGCAATATTTATTATTTACTATTTTTTTTTTTTAAATCATTACATGCCAAGTGAAGCAATAAAATCTCTAATATAGAAGAGGTTACTGAATGTTAAAGAAAAAAAAACACTAAGGAGAGAGAACAATAAAAGTACAAGAATTAAGAAGAGAAAATAATGATTGATATTGCATTTAATTTTTTGAAGATCAAAGTTGACTGGGAAACAAGAAGCCAGAAGAGAATTTTACAAATGAGAAATGTGAGAAAAGAAACTGTTAGCATAGAACTTACAGTTACATCTCACCATCTCTGCTGTACAATGAAGAGACCTTGCTACCAATCTAAATTCATAATGTTTAGGTAACATGAAAGTTCATCAGAGCAATTACCATGAAAGTATTTATAGAAAAAGCACAAGGAATCTATGTTACGGCTTTGGGAAATTAACTGAAACTGAGATACCAGGTCAGTGACATTACAAATTCTTTGGATTTTATCAAGAATCTCTAAATATATAACAGATTGTAAATTCTAAAGATAAGGAGGCACAATAGAATAATGGATAGCAGCTCAGATTGAGGAATCAGAGAGCCGAGTTCAAATTCCAGTTGGATCCATGACATTCACTTGGGAAAGGTATGAATCCTCTTCTTCACAAGCTATGGGTAAATATCAGAACAGACTGGGTTCTATAGCCTTGGGTGGCAACAGGTCTAAGAGAAAGAAGAACTGAATTCAAAACCAGCCTGGAGAGGGTTGGGCTCGATCTTGCCCAAGAAACACCACTTCTACTGCGACTGCAGTACACATGGTGCCCCCCCCTTACAGGTCATAGGATAAATTCACTTTCATCATATGTCTATGTTTTATTACAATTCTAATCATTGCTTTTTAAAACAAACATTGCTGAGGATTGAAAGTTGTTAATTTGTTTGTTTAATGGCTTATGGGTCATTTAAGGCAGAAATTTCATTTTCTTTGGAACATTAGTAATTTCTTTTACAAAAATGTATTGATGGTACTCTGTTTTTTTTTTTGTTTTTTTTTTATTAAAAAAATATGTATTGCCAGTAATATTCCCTTACAAAAATGTATTGTTGGCAATTCCTCTATTATGAAAATGCATTGCTGGCACTTCTACAAAAATGTATTTGCATACTTTCATAGTGTTTTGACCCCAGTTTGGGTGGGGGGAGTAAACTTTTTTGCCCATAGCTGGGACCATAACAGGTGCTACCACCTGGGAACAACTGCAATTTTGCTCCTCAAAACCTTCCAATCAGAGGCCTTGCTGCCAGATTTAATTTATCGTCATACCCAGGATAGAAATGATAGTGGTGTCGATGGAAAAACTATCCATTTGACACTCAAAGGTCCAAGTTTTCCAGTATTTTTTATTTTAGATGAAAAAGTTGTATATATAAATTAATTCTTCAAAAAACCTGTTTAAGAAAAGATAGATTAAAAAGAAATAACTTTTGCAATATTTGCAACCTATGATTATAAAAATTGGAAGTCACTCCAAAATTTCTGAATGCAAATTATATAAGAATTGGTAAAGATTGTTTTATTTTGTTTTACGGCATATCAACCTCAATGGGTTATGCAATGCCAACAAAATTTTTTATTGCTGGTATTTTTTTTTTTTTTTTTTTTTCAAATGTGTTGCTAGTAAAAAATTTTACCTTCAAAAATCTATTTCTGGTAATATTTTTTCATCAAAATTGTAATTTTTTTTTTTTTTTTTTTTTTTTTTTCCAAAAGTATATTTGATAATATCTTTTTTTCAAAAAAAAGAATGTATTACTGGTTATAATTTTTTTTTTCAAAAACTTAATGCTGATAAGTTTTTTTACAAAGTATTTCTGGTATTAAAACGTATTTTTACACTTTCATAGTGTTTTGAGCCCAGTTTGGAGGGTTAACTATTTACCCATAGCCGGGACCCTAACAGGTGCTACCACCCCAGGTTAGCACTAGTTGCTAAAGAAAAAGAAAAACTTACTTCATTATCACTTTTGCCACCAAGTCTTCTTTCAAAGATCACAAGCCACAGACCAAATAAGAACATCACCATTCCATGGCCGCAGTCACCAAACATGACAGCAAAGAGGAAAGGGAAAGTAATTATGGTATAAAGAGCTGAAAAACAAAAATAACATTTATTAGGTTTATGTGGGATCAATGAAGACAATACATACCTCTTTTTAATCATTTCATCCCAAGCAAGGCAATAAAGCCACCAAGATGCAGGCGAGATGAGAAAAAAAAACACAAGGAGAGAGAACAATAAAAGAGGACGAGTTAAAAAAGAGAGATAACAATTGACATTGCATTTCAATTTCTGAGGATCAAAGCTGACTGGAAAGCAAGAAGCCAGAAGAGAGTTTCACAAGTAGTTATTTCAATTGGGAAATGATGAGACCTAGCTGCCAATCTAGTACTGCGCTTACATTTGTAAAGTTGAGGTACCAAAATAAGATAATGAAGCCACTAAGACATAAAGGGTTATTGAGAATATGTGAAAAAGAAAAATATTATAATAATATCTTATTTAAAGAGAGAGAACAATAAAAGAATTTGAATTAAGACAGAAGATAATGATTGATATTGCATTTAAAGTTTTGAAGATCAAAATTGACTGGAAAGCAAGAAGTCAGAAGAAAGTTCCACAAGTGAGAAGTGCAAGAGAAGAAACAGTATAGAACACATGGTTACATCTTTGCCAGTTCAACTGTAAAATGATGAGACCTAACTGCCAATCTAGTATTGTGCTTAAATTCATCTAGTATAGGTACCATAGACGAGAGATGTTAGGTCAAGACCAATAACATTGCAGATTCTTTGCTTTTATAAAAAAAAAATCTTTAAATATATATCAAGAGCATCAGACCAGATGTGGCAGCAATATTCAAAGCAAAGTTGAATGGTAGACTTATATAAAGATAATCATGACACAGGGAACTAAATTTCTTGGCAGCATGCCTAACAAAGGATATTAGCCTGAATGAAACTTATTTAAATAAATATATATTATCTTCAAAAGTTATTTTGTCACTGATTTTTCTAATTAACAAGTAAATAAAAATCAAATTAAAAAAAAAACAAAACTGATTTACAGAAATAAACTCTTTCCAGATTTATTTCTAAATTTTCAAGTAACTCTAATTTAAATTTATTTTGTGAACTATCTGCCCCTATGCAACATACAGGGTGTGGCAGAAATACCTGATCAAATCTATATAATAAAAGTCAATTCTCTGTCCATTACCCACTGCCCACGTTTTGATTGCACGTATGTAATGTATATCACTGTGTCGTGCTTATGTCGTTTAATGTATACACACACAATTGAATGAGTTTCAATTTTTTTTTTTTATATTTTCCTCTAACACTTAATCTGGGGAACCCCTATCCTGGGTTGAGCAATAAAATCAAAGTTGGGACAAGGAAAAAATAAAGTTAGTTTTTTAAAAAACTTAAAATCAGACTATAAGATCTTATTGAATTTTTCGGTTGATTGATCTTTCTCATATTCTATAATGATTGGTTGATTGATCTTTCTCATATTCTATAATGATTGGTTGATTGATTTTTCTCATATTCTATAACACCCTGTAAGCCATTGCATCTGTGTGACATTATTGCCTTGTTTGAAATGATTATAAAAAAAATGAAAAGACAATTGATTATAAACAAAAAAGAAATGGCAGTTAATATACAAACTGGCTTGGCTCATTCCCAGCAGTATGAGCCACACAGACAATTTTATACCCAATAACCTGTGAAATGAGGGATTATATATGGAAATTTAATTCTTTGTGCAATGAGAAAAATCCCCACTAGGTTGAAACATGCACCTAACCACCATTCAATTTACTCACCTTACCAATCTAGTTGAGTTTATGGTTTGGGTCAGCAGTTACTTGATTCTGTAGGTCTTTATTTGTTGGCTTTACTCTAGGGCATGAATTTAATCTCCATATAAACAATCTCCTTGAGAAGGATATTGGATAAATGTAGTTCTACTTATAAAGTATTCAGCCATCATCAAACTCACCAGCTACAAGTCACAGAAGAAGAAAGTCCCAGTAGCATTAGAAAACAACCAATTTAGATTTTCCTGTCTATGATGTTGAGAAGATTTGTTAACAGATCAAACTCTTATAATCTTGCTCATAAGAGAGACAATAGGAAAGATTTGAAAGGATCTGTCAATGTTTCACTACCATATGTTTAATAGTAAATCTACCATTTTTCACTGTTATACAAGAGTTGATACTTTGCAGATGAGGTAAAGTGGAAACCAGCCAAAACTATAGCAGAAATAGAGATGGAAAAAATCTGGTATCTAAAGAGAGAAGGGTACACATTAGCCTTTCTGTGATTAGGCTAAAGTAATTAACATGTAGCAAAGCTATAGTAAGAAACTTAAAGGAGATAATGTATGTGTTTGTCAGCCAGGTACTTAAATAAGACTAGTACAGAATTCAACAATGTAGTTAACTTTGCTTAGTAAATTGGGGGTTGGGTAATTCAACATTGGGTATAATTTTGCAATCACCTGGATATTTGGTGTGTCTGTGAAAATGGATTGGTCTGATAAGTATATTAAGGACCATTTTCCATCATCATTGTGATTTTTTTCTTGACACCTGACGAGGTCTGGAGAATGGATGAGCTGAAATGGGTTAAACAATGGCAATTACATAAAGAAAGAGTTCAACTGGAATTTTAAAATATACCAAGTACTCTAAGCTTGGATGTGTGGTCGGTGTAATGGATAATGTTTCAGAATTGTTAATTGAAGAGCAGAGTTCCAATTCCAGAGTTGAGTTCGTTATATTTACTTTACAGTAAAGTATAAATAAATAAATGTATTTACTTTTTCAGTTTCGCCATTTATGATTATTTCTCTTTTGTATGTTTGGGTTTTTATTTTCCTAAGGAATCTTTTTGAAGTGTTGGATGAAAAAGATGCCTTTTACAGAAAAAGAATGTGCTCTGTCATTTTAAAAAAAAAAAAAAAAAAAAGAATAAATTGTTGCCTAAATTATGCAAAAATGAAAATAACACTGGCATCTTATTTTAACAGATATATTTACCAAAATTACACAAAAATATCTTTAAATACTAAAGAGTATATTTTATTCAATAAAATCACCATTGGCTTCAACCATGGCTTCCAGACAACTTTGGAATCTCCTGCAACTCTTCTAGACGGTTTCCTTGTTTAATTTGGTGAATGCTGCCATAATCCTTGCCTTCTGTTCATCTTTGGTGTTACAAGGAGTTTTGTTGGTATCTCGCTTAACTGTGCCCCACATAATAATCAAGGGAGTAACAGTCTGGAGAGTTAAGTGGCCAGATATAAAAGATGATGTGGTTGCAAATATTGTCTGACAGCTATGACTGGGTACTCCTGCTTGTGTGGCATGATGCAGAGTCCTGTTACCAGACATACGATCTTCCAGCAGCTGCCCTCTTGACCCAGAGCCCTCTGTGTTGGGTCTGAGGCCCTGTGGGAAGATGAATGGAGGTATAACGTTGCCATCATTCCAAACACCATGTTGCTGACTGGATATATCATCCAACTCATCCCAAATCCATTGCAACGTCCTCAGACTGACACCCAAACACTATGAAATGTATGTACTGGAGATTCTGGCACGAATGTCAAGCAACACAGTATGGTGTTTGCAAATTTCTGACAGAGTTATTTGTGTCGTAGTGTTCTTTTTCTCACAGACGGCGCCCAACTGACACCCACTATACTGTGCAGTCGACAAAATCAAAAACAAACAACGTGCATGCACAAAATTAAAAGTATAAATGGCGACAATTTACCCATCGCATCCTCTGTGTGTGTGTGTGTGTGTGTGTATATTTTTCTTGTGTTCCTATAAGTTTTTTTCTTTTCTAAACGTAAGTTCTGTAAAAACAAAATATGTCCAAATGTTTTCTATATTCAAGTGCTTTCAGCTATTCTTTTAGCCATTTTCAAGGATGTTTTTTAATTTTTAATTCTAACTGAATGTGTGTGTGTGTGTGTGTAAGTTTGTCACTTAGCTGAATGAGGTTACCTTCAGTATCCCAACTCCAGAGTTTCTTAGGTGGACTTATCTGTCTACTTTTCAGGAGGTATAAGCAATCCCACACACAGACGTACATGTATATATAAATATAAAAGCAGACATTGAGATCAACAATTGGCAACAACAGTGTTTCATACTTAAACCCAATCTTCAAATCATGAAGATTGCGTTTAATTATGAAACAGACTGTCACCACTTGGTATTGACCTCAATGTCCATGATTATATTTACAAACACTATTCATGATATTGAACACTGTAATCCATAAATATAGCATATGTTAAAACTATATTTTTTCATATGTGTATGTATATATTGTACATGTGGATTCTCCCACCAAGAATGATGAGGGTTCAGTAAATTTTAAGTTTTTACTGAACAACCTGCACAAGTCAATTGTGTAAGGTAGTCAATTTCCTGTCCGTCCTGCAATGTTGGCACCATGTCCTGCACGTGCACCCTTGCATTTGTATTATATACATGTTGTAGTAAAGAAAAGACTGTCAAATTATAGTAGCAACTGCAATAGATTTCTTCAGTTTCTCGACCGCAACACTAGTAGTCAAATCGCAGTTTAAATAATAGCCTGTTGTAACAGTCCAACAAACAAAGTAGAAACGACAATATGGGATTACACGTCCAACCTTCACGTCTCACGAGCAAAAAACGCGTGTTCCACCTGCCAGCTCAGAAAATCTGCCTTTATAAGCGAAAAACAACGGCTTTGGTTCATCGATAGATCTTCAATTGGTCACGCCATTCAGGGGAGGGGAGAACATTAGCATAGATTCTAGTCATTGAAGTAGATTTTTGCTAACTACTTTTTGTAATTTTTCTTTGGCAGATCGCACACAGAACACAAACTTTTTTTCAGGGTAAATGATTATTTCTTTCACTACAATACAACAGCCAGGATGAACACTTATCCCAGAAAGATTGTAATTGTCCTGTCCAGTTGTCAGGAGGTATCAGCAGTTGACTGCCAATTTTTCTCATTTTTGTTATTTTTATGGAGTTAAAAAAAATAAATTATACACCATTTATTGGTGTTGATTTGTGTGTAGAATATCACAATTTAGTGAATTTAGAGAACAATGGTGAGACTTTTCAAAATAAAAAAAAAAAAAAAAAAAAAAAAAAAAAACAAAGCTCCCAATGTCTTACCTGGATTTATTTCTTGGTAGGATGAGACTCCATAAGCATCAACAATTGATTGAAATCCACTTGTAAATTTTGTGGTGCGAATGTAAGTTGGTGGATTCTCAGGTGTGCTCATACGATTCAGGATATTTGGGGCATGACTGTTACTCACCTCCTGAATTCAACAAAACAGAATTAATTTGAGCCATTTCATTGTCTGTGTGAGAAGGAACTTCAGAAAAGTACTAAATAGCAAAGATAAACGTTGAAATACAAAAATTATTTCCCAATGTTGGGAAAAAAACAAAATCTTTAAAAACATAACTTTGCTTAAGCCTCAAATTTTTTTTTACTCAAAGTAAGCAGTATTAGAATTGGCACAATGTTGATGATATGACTGGGAATTTATTCCATCCTGATAAGTGGTGGGGGTCACAGGAAAATGACAAACTCTTGGTAGGCATTTTTGACAAAGTTTACATTGGCGTACCCTTACTAAAGCAAAAATACTTCGATTCAATTTTTTTTTTCTTTTACAGTTTATCAACCTTTTGCAAGTTATTTAAAGCCAGAAAATATTTTTGGATTGTAAGAATATTTTTTTTTTTTTTTTTTTACACTAAGGTTCACCCTGTACAAGACTACTCAAGGTAGATGGTTACATTAAGAGGTAGTTTGTATGGATTAAAGGGGAAGATAATGGTTAACTCTAGACTTGAACAAGTTAAGATTGTAATGATCAGGGAAACATCCTCTTGGGATTTGAAGGAGATGAGTTGCAGATACAAGTCCTACAAATTAGCCCTTACCAGGGGGAGAAGCGGTAGATTCATAGCTTTTCCAAGGGGATTTCAGTAAGTGAATATAACAAACCTGCAGGAATTAGAACTTGGATATCCAATTTCTATTTCTGAGCTATTATTCATTACACTACCCTATATTCCAAAGTGATCAGTCATTTAGCTACTGGCCAGGCTCGACATTGCTTAACTTCAGGAATCATATTTGAAATCGGCTCTGTAAGTTCTCATTCCTAACTGATATCCATTAGAGACTAGGGAAACCAAAAACAACAACAGTTCAAAAGATTGCAGTCATTCACAAATGGAATTGCTGTCTTTTCCTAACAGCTTTACTGTCACTGCAAGTAAGACCTTTGTCTTTGGAGGAGGAGGAGAGGGGGGTCAATAATTGCAGAGAGGATTATAAGTTTTCCCAATATGCAATAAATGAGAAGAACTTAATAAAAGGGAAATTGAACGATCATTTAAAAGTTCAAAAATTGCAAAATTAATAAACAGAGTGGCCATAATAAGCTCAGCAGGGTTACAAAATTTACTAAGAAAAATATTTAAAAAAATAAATAAATAAATCAGATAGTAAACAAACAGCATCACCCTTCTTCACCAAAGAGCAAATACTGTCTGGACTCATATTCATCAGGTCATAGAATTCTAACAATTCTTTTCACATTGCAAATGACCACCAGCATGCAGAGCATCAAATTAATTTTACTTCAGCTTAGTATGTCATAAATTCATTGCAGAAATGCTAAGAAGCATTTTTTAATAAATTAATTATTTGCTTAAATCTCAGTGGGCCACGTGAAAATTGTTAATACAAGATGATACTGGAAATATAAGCACTGGAAAATTATGGCATAAATTATTTTCAGGAGAGAGAGAGAGAGAAGAGGAAGAGAGAGACAGAGAAGGGGAAGAGAGAGACATACACATGCAGACAGTGTTAACAAGACAGGTAGAAATGACTCACCTTTCCATGTTGTAAGGCGGCATGGACTTGGCCAAGGGCCATTACAGGTGTCCAGCATTCGGCAATAAGGCTATTGTGAGAAACATCAAAATTAAACATATTCAGAGTGTGGTAGATGGCTTTTATCTTCTCCACTTTAGTTCTCCACACATACAATTCCTTTTTGGCGCCAGTTAAAACACGATGACGGTGGTCCTTAGTCTGATTAAGAACCTAGAGAAAATAAAATAAACAGTTTTTAAAAGAATTTGTTGGAAATTAAAAATCTGTCTATATTTATATAGATGAGGTATTATGTACATTATTTACATTATTTGGACTATTGTCCTTATCTTTGTTACCATATTTATCACGTTTCGGCTGTTGAACACTCCGGCCTTCTTCAGGTGGTTGGAATGTCGAACTGAACCCTTTATTTCACTCACTGGGGTAGACTGTTCTAGTTCCACATGCCATATCTAATGGATGTCAGTTATCAGTTATCTCCTGTTAATTCCCCTCTCCAAGTTCTCCTTAACGACACATGGCACAGTGGATAAATGGGTAGTCCAGAATTTAACTACTTTAATCATGATTGTGATTGTCAATATAAGCATGTGACCAGATATTCTCTATATCCGATTTTGTTGTTACCTGTTCCCAAAAGTTTACATTTATTTATCTATTATTTAATTCTCTTTTAGTCAAGTGGGTGGTTGTCCCAAAGACCCCAGCCCATAGACTTTATTGTGGGTCATAAAACAAAATACTTTATACTGAGAGAAAAAAAAAAAAAAATCTTACACCTTCCCCTTCCATATCCCAATCATAGTGAACATTATCAGACAATAACAGCATTTTTTCTATTCAACTAAGCAGGATTTAATCCTCTATTTCAACAATGCTCAAAAAGAGTTTACAATGATTCAAATTTAGCTCATTTAGTTGAAAAACCAGGTTTAAATTAAAAACTGAGAACTGAATTTAAAACATTTTTTCAAGGAAAATTGTACAAATGCTCTTAACCACTATACCCCAAAATGTTACTTCTCCCAAATTGACAATTGTTCTGATTTCCATGTAGCAACATAGCTGGTAAATTAATTGTTGTATTTGTTCATTTAGAATGACCAAACGTTAGTGAAAATAAGCATACTATGTTGTTCAAAAACTGAACAAATATAAGGACAACTATTTTATAATTTTTGCTTTACTGATAGCAAAACAATCAAATTTAACTTTATAATTGTGGTGAGTAACGCAACAATTCAACTGATGATAGCAGGTAGGCACAAAGAAAACCGGTGTCGCACGTCCAACCTTCTCACAAGCTGAAAGCCCTCTGATCTGAAACAGCAAAAACAAGCCTGCTTTATACAGCCGCGGACTGACCACGATTTGCATGCAAATCACGAGACAACGAGATTTCGCGGCAACTAACCGAGACTGCCCGGCATAAAACGTGGGCACCGCCATTTTGGTTTTCTTTTTACCGTTGGAAGGACCAGAGTTTGCATACTGCGCAGATTCGAACGCGTTTCCGAGGTAAGCCATTTTCACAATTTTCCCCACAATAATAGAATATTTTTGCAACACACTGATGAGTGTTGAAATCGTCACAGTATTGTTGAAGTTGTTGCTAACATTTTTTGTCAAGATTTACAAACTCTACATTTCGTTTGATGTGCTTCAATGTTTTGGGGTTTGATTTAGGATTTACCAGATGTTAAACTGAGCTGTGCTACGAACAAGGTATTCACTTAATGGTTAATTATTTTTGGTTGACTTTTACTTCTTTGTTCTCGTTAAGTATTTATTTGTGGTTGTAATTAAATACTGTTTCATCTTAACATTGAAGGCTTCAGTTATACTTAATCATTAACAGCCACCGTACATGACAAAAAATAATTTCTTTAATTTTATATGACTTCATATTAAACAATATTTTTTTTTAAGAAAATTTCTTTTTTTTTTTTTTCTTTTTTAACAGCAAAGAAATTCTTAGGATTTCTTACTCTTGAGCAGGCAACATACAACTGGCCATGCATAAATATTTCTTTCTGGAACCAAAATCCAACTTTTAAAAGCATTTGGCCTTGTGATTTGTTTATAGTTCTTGCAAATGCAGGGCAAACTGGGAACTGAATTCTTGTATAAAATCTTAAAGACATATATGCAAGAAACAATATTGCATTTTTATTAAATAAATATTTGTTATTTTAAACATTAAATTATTTTTAAAATAGTAGGAATATTTTGTATGTTAAATAATAAACCTTAATTTTTCCAAAACAATTACTGAAAATTTATTGTACTAATAAATAGTACAATATAGTAAATCCAACTGTATTTTGTACTCCTTTGTTTTTACTTCTCCCCCAAATTTGGTCTCAATCGGTGAATGTATGGTTATTTTAGAAGGTGTGATGGATGAAGAGATGGATCGACTAATGGAAGTACATTTATTCCAAGATATATTCATTTTACCACAGTAGAGGGCGTACTTGTCACAGTGATCCCAAGAGCAAAGATGTCTGGAGTTTGAGCTCCTGTAGGGTCACCTATGACAGGTCGAAGAGGAAGGACCAGTCTGAACATGGCCAACCCCCAAAAACCCCAACAACAGAATAGGCAAATATCTACATGCTCTCAACGACCAAAATAGTGAAAGAGGGCAGCACCAGTTGGGCTGGCATAGCCAAAGCAGACCTCTATAGACCAAGAATCCAACCACTTGATGCAACCAGGTTTATCAGATCTTATCTATTTCAATCCCTTATGAGGGAGGCACTCCTGGCCAAGTTTGTGGGCTTTTTCATTATGCAGAGTTGTCCACCAAAATCAAATTTATGCGAATGGCCTTGTCAAGCTCTATGATTCACAGCTATCTCCACCACCGCTACCAGGGGGTGGGGGTGAGAAAGGATGACAATCCTTATTCTCGGACGTGAGCAGTGCCAACAACAAATATTCAGTTTAAATGTAGAAAGAGTCAAAAATTATGTCAAAAGGCCACACATTCTGTTATATACTCTTTTTCCTGTAAATCTGGGGGGTTGTTATCAGACAGGAAGAGAAATTAACTTACACAAGACATATCCATTTTAATTTCATTCAAAGTGTGTGAGAGAGAGAGAGAGAGAGAGAGAATTTTCATAATTTAAAGACAGAACTAAAAATATATTTCTGCAAAGTTTTCTTAAAAATAAAAAAAATCTCTAAAAAGTAATTTTATTACCAAATAATTTCCGAAAATTTCAGTAAGAGTTTTTCTCCAATTTGATTGTTTTTGCTCAGCCCACACTAAGGGTTGTCCAGACGGGAGTGAGAGGGAAATGTATTATTCCCGCATCATTTTAAACTCAGTTAAATATTGTGTTTGTGTGTGTGCAAACTCACATGCAGATTGCGTGACAGAGAGAGAGAGAGAGAGAGAACAGCATTGTTTTTTTACATAAGATATATTAATAAAAAAAAAAAAAAATTGGCAAAAAGCATAAAAACATTTCCATTGGAGGGAAAAAAAATTTTCCCCAAGTGTTTTGCATTTTAGAAAGTTATCTCCCTTGCACAAGCAATAATTTCCAATACCTTTATTATGACATACATTTTCCCCAAAGATGAAACCAAGTGAAAAACAGACTCCATGAAATCCGAGAACAATAATTTAAAAAAATATACATATATTTAAAACACCATTTTTGACAGCATAGTAAAAGGCTTTAAAGTTTGTTTATTTTAATCATTTCATTCCAAGCAAGGACATAAAGCCTCTAAGATGCAAGTGATTACAGAATGTGAAAGAAACCGAGTAAATATTATGGAGTAGAAACAACAATAAAAGAATAGGATTCAAAAAGACAGATGTTGCATTTAAATTTTTGAAGATTGTAACTGACAAGAAAGCAAGAAATCGGAAGAGAGTTCCACAGGTGAGAAGTGCGAGAGAAGAAACTATCAAAAGAGAAGTTAGTTATATTGAAATTCTTGAAATGTAAAAAGAAAATATGTAGAAACATCAGTCCTTTCAACATGGAATTATAGAAATTATAAATGATAATTTTAGTTCGTTTACCTGCTGCCCTTTTAAAGGGATTGTATTTATTGCTTTTTAGGTTTTTTTGTTTTTTTTGTTTTTTTTTTAACTTGAGCTAACTGATTCCAGAATTCTATGTTAGATCCTTAACAGTATTTGCCTGATTTAGACATTGAATAATTGGTGGGGAAAAAAAACAAAAAAAAAAAACAAAAAGAATGTGTGTGTGTTGTCAAAGAATCAGAGAAAAGTTCCAAATTGAAGAAACTCACCAATTCCAAATCTTGTAATCTTGTGGTTACTCCAGTAAGCGTCTCTTGGCGTTCTTGAGCCGTGTCTGGACAAGGGTAAATGGTAGCATGGAACCTAGAAATCAATAAAAATGATAAAAGAAATTTATACTTTCATATATAGCATCCAATCAAAAAATCTCATTATTAGCAATACACAATAGAGGCAAACATGTTAGCAAGATTAATGCGTCTAATAATTAGGTTTGTCATTTAGCCAATTCATGTTACATTCAGCATCCTGATTTCAGAATTTCATAGATAGACCCATCCATCCACTCCTCAGGGGATATCAGCAATTAACTGCTTAATTTTTTTTTTTTTTTTGCGTTATATATATATATATATATATATATATATATATATATATATATATTTTTGTTCTTTGTGGCCGAGACGGTTAAGGCATGTCAGCGTAAATGACGGTTCCATATATATATATATATATATATATATATAGGATGCAAACAAGGAGGAAGCTTACACTTAACATCAGAAAAAGGCAGGCAGCTGAAGTTTCTGGGACACATAATGAGGAAGGAGGGCCTGGAGAATCTGATATTCATGGGGTGAATAGAGGGAAAGAGAGACAAGGGAAAGCAACGTATGACATACCTAGCAGGTTTAAGCAAGTGGATGACAGAACATAGTCTGGGGGAGGTGGCAGAGGGAAGGAACTTGTTGAAAGCTGCAAGGGATAGAGGGAGGTGGAGAGCCATGATTGCCTACATCCTGAAAGGACATGGCACATAAAAAAGAAAAGATATAGTTTTAAACAGAAAAAACCTCATATTTTTTTCCTTAAAAAGGTAACCTTTTATTCAGCCAAAAACCTTAGAAGAATCATTCACGACTAGTAAAATGTCAATGAGAATTGCAAAGTGATAGACCTGTGAGGAAACAAGGAACTACCATTAAAATACCATTAAACTACAATATTAAAAAGGTGTGAAAATGGCAAAAACCAGAATAAATAATTCCAGAGAGTATAAAAAGGAAAATATAGACTCACAAGCCTCCCAGTAAAGAAAGAGAATAAATAAATTTCTCTTTCTGTTGGCACAAAGACAATCAGTGTAATTTAATATATACTGCATCGAAAGCGTGCAGATGTTTTGCCAACCAATTTTTGCTCAAAAGGGAAAACTATGAATCCATGTATTTGTGCACACAGATCTGGATTATCTAAAAAGTATTGGGCTGTCATGGAATCCTGTGCCGTCTGCGTCAGACTGTACTACGTGTGATAATACCCCATGTGATATTACCAGGCACATATTGTGCAATACACTGATGTGTGTGTGTGTATATATGACTACAACAATAAATCTCAAAGTTGTAAACTGGAGGAGAAAATATCTATAATCACATTCCCAAATCAACACAAATTACTAAATAAATGATCAAAACTTCTTAAAAAGCAGACATGAAAAGAAATTTTTACTATATTATTTAAAATCGAAAAAGTAAAAATGAATACCTTGAAAAATGAAAATATACACACTATATTTTAATATATTTATTGTTTATACGTTATTTTTATAGATACAAATATTTAAGTAAAAGCTCTGTTTATAATAAACAGTATTAACTACATTTACCGGCCTGAATGTCAAAGACATTTCATAAAAAATATGTGCCCTTCTACAGGAACTGAACCTGTATCCTACACAGAATCATCACATAACCTGATGTGCCATACCATTCAGCCACAGAGGAAGTGTCTGTGGCTGAATGGTATGGCATGTCAGGCTATATGGCAGTTCCATATGGGATGCAAGTTTGATTCCTGTTGGAGGACATAAATTTTTCTTTGCAATTTCTTGGACATTCAAGCCAGTAAATGTTGTTAATACTGTTTATTATAAACACAGCATTTACTTAAATATTTGTATCCATAAAAATAATGTATAAATAAATATATTAAAATAATTGTTGATCCATTTCATAATATATATGCAGTATTTAAAATGCAGATAATGTAGTAAAAAGCCAATATGTTTAACAAACAAGATAACCAACACATGAAACAAAAATTACAATAATATTAATAAAATATTAATAAAATATTAAGAAAATAATAAGAAAATAAAAAAATTAAAATCAATAAACAAATTCACAAACTATGAATACACATGGTTAGTTAGGTTATCAGCTATGAATGAGTTGGTTCTTCCGACAACAGCTGATCCCACAATATGTTGGTATAATTGATTTGGATGTATATATGTAATGAGTAAAAAGTGTTAATAAATAGAAAATAAATCTTTATATATCACAATACAATAATACACAAAGATAAGGTGAAATGTAAAAGTCCTGGTGCATATGAGATATAGATATATAGAGGGAGAGAGAGTCTGGGTGGGAATATATATATATATATATATATATATATATATATATATATATATATATATATATATATACACACACACACTCTATATTAATTGTAGAGTGGATAAATGAAACAGCCAAATATAAGCAGGTGTGTATGCATGTGCTGTTGTGCATATGCAGACAAGCAAATAAATAATCATTAAATTTATGCATGAGGTGTAAATGTAATAGCACTCAATGTGGTTTTACAGAGCAAAGATATGTATTAGTATATACACGCGTACCTACGTTTTTGGCGGGTGACTAAAGAAACTATAGTCGCACACCAAAAATATAGATACGCGTATATGTACTAATTTATAAACAATGCATTTTGCCAAGAGTGTCTGCAGGGATATCATCAAGTCTACATGCTTTGTGGAGATCCAGTTTAGAGATGGTAGCAGAAACAATGGATGGATAAATATCACTCAATAGAGACTCAGTTCTAAATGGAAAGTCAGGCAAAGATTCCCTATATGAGTCAAGAATAGAAGTGGAAGAGAATTTACAAGCAAAGCATTCTGCATTATCAGCAGATATTAACACCTGAAATTGAGTGAATATTTGGTTGGTTAATTTTGTTTAGTGGCATATCAACCTCTAAGAGTTATTTAATGCCAAAATCTAAATATTTTGAACACAATTTTATGACTTCAACTAAATATATTTTGAATGCAACTGTACATCTTCAACTTTTAAAAAGGTATTGTTGATAATTTTACTATAAAAATGTATTTTTATACTTTCATATTGTTTTTTTGTGGTGGGGGTTCACTATTTGCCCTAACTGGTGCTACCACATGGGGTCAGGGCAGTCCTGGGAACAACAGCAATTAAGAAAGGATTCCACACTCCTCAAAAAGCTCCAATCTCCCAATCAGAGGACTTGTTGCCAGATATAGTTTAATGCCACACCCAGGAGTGAGTGAAGAGACAAAGGATAGAAGACTTACTCTTATTTAAGATACTATTACAGAGCTGTCAATAGTCATGTGAATCAAGCTTGTCAGAGGTTATACGGTGCCTCATTCTATCAGCAAACAAAGGCTTAGCCTCTTTGAGGAAACGTTTACAATTATCATGAGCAAACATGTACTAAACAGATGAGGATCATGTATAAAAAACTTAATTAGGAATGAAAATAAAAATGCTGGTGAGCAAGTAAAAATCCTAATATGAACCAATTACCAATAATTGGTATGATCCTACTTAGTAGCGTAGCTAGAGAGAGGTGATAGGGGTAGTCTAAATGGGTTGACACTTTTGGCCTGGTTTATTTTGTCTTACAGCATATCAACCTCAATTGGTTATTTAATGCTGACAAGAATTTTAGGATGGGTTTCTATGAATAGAATATTCTTTGTAAGAAATTAGTTTGTAGATCCGGTTTCACCGACATACTTTTGTAAAGAGGTTTTTTGTCAAGAGTCAAATGTATTGCTGGTTATATTCCTTTTTCAAAAATGTATTGCTGGTATTCTAACTATAAAAATCTATTTTTATACTTTCATAGTGTTTTGATCCCAGTTTTTTTTTGGGGGGGGACTATTTGTCTATAGCTGGGACCCTAACAGTTGTTACCACCCCAGATCGGGGTGAAACTAGGAACACCAGCAATTATGAGGTGATTCTACATTCTACAAAACTATAATTTTTCGTCATACCCAGGACAAGCGACACTCTTGGGGCTGTTGCATAAGCCTGTATTGAAATAAAAAGGGTTTTCATGTTGAGTCAACAATGGATATCTCCATAGATTTCATTTTAGTAAGTCTTAAACAATCCTTAACCTTTACATAAGCCTCTACTTTGAGTGACCCCCAGGCCTTGTACAGGATGAACCTTACTGTTAAAAAAGTAAATCTGAAAGACTCACAATCAAAGTTGAAGGCATGAAAGTAAATTTTTTTTTCATTCATTTCTGTGTCTAAAACATCTGTCCATTTTATGTTTGCATAAAAATGATTTCATCAGTCATGGACAGATAATGAGAAAGGAAGGTTTGGAGAATTTAACACTCAAGTCTTAAGAAAGCAGCAAGCTGCCTAATTGACAAGTTAGAGCAAATAGATGGAGGGACAAAATATGGAGAGACATAAATGAGAAACTATTGCTGAGAGCACAAAGGAAGCTATGGAGAGACATGATCACTCACATCAGATCTGGCACAGAGACAGAAAATACTACACTGATTCTTACCCCTCACAAATTTTACGAAGCCTGTTTTTCAGTTGTTCTCCTTGATAAAAGACAATGAAAACGGTTTTCCTGACTTCATCACCCTAAAATTAAAAAAATAAAAATAAATACAGTGATAGCTTAAATCATTTTGAGTTAAGTCATTTTCAAAGATATGTTGGTTTGTCTTAAATATTATATGGAAAAATAAAACTTGCCTCAGGTCATTTTACTCAGATTTACATCGGCTGTTAAAAATATTAGAAATGTCAAAACACCAAAATAAAAATAAACACATAAAATCATATTTAAATAAAAATCCACCAAATGGGCACCATTCATTGAACAGAGCACATCAAGACAGTACTCAATTTCTTCCATGTTCACTGTAGCATAGCCATTTTGTTTCAACACCTCTGATTCCTTATCAAATGATGATGTTGAACCTAAAAACATCTTTGTTAGAAGAGTTAGTACTAATCCTAATTCAACATCATTACTTGACAAGACACCAGAGATGTTGAAACAAAATGGCTATTTTTGTAGTAATTTTATAACATATTTAAGTTATAATTTTGAAATAAATAATTATATTTGCTCTACTCTGTATTGAGCACTCTTAAGAATAGTAATTGTTGGTAATTGGAATTTATTCCATATACACCAATCCTATACTTGGAGATTGGATATATATATATATATATATATATATATATATATATATATATATATATATATATATATAGTTGTGCTTGAATAAATGGCTAGTGAAATAAGGTAAAAAAAGCAGTAAATTTATTAAGAGCTACAAAGAGGAAGTTGTGGAGGGCCACAATTGTCCTGAAGGGACACAGCACATAGCTGCTGCTACCACATATCTTCTCTACAGTCAACCATCTGTTTTGAGAACCTAAAATCACTACACTGTTAAACTCTTGTTTCACTGAAAAAAAAAAAAAAAAAAAAAAAATATATATTATATATATATATATATATATATATATATATATATATTATTTATTAAAGACATTTTTTATGTTTTAACGTTGTTATTTTATAGATACAAGTATTTAAGCAAATGCTCTGTTTATGATAAACAGTATTAAATAACATTTACCGGCCTGAATGTCCGAGAAATTTTCATAGAAAATATTCGTTCTTTGACAGGATTCGAACCTGCATCCTATACGGAACCGTCATATACGCTGACGTGCCTTTTTACCTCGGCCACAAAGAACCAATCGGTAGACAAGGTCGAATTTACTGCTTATAAACTCCAATCTTCCATGAATCTCGTACATTCATAACTGCTCTGGCGTATCGAATGTAAACAAATGACGTAGACAAGGTCGAATAAGCAGTAAATTCGACCTTGTCTACCGATTGGTTCTTTGTGGCCGAGAGGTAAAGGCACGTCAGCGTATATGACGGTTCCGTATAGGATGCAGGTTCGAATCCTGTCAAAGAACGAATATTTTCTATGAAAATTTCTCGGACATTCAGGCCGGTAAATGTTATTTAATACTGTTTATCATAAACAGAGCATTTGCTTAAATACTTGTATCTATAAAATAACAACGTTAAACATAAAAAAATGTCTTTAATAAATAAATTGTCGGACCTTGTCCATTTCTTAACATATATATATATATATTTCTTGAATTAATAATTTACTCAAAATTTTTAATTTTTTTTTATCAGTAAATTTCATTAGTTTTGTTTGAAATTGTATTTTATTTTTTAAAATCTAAATAGTTAAGTTTTAATGCTTATTTTCTTGAACCCTTATTTGATGTGATACTGCCTATTTTTATAAAGATATTTTATGAACCTCAACAATCACATTATTATAAGATCATATAGAAATAACAGCATCTGTAAAAGTGATGTACAAAACTAACCACTAAGGATATAACATTTTTACTGTTTTATATTAACTGGCTGTTATATGCAAGTCATACCAGAAAATAGCAGATGTCTCAATCAAATTTAATGTCCATCAGGGACCTTTGATCAAAAAAGAGTTGATCTGTGGTGACCTCAATATGTATTGGGTTCAACATAAGAGATAGTTAAATAAGCTTTGTACTCAATGTCACATCAGAACCATAAAAGAGCTAAATGCCTAAGAGAGTTGAACAAGGTGTATTCATTGCCACGGATTGTAGAATTGGTACACAAAGGATGTTGGAGGAAGTGCCAACCTAAACAGGAAGTCAACCTAGCTGAATTTCAGAAGGTTACTTACAGTACCTGGTGTTCCCAAGTGGTCCCCCATCTAAGTACTGGCCAGATTTGACGCTGCTCAACTTCAGTAAATGAACAAGATTTGGTGTTTTCAGCTTGATTTGACTGTAAGCCAAAACCACTGCGGGAGAACTGGACTCTTGTATTCTCACAAGAAGATCTAACATCCAAAGAAAGTCTTCAAAACCACATACCCTCCACAACTGATGGTCATTTAACAGAATCCAGAAGTGAATGAACAATTATTTTATCATTAAAAAAAAAAAAAAAAAAAAAATTAGTCTAATATTTATTATCAAACAAAGTTACATGCAGAGGAAGGGACATTCAATAAAGAACATGGTGAGAAAGCCATTTCTAAACCATTTCAATCATTTGTAGACCAAAATGGGTTAGAATCTGCTCCCTTACCCCATTCGTTTAGAAACTTACCGTAACTGGATCTTCTAGGGGATTCTTTATTTCATCAAAACGCGGAAAGACATTACCCCGACAAGCAAACCACATGAGTCGTTCAAATGCTGGAAGCCTTTCTCGGTTGATGACACCAGTAATGAATCTGAAAATAAGAACAGATTTGAGAAAGAGTAAGACAAGTTGAACTTGGTAAATTCAGGATAATTCTAATGTTGTACAGGTAAGCCTATACAAAAATTTTGTCCAATATGCTTCATGGCTTGGTAGCAAGTTTTGAATATATTTAATAAAAAAAAAAAAAAAAAAAAATGCTGGACTTTTCAAATTCATATTTTATTTGTTAGTGGTCACTCATGTTTATCTAATACAGACAGTACATACATAAAAACAGCCTCAGATTAATAGAACACCCCCACCACTACGCCAACTGACCACACAAAAGCGAAAACATTAGAACTCCTACTAGACAGACAAAATTATGAATACAGATTATCATCCGATGCCTGCTTAGACATAGAATTTTTACAAACTTACATACATATAGAATTATCTACAGTTTTAATATGCATGATACATAACTGACCAATGAGAATCAAACCACATACAATTGAAAACACCAAAGATCTGTTTTTTTGTCTATTTTCTCACAAAGTTTTAATAAAAGTGAAACATCTTAGATTGATAAATATTAACTATTTGTTCTTTATTTTATCATCCTACCAGATTCTGATCTACATCTGATTTTCAACATACACATTATATATATATATAAAATGGATTTTTATTTTTTTATCTTACATATATCCATATTTGAGTAAATCCCCCATTTATTTTAAGCACTATTTCCTCTACTAGCTTGTAAACTCAAAAAATGATCATGCAGGCTGGTAAATGAAATAAATACTGTTTAAAATAAGAAACTCTAATATGAACATTTCAGAATGTTTGGTTGTCAATCTGAGGACAGTGCAGAGGATTCAGAAAGAGTTGGAGGAGTCTAATGGTGATTATGAAGGTGTTTTGAGTGATCACTAATGATGGCAATGTTATACATCCACAGGGCCTCAAACTCAACACAGAGACTGACATCAAGTGCCTTGAGGAGGTCATGCTGCACTGGGTCAAGCGGGCTGTTGCTGGACAACATTATATCTGGTAATAGGTCTCTGCCCCAAGCCACACAAGAAGGAGAACAGTTATGGCTTTCAGGTAATTTCTGCAACTATATCGCCACTTATCTGGCACCTAACTCTCCAGACCGCAACCCCCTTGATTATTATGTATGGGGTGCAGTTGTGAGAGAGACAAAAAAAACTTCTTGTAACACCAAAGATGAACTGAAGACAAGGATTATGACAACATTCACCAACTTAAACAATGATACTGTCTAGAAGAGTTGCAGGAGATTCCAAAGTTGTCTGGAGACCGTGGTTAAAGCTAATGGTGATTTTATTGAATAAATTTACTCTTTAGTATTTCAAGATATTTTTATGTGATTTAGGTAAATATATCTGTTAAAATGAGATGTCAGTGTTATTTTCATTTTGGCATAATTTAGACTTCTCCATCGTACCCTGTATATAACCTCTCCCAAACACTTGACTGAAATAAGCTGTTTTCATCCAGTTATCTATGCTAAGTTCAAAATAAAAATGAATACCAAACCAATTGAAAAATTAGGCAGTAGAAAATGGCCAAGTAGAACAAGAGAAATAGTTTTCCCCAAGAAAATGTTATGAAGGAATTTTTTTTTCTTTAGGTTAAAATCAAAAATAGGTAAGCCAATCTTAAAACTTGTGTAGATTATGTAAATCTTTTCTCTGTAAATATTTAGAAAGCATTCCAATCATTTATTGTATTAATTTTTTATTAATTTTATGATGTTTCTAATCCAGGAATGAACTGTAAGAATGTCCCCCACCCTAAATTTATAGACAAATCCTATGGATGCAGGCTGGCTATTCTTCCTAACCACTTTTCAATCTTGTCTGCTATATTTTTGTTCTTTCTTGAAGTCAAAATGCTATAATCACTTGACTGTATCCCTTTTGCATGTAAACATAATTCTTACTTTAGGAAGTTTTTTGTCTTATTACAGTTCCTTTGCCTGGTTTTGATTTGCATCTAATGTCGTTTGCTTAATATTATTTTTACCCTGTTCTTTTTCTTTTGTTTCTTACTGAGAACTTTGTCAATTTCATTTGCTGAGAATTTTACCAATTACATCATATTAACAATGCCAGAACTAAATACCATTCCTCTGATTGGTGTCATTACACAGGTTTCTTTCAAAAATATGTGCATGCTGTGATATTATAAATAAGGCAGTTCAATAAGTTTAAACATTTCAGAAGTCAGTTATTTCATATATGGCAAATTATGATTTATAAAATCTGTTAAAATTTCATAATTAAAAATTGTGAACATGGCTAACTTCCCTTTATACATTGCTTAATTCCTTATACTCCGAAGCTGTGATCTAAATTCTAAGGTAGTTATCACTTTCAGGACAGAAAATGGCTTTATTTGAATACCTATTTTTATGTCCAGAATAGAAGTGTAGGTTGACATTAAGGATAGGCTCAGATAAAAGGTTAAGTTGGAAAGTACATTCAAATTTATTTACAAAACAAAAATGGAGAAAAGATTGGAATAAAATGACAAGTTGGGAAAAAATGTAGAAAAATAATTTTATTTATTAACAAATAATTTCTGAAAAGTTAAATAGAATTTTATAACAATTTTTTTAGGGTTTAAAAAATTAAGTTTTTCCTTTTTTATTTTTTTCAAAATTTATGATTGTATTACTCAGTCCAGGGTGGAGGTTGTTCTGACTGATTGAGAGAGAGATGCATTATTCCAATGTCTTATTTCAAAATCAGTCACATTGCATGAAAGCATGCGTGCATGCACATTAAATGGTTCAAGCATATGTCACTTGCACACAAAACAGACATACGTGCAAAATGATGAACATCTGATGACCAGAGAACCAGACTGTTCTTTTATAATGTAGATAGACACACACAGAGTTTATATATTAGATAAGCAAAATCTAATAATTTTCCGAAAATTATATTTAAAAAAAAAAAAAAAAAAAAAAAAAAAAAAGGTGGAAGGGGAGATCAGAATTTATAAGGATCAAATCTCTGTTACATACCCAAGTTGAACAGAATTGCCAGAAGCCATAGCAGAGTTATCAGACATCATTGCATAATGATCCTCCATATAGGTCTGAGGTTCATGCGCATGCTGTAAAAAGAAATAAAATTCAAAAACCCAACAATTATTTAGAAAAAAAAATAAATAAAAAATCATTGATTAGGTATTTGGAGTTTAAAATATTGACTTTAGAAATTACTTTTATTTTATTGGTTCAGAACATCCAGCCTGTATCCGTAGGATCTATCTATAAATTTGGGGTGGGGGATGTTCTTAGAATTCATTCCCAGATTAGAAGCAACATAAAATTAATAAAAGTTTAATGCAATAAATAATTGGAATGCTTTCTCAATATTTGCAGAGAAAAAATTTACATAATCTAAACATGTTTTAAGATTAGTTCACCTATTTTTGAATTTGGCCTGAAGAAAAAAAAATCCTTCATAAAATTGTCTTGCGGAAAACTATTTCTCTTGTTCTACTTGGTCATTTTCTACTTTTCAATTGGGGAAAATACAAATTTTTGGCATTCGTTTTTATTTTGGACTTGAATCCTATGATTTTTGTGTTCCAATACAATCATCAATAGGTTCATAGGCAGTAAGGCAACTTCTTAAAGTTCTTTTTAATGAAAAGAAGTCAGTTTTCATTTAATATAAATTTCATTTCATTTAATAACTAATTTCTTTCTAGTGAATTCTTAAAAATATGGCTCTTACTTCCAAGTGACTGCCACTGACTTGACTGGTTGGATGGATAGGTCTTCTCTCTCTCACTAGAACCAGGATTCTACTTATATAAGGCTGCAAGCAGAAATATCTAACTTCCAACCAAGTGTCACTTGATCTCTTATTTTGTTAACTTTTGGTCAAGTGGGTGGCTGCTTCAGAGACCCTAATCTCACAGACTTTATTGCTGGTCATAAAGTAAAAGATGCTTCAGACACAGATAACATCATTTAGGGCCCACTGGACTGTGTATACCCAAGTGGACATGTGAGGGATCACTTGTGGCACACCCGCTCATCCTTGGATTATTTTGGCATAGATAAATCATACAAATATATAGTCTCCACATATTCAAACTATACAGGCTAAATTTACAAGGATTAAAGCCTATGAAAATTTGAATTCATTCAAATGATTTGAAGATTATCCAAAATAGTTATAGCACTGAAAAATCCTTTTCTCTAAGATCAATGCTTGCTACAGTTTTCATTTGCAAACTTTAAAGAACGTAACAGTGCAGTGGCTCTGATGAAGTCATAATATATGAAATGTCATTTAGTGACTTGAAGCATTGAGAGAGTTAGAAATTCTAAGTGAAAGAATAAAGATACTAAACGGTAAAAATATAGAAGATTACTGTCTATACTTGTGTATATAAGCCTACCTCATGTATAGTGCAACCCCTGAATTTGTTATGTGAAAAACCCGATTTTTTCTATATAGCTCATATAAAATGTGATCCCAGCTTCTGAACAATACTAGTAGGCTTAATGTAGTCAACTATTGCAGTTCTGGACATATTTTATAGCAAATGGTCTTCATTCTTTTCTGTAAAAAGCCGAGAAAAACCACTTACTATAAAATATCTGATATGGCAATTTAGATGCTGTACTTTTGCTTTCATTCATACCTGATTACAGTAGTTCCTTTATCCTGGGCCTACCTCCCACATAGCCTAATTTTCTTCACTTTTGTCTCTATATGAAGATCAAAACCTCATCCGCTATGTATACCATTTAAAATCAACAAATACCTTATTCTAATGATAAAAGGTTTCCTATCTCATTTACATTCATCTTCATATCGCTGGAGTATTGCCTTTCCAATGACAACCTTTTTGTTGAGATTACTGGTAACATAATGCGCAATGTCCGTTCAGGTACATACTTCAGGTTATGATAATTCAAGTTATTTTAAGAAAAAGTACTCTATACACGTTTTTTGGTTTATTTTGTTAAAAAAATGTTTAAATGTAAGCTGTGGTGTCGAGTCATTGAAAAATGACTGCTTGTTAATCTCTTTAAAAAAAAAATTCATGTGTACAACCTCGTATTTTTGTGCCAAAAATTGATCCTAAAAACTCACACTATACTCAAATATATACAGTAGTTAACCAAATTGGAACATGGATGAAAGAGGACTGTTTAAAAATATTAACTATAACCTATAAATTGTTTATTAGGAAAGTATCAGTAGGACTTGAATCCAAAATAAACCTAGTAAGATTTAGTAAATTCAATACAATTGAATTTTCCTTACTCCATTTGTCAGCCAAACAAAGTTGTGGTAATATGATTAAATTAGAGATTGCAGCTGCTTAGAGAACTTTGTCTTTCTATTGTTCTTAACAAGAGAATAATATTCTTCAGGTGTTGTGTTTTATGGGATATCAACCTCAATGGGTTACTTAATGCTGACAAGGTTTTTACAATAGATTTGTATGAATATGTATTCTCTGTAAGAAATCAGTTTGTAGATCTGGTTTCATTGATGTATTCTTTTCAGATATACAGTTTGTAGAGAAATTTGTTTTATTGTCATTCTTATTTGGGCTTATATTTTTTGGTAGAGGCCATTACTACTTCTTCATTTTGAAATTTTAAACAAAGAAAAGCCACAAACATTTTTCATTATGTGCATTTTTATTTTTTTTTATATACATTTTTCTAAATATTTTTTCTCACTTTAATATATATATATATATATATATATATATATATATAAGCTAGTTTTTATAAACAGAAAAGCAACAAGTAAAAGACTCTTGCTATCTTAATTTCTCTAGTGAATGTCCTCTTAGATTATATATATATATATATATATATATATATATATATATATATATATATATATATATATATAAACACTTTGAAATGGGTAAATTGTCACCATTTTATATTTTTAATTTTGCACATACGTGTTTTTATCGACAGCACAATATAGTAGGGTCAGTTGGGCACAGCCTGTGAGAAAAAGATGCAATTCACTCCACCAGAAATTTAGAAATGGCATGCTGTACTGCTTGGCATTCGTGCTGGAAGCTGTAATATGAATATTTCAGAGTGTTTAAGTGTCAATTTGAGGACAGTGCAGAGAATTCGGAAAGAGTTGCAGGAGTCTAATAGTGATCAAGAACATGTTTGGAGTGATCACTAGTGATAATGACATTATACCTCCATTCATCTTCCCACAGAACCTCAGACTCAACATGGAGATTGACATCAAGTGCTTTGACGAGGAGGTGCTGCCCTGCATCAAGAGGGTGGTTACTGGAGGACCCTATCTGGCAACAGGACTCTGCACCATGCCACACAAGCTGGAGAACACTGTCATGGCTATCAGTAAGTTTCTGCATGTCACTCCTTACATCTGGCCACCAAACTTCCCAGACTGCAACCCCCTTGATTATCGTGTGTGTGTGTGTGTGTGTGTGTGTGTGTGGTGCAGTTGACTGAGACACCGACAAAACTCCTTGTAACACCAAAGATGAACTGAAGGCAAGGTTTATGGCAGCATTCACTGACTTAAGCAAGGAGACTGTCCAGAAAAGATCCAGGAGATTCCAAGGTCGTGATTGAAACCAATGACAATTTTATTGAATAAATTTACTCTTTAATATTTCAAGATATTTTTGTGCAATTTTGTTAAATATATCTGTCCAAATGAGATGTGTTATTTTCATTTTTGTGTAATTTAGATGACAATTTATTCATCACACTATATATATATGTGAAAATATATAGAAAATAGGTAGGAACTGGTTAGGTAAATAATCCAAAGTCCCTTAGTATTTTAGTTATTATTTTTAAAAAATAGTGCTCGATACAAAGTAGAGCATAAATATAATTATTTATTTAAAAATATGATTCCAAATCGCTACATAAGAGGTCTCATGTTTCAAAACTAGAGCCGAAAACTTCAATATAATCCTTTAAATTAAATTGAGTTGAAAGTAATATGGGCTCCGTTCCATCCTCAAGCGAAATTTTTGTTGGAACCACAACATTCCAACAAAAATTTCGCTTTAATATCATTTAACACATCCAAAACAAAGCTAATAACATTTCATCACTATTGAGCAGACCCTAAACCTGCAACAATCCTGAGAAGTTGTCATTCTTTGAAAAAGACTCCTTGCCTTGAATGTCTACTGGGTCTAAAGCTTACTCCTGACCTCAAGTGAAATGTGTATATTTGTGTTATCGCAAAAAAGATGGATCAGTTCATTGTATCACTCCAGAAAATCCTAACATCCGATATCATGATCTATCATTATAAGAGGCAAATCAGATGAGAATGGAGTATGGCTGCTCTTTTGGGTTGGTACTGTCCAGCCTCAACAGAGTTCCAAAAGTGACTATGTCACCTTGTGGGTGATGAATTATTCTTCATTCACCCTTCAACCTTCATACCACAGATGAAATGTTGATAGCTTCTCACTACTCTATCATGATTACCATGATGGATATTCAGATGCATTACATTCCTTAGTTCTACCAGCTTGGATCTTCAGATATGACCCTCTACCAGGCTATGCTCACAGTGGCAAATCATCCCCATTTCCTTCGTGTTCCTTTCATAAGAAGCAAGTTCCACTCAAACAGCTAGAACTGTTACTTTATGGAACAAACTCCCAAGATAATGCTTCTTTGACCACAGCAATCTTGATCTCTTCAGGTTCAGGGTTAACAGATAGCTATTCTACATATTCTCATAATATTTACTTATTTAATTCCTCCCCCCCCCCAACTACCTTACAATCTCACTCAGTAACCCTCTACCTTGAGACTTGGATTGGGTGAACAGAAAATAATAATAAAAATAAGAATTGAAATTGAAAACAAGAATAGTACCAGTCATAGTAGGTTCGCTTGGAATGATAAAAAGGAACACAAGAACACATTGAAAAAATCCATAAAAATCCCAGCTCAAGATAAATACAAAAAAATTGTCTTGATAAGTACAGCCCACACACAAAGAACTTCATCCATAGCAGAAATCAAAATATGATGATGAAAATAAAAATAAATATAATAAAATAATAAATATGATAAAAATACAATTAATAGTAATAAAAATAGTTAAGAGAACAGCACAATTTAAGAAAAGATAACGAAAAAACAGTGTTTGATAATGTTAAACAATATTTCAACAGAATGTCTTTTTCAAGTTGAAACAATTTTTATCAAGTATAAAAATATATAAATCTACAAAAAAATGATAAGTCTTTGTTGAAAACATTGCTTGTCTTGTAATGAAAAATGGCTGTACTGGTAATGAGTAACATTTATTTTGTAGATTTATATATTTTTATACTTGATAATAATTGTTTCAACATGAAAAAGACAGACCTTTTGAAATATTGTTTAACATTATCAAACACTGTTTTTTTCTTTTCTTTATCTCTTAAATCATGCTCTTCTCTTAAATATTGAAAAATATTGAAAGTTATGTCAATCATTTTGTTTAATAATAATAATAAAAAATTGACTGTGAATTTATATTTACAGCAGCAAAGAATCCTTGAACTTTGGTTAGAACTTCTTTCAATTCAACAAGATCACAGTAATTTCTTTTGAGCGCAACAGCATTTACATTCACTTCCCTCAATTCGGATTCCATTTTCTCCAAAGATGCCTGCAAGAGAATTCCAAAGAAAGTTTTAAACAAATAAAAACCTTAAATAGCAGGCAAATGAGTAATAAAAAAATTCAGATTTTTCTACTTATTTTCAATTTAATTATATCAACAACAAAAAAAGATTATAAAAATGATATTTCAATTCTGAAATTATAAAAAAGAAAAAAAGGAAATAAAACAAATGTTAGATTCTTAAATTTAATATTAACATTATGATTCTCTTTGAATTTGAGTTGAGCTTCCTTTCAATTGGAATTGTCATTATTTTTGCTTCTTTTCTCTTTGAGAAGTATGCTTGCAGACACTGTTCTGTATTCGATTTGTTCCCACAATTTATTTGCAGGCAAAATCTCCAGGAAATTATATAAACTCATGAACCTTAGAATACAATTTTACACAAGCTTTCACCGTCATAATAGAATCCTAGAAGTGGCCTTTACATAAGCTTTCACTGTCACAATATCTTATATGGTTGGGTATTTGGTAACTGCTGTCATAGTTTGGTAGTGGACAGTCAATTGTGCTGCTACATTAGTTAACATGGCTTTCTTGGGATCAATTTGTTAGAGTTACCCTGTATCTGCCTTTAGAGGAAAATCAAATTAATTTTTTTTTCACCAGAAGTAAGGTATCAACACAGTCTGAACTGACTACTTTTATTTTCCTCAGTAGGGAAACTTTACCAACTACTTGTCAGTGAAAGAGAGAGAAGTGATTGAGAAAGAAACTTCCAATTCTCAGCAGTTTCAGTCTGGCATGTTCACTAAGAGGCAAAACTTCTCACTGAAAAGTATTAGATATAGAAATTCTGTTTACAGGATATACTTCATCCTTTTGCTAATTGGTTAATTCATGATTGAATGAAAAGGTATATAAACCACCAAATCTTTTGTCTTCTATTTTGTGATAGCCAACACCTTTTTTTCTTTTTTTTTTTTCCTCTTTCTTTGTCTTTATCATGTTACAGGTTCCTAAATTGGGACTTGCAACATGACACCCAAGTGTGACTGTCAAATTACCCTGTATCATTTGTTGGTTTATCTTACCTTCAGTAAGGATTTTGTTGGTGAATCTTCTGAACTCCAGGGTATTAGATATTGATATATCATATTACAGATATATGAATATATTTTAAGACACTTATGTTTATACATTCTTTTTATAGATACAAATATTTAAGTAAATGCCCTGTTTTTAATAAACAGTATTAATAACATTTACCGGCCTGAATACTGTTCATTATAAACAGAGCATTTACTTAAATATTTGTATGTATAAAAAGAATGTATAAACATAAAAATGTCTTAAAATAATTGTTGGGCTTTGTCCATTTCATAATATATGAATATATTTCTAACAACGCATGAAGTTGTTTATTAATTAGATTGCCCCCTCCACCACAAATGAAAGTGATAATCATTTACCACCCCAAAAAGTTTGTGTTCTGTGTGCGATCTGCCAAAGAAAAATTACCAAAAAGTAGTTAGCAAAAATCTACTTCAATGACTAGAATCTATGCTAATGTTCTACCCTCCCCTGAATGGCGTGACCAATCAGAAAGATCTCTTGATGAACCGAAGTTGTTGTTTTTCGCTTATAAAGGCAGAAAGATTTTTTGAGCTGAAGAGCGGAACACGTTTTTTGCTCGTGAGACGTGAAGGTTGGACGCGTGACCCCATTTTGTCATTTCTACTTTGTTTGTTGGACTGTTACGACTGGCTATCGTTTGAACTGCGATTTGGCTATAAGTGTTGCGGTCGAGAAACAGAAGAAATCTATTGCAGTTGCTACTATAAGTTGACAGTCTTTTCTTTACTACAACAAAACCTTAAAATTTTTTTTCAAATAGCTGTTTCAATGCAAAGAAAGACAAATTTTAATGCCACTAGAGATTTACCCTGTATTTTTGATTCACACTGTATACCAACAACTGTAGAATGATGACAGCTTAAGAATTGTGATAAAAAGCAACACAAATAAGAAAAAAAAAGTCAAGATACAAGCAAAATAAATGAAAATAAAATTCTGTCTGTTCACAGATGAAATTCATATTTAATTATGCAATATTACTACTTACTTCCAAGTCTACCATTTCCTTGGGTGGAGGAGCCTTAGGGGTCAGGTCACTTTTGTCTGCTTTAAGTCCCTCAGTGTTCATTTCCTTCTCAATGTAGCCTGAAAAGTGATTGAGGGTAATTATTTCTTTTTGGTTGGACAATGTTTTTCTTTTTTAAAAATCCACTGTTTTAATTAGATAATGAGGAAAGATAGCCTGGAGAATTTAACACTGATAAGACATATTGCAAACAAGAGAAGCAGGGTGAAGAACTGCAAGAAACCTACTTGACAGGTTTGCATGACTGGATGGCAGAAAAAAAAAAAAAAAAAAAAAAAAAAAAAAAAAAAAAAAAAAAAAGAAAAAAAAAAAAAAAAAAAAAAAAAAAAAAAAAAAAAAAAAAAAAATAAAAAAAAAAAAAAAAAAAAAAAAGAAAAAAAAAAAAAAAAAAAAAAAAAAAAAAAAAAAAAAAAAAAAAAAAAAAAAAAAAAAAAAAAAAAAACAAAAAAAAAAAAAAAAAAAAAAAAAAAAAAAAAAAAAAAAAAAAAAAAAAAAAAAAAGAAAAAAAAAAAGAAAAAAAAGAGAAAAAAAAGAGAAAAAGAAAAAAAAGGAGTTGTAGAGTTCACCTTCTGAATGAAAATAAAAGATTTCTTCTATATTCCCTAAAACTTATTCTTTAATTCATATGTAGGCTATTTAAATAATGATCAAATAGTTGCAATAAAAAAAACAAAACAGAAAAACAAATATAAACTAGTGAAAATTAATGGCAATATTTTAGTGGTAAAAATAAAGAAAATAAAATTAAGATGTATGGGTGTTGCATTTTTAAGTTTCTTTTTGCAGATCATACAATATTACGCATGTCATATCATATTAATATGACATGTAATATAACACATGTCACTTCCAACAATTAGACCCAATTTGTAATACTAACATTTCAAATATTCACTGTATATACAGATGCTATATAATATACATGATATTCCACTCAACCAATAAGAACAATACATTAAGTTTTAAAATTGATACATTGATGTCAATATACATATCATGTCTACACAACCAATGACAACATTAAATATTAAAAAAAAAAAAAACTGAACTATAACTATTGTGTTTGTGGTTGTACTTATCTGTGTCAAATAAGAACAAACACACAATCCAAACGTTTATACATTTTATTTACTATAGATATAAAACATGACCAGTGGATTAGTGGTAGATTGATAGCTTGATACACGACATGTGAGGAAAAACTTTTTTTTATCTTCGCCACATTTTTAGAATGAAAATTTGCTTGTGCTTCACCAACTTTTATAGAATAAAAACTACATTGAAAAATAAAAAAACAGAGTGAGGGTTAAAGAGAGCGAAGTGCAGATTCAAAGTCAGAACATTATCATTGATAACTCTCTCCTCCAATTGGCAGACCCTACTTACTATATTCTTAATACTTGATATAATGTAAAATATCACAATGATAAAAATCGGGCAATAATTATTTATAACTATTTATACGGGGACTCAAGTATGCAATTACAAGTAATCCATAATAATAATAATAGTTCTCAATAATGTTTCCTTTTTCTCATTCTCTCACACTCACTAACCACTTGCATCTTAGTGACTTTATTGCTTTGCTTTAGGTGTTCAAATTGTCACAGTATTTAATATTGTTGAAGTTATTGCTAACATTTTTGTCAAGATTTACAAACTCTACATTTCATTCAATTTCGCAAACCAATCAATAAAATACTTTGACAGAAAGCCTACTTTGCAGTTTAATAATTTGTTTAAGATTAATTACGACTTCATAGTAAACAATATTCTTAAGAAAATTTCTTTCCCCGTCCTTTTAACAGCAAAGAACAAATTCTTAGGATTTCTTACTCTTGAGTATGCAACATACAATTAGTCATGTGTAAATATTTATTTCTGGAGCCAAATTCCAACATTTTGGAGCATTCATGTAAATGCAGGGGAAACTGGATTTGTGTGTGTGTGTATATATATATATATATATATATATATATTTATTACACACATGCACAAAAGATATGCAAAAAACAATGTTGCATTTTTATTAAATAAATATTTATTTTACTTATTAAATTGTTTTTAAAATGGTACCAGTATTTTGTAATAAATAATAAAACTTAATTTTCAAAAAAAAAAAAAAAAATAAAAATAAAATAAAAATAAAAAAATAAAATAAAATTAATGAAGATTACTAGATTATGCTCCCTTAGTAAAACCAACTGTACTTTGTACCCACTTACCTGTTTGCACTTCTCCCCAAATTTTGATTGGTCAATTAATTCATAATAGATAGATATGCAGTGGTAATAATCTTGTAAATACAAAATTTGGAAGTCGATAAAAATCAATTGTCCTGGAATGCTAATCGGCTTAATTATTCCAGTTCATTTTGGAAGAGAAAAAAATAAAATCATTATTTTATTTCAAAATATTTACTGCACTAAAATAATGTACTAAGTTTTTCAATGAGTTATCCACATTGTAGGGCTGGCTAAAAAGAATGTCGAGGGAGATTCAATTATACAGTCTGATAAAAAAAAAAAATGTCGAGGGAGATTCGATTATACATTATTAAATGTTGTGGAGGAGATTCATTTCTATTTTTGTTTGTTGTATTTTACATCTTATGAACATTTTAATAGGTTATTTAATGACAATGAAATTTTTACGATAGGTTCGTATGAATAGAATATGTATTCTTTGTAAGGAATCAGTTTCTAGATCAGGTTTTATTGATGTATTTTTATAAAGAGGTTTTTTACCGAGAGTCAAATGTATTGCTGGTAATATTTTTCTTTTTAAAAAATGTATTGCTGGTATTTTTATCATAAAAATCTATTATTTTACTTTCATAGTGTTTTGACCCAACTTTAAGGGGGAGTACTATTTGCCCATAGCTGGGTCCCTAACAGGTGCTACCAACCAGGGTCACGGTGGACCTGGGAACAGCAGCAATTAAGAGCTGATTTCATACTCCTCAAAACCTCCAATCTCCTGATCAGAGGCCTTGCTGCCAGGTAGTTTTTCATCATACCCAGAACAGAATCTAATTATAGGCCTAGATCAAAAAATAAAATGTGGTGGAAATTCAAATGAAATTAAGAACTCACGCATTTTTCTCTGCATCTCTTCACATCGTCGTACCTCATTAACAAATTTTCTCTGGAAGGCATTTACATGAGGATTCAGCTGGAAAGAGAGAGAAACGAAAGCAAGATTTTAGATGATGAAAAAAAAAAAAAAAAAAAAAAAAAGAGAAAAGCAAAAAGAAAATAAAAAGAAAACGATTATTAAATTCATTCCGTGAAAGCCAACGCAACTATGATTTTTTTATGTACAAAACCAGTGTTTTTTGCATTAGATATTTCTTTTTACTCATGCAAATAAATAAGGGATAGTATTCTATAATTAGTATTTAATAGTTATCTCCCTTGAAAAGAAATCACAAATATCTTTGTTCATCTGCAAATCCCCAGAAAGAGCATTCTTGCATTTCAAGAGTGTGCAAATTCAATGTAAGTGGCTCTAATCAGAGTCATATTTATGGAAAGTAGCACTCTTGGCAAGGCACTAAAATTAAGCCCCAATCTGAACATTTAGTACCCTACCAAAGTGCAAAGTAGATATGCTAGTATTTAGCATAAAAAAAGAAGTGTTTATTATGTTTCTTAATTCTCAAGAACAAAAAAAAAAAAAAAAAAAAAAAAAGTATCAATTCACTTTCATATGTTTATGTTTTATTCCAATTCTAATAATCGTTTTTTAAAACCATAAACATTGCCAAGATTATATATATATAAAATCATTATTATTATTATATATGTGTGTGTGTGTGTGTGAATAGATATATTTTAAGAAATTTCTATGGGATAAACATCAAACGTGGCATTGAATCCTCCCGTATTTGTAGATCTAAAGAAGATTGTCCGGTAGCGAGCAAATGCAGATCTACCAGTGTTATATATCAAGCAATCATTTCCCACCAAAGAAAATATTAAAAAAAATTGTTTATATTGGAATTTCTGCAGGGGAATGGAAACAAAGATTTTATACCAATAGGAACTAATTTTCTAACCCACAACTAAAACACCAGACATCTCTTTCAAAGAAATTTGGGGAATTTATGAGAAAGGTTTGAACCTACAGATAGTTTGGAAGATTATAGGTTCTGCACATACTCCTAATAGTTTTAAAAGTAGGTGTGACATATGTTTAGAAGAAAAAAATAAAATACAATAACCAAAGCCAGCTATTGAATCAGAGGAATAAATTTGTGTTAAAATGTTGGCATAAAAACAAATTCAAATTTCCATAACGTAGGTTTTACTTAATTAGCAACTGTATTTTCATAATATTTACTCCCCTCTCTTCAAATGTCAAATGTATAACTAATTCTAATTTCTATATTCCCCTCTTTACACTATATTAATTATAATTTATAAATTTTTCCCCTACTCTAAGAACTCTTTGCTTTAATCCCTTATATCCTTTTATCTATACATTTTTATGTTATTTTTAAACCCCTTTTTATTCCTCTCTTAGTTTTAAATTAATATTTCATTCTTCATATAACCCCAAATTAATGTCATAAGGTTAATATTCAGGTTTAATTTTATAAAACTTCTTCCCTTCAAGACAAATACCTTCAACCCTCCCCTCACCTCTGTCTCAACCCTTTCGTCTAACTGAAACATTGAAATGGATAAATTCTGTAGCTTCCACAGTTAAATTTCTATTTCTGACACAAACTCAGTCCACACCGTGGTTGATAAGGCAGACAATCGATATCTTCTTCTGCTGAAATAGACTATTCCCTATATGAGGTGATTTGGGAATTCATTGTTTATTAATTATTTGTTCTGTAATAATAAATACAAGGAGTTCTTTTTGTGGATCAGTTTTAACATTTTATATTACTAGGATCCATATGGATTATATACCAATGAATTTGTTACCATTTTCCTTTTTTATGTGCTGTGTTCTTTCAGGACGTAGGCGATCATGGCTCTCCACTTCCTCTATCCCTTGTAGCTCTCAATAAGTTTCTACATTCTGTCATGCACTTGCAAGCCCACCAGGCACGTCATGCACAACTTTCCCTTGTCTCTTTTGCTCTATTCAACCTGCGAGTATCAGATTCTCCAGGCCCTCCCATCTCATTACATGTCCCAGAAATTTCAGCTGCCTCCTCCTGATGTTAAGTATAAGTCTCTTCCTTGTTTGCATTCTCTCCAAGACTTCATTGTTGCTTACAGGCTTGGTCCATGATATCCTCAGCATCTTCTTTCTGTAGAGCAACATCTCTGTTGCCTCGAGTCTTCATCTTTGAGGAGACCGTCCAACATTTGCTGTCATAAATGGGGACAGATGACATGAATGTGTGTGTGGGGGGGGGAAAAAAAAACAAATAGGAAATGTAACCATAAGTTTTATGCTAACAGTTTCTTTCCTCAGACTTCTCACTTGTGGAACTCCCTTCCAGCTCTGTTTTCCAGCCAAATTCAAAAATTTAAATGCAATGTCAATCACTATCTACAATCATTCTTTTGTTCTTGTTCTTTAGTAATGTTTCCGTTCTTAATTCTCCCACACCCAGTAACCCCTTGGGGTGAAATTGATATTAAATAGCACAAGAATTAGCACCTTTCTTCATTCCTTGCCGCCAATCCAATAATCTTTTCGCACTGAACAAATAATTTATAGTGTAATATTTATTTTGGCATTAAGCACTAAATCATTTGTCAACATTTAATGCAGACAGATTGTAAGTGTTGAATGTTGCCAATGACATTTTCTTGACTTCAATGTTGAACAGCATTAATAAATTTGCATCAGCGAAAGCAAGGGAAATGCAGTTTTAGACCTTTCCTTGCTTGCACGTTTCCATTTACAAGATGTAATGGATTGTTGTCTAAATTAAGCAAAAATGGAAATAATACTGACATTTCATTTTAAACAAATGGGCTTCAACCACAGCCTCCAGATGACTTCAGAATCTCCTGCAACTCTTCTGGAGGGTCTCCTTGTTTAAGTTGATGAATGCTGCCATAATCCTTGCCTTCAGTTCATCTTTGCTGTTAAAAGGGGTTTTCTTGGTCTCTTGCCCCACACATAATAATCAAGGGATTGCAGATTGGGGAGTTAGGTAGCTAGATGTAAGGGGTGACGTGGTCGCAGAAATATGACTGGGTTTTCTTGCTTGTGCAGAGTCCTGTTGCCAGACATAAGGTCTTCCCATAGATACCCTCGTGACTCAAGGCAGCACTACCTCCCCTCAAGGCACTTGATGTAGGCCTGTGTTGAGTCTGAAGCCCTGTAGGAAGATGAATGGAGGCATAACTTTGCTATCACTAGTGATCACTCCAAACACATTCATAATCACCATTAGACTCATGCAACTCTTTTCAAATCCTGTAACACTCTTGTCAGATTGACACCCAAACAATCTGAAATGTTCATATTGGAGATTCAGGGACGAATGCCAAGAAGTACAGCATGCAATTTCCAAATTTCTGGTGGAGCAAATTGCCTCATGGTGCTCTTTTTCTCACAGATAGTGCCCAACTAACCATACTATACTGTGCAGCCGACAAAATCAAAAACAAAATACGCAAAATTAAAAATATTAAATGGCGACAATTTACCCATCGCACCCTGTATGTGCTATGTCAGGACATAGGAAGTTGTGGAAAGCCAGGATCATCTAACCTTTGTGGCCCTTAGCAGTTTTTCTTTCTTTGCTAAGGCTTCTGCCCCTCTTTCTGTCATCCATTCAAACAAGATTGTAAGTGGCTCACTGCTTTTTCCTATCTCTCTTGCCCTTCATAAGCCCTGCAAGAATGAAATTTTTCAAAGCCATCCTTTGTTAGGTGTCCAAGGAATTTCAGCCGTCTGAGTAGAAGTATTCTTTCCATTATCATTTTCTTTAAGACTTCTTTGTTGCTGACTCTCCTTCCATGGAATTCTCAGCATCCTTCTGTAGAACCACATTTCTGCTACCTTCAGTTTTCTCCTCATCCAAAAAATTGTCCAGCATTCACTGCCATATGGATGCATAACACATCATAATCAAGCCTACTTTCCTTCGTTTCTAATGAAATTTTTTCCGTTTTTCAGCACCTTGCTTAGCTTTTGGGATGCTTCTTTCATCCAATACATGTTCTAATTCTAATCATCACTTTTTAAAACAATAAATATCGCCAAAGAGTGAAGATAGTTTTAAAAAAAAAAATAAAATAAAAAATAAAATAAAACAGCATCATGGGAAAAACTATCCTTTTGACACAATGTCTTATTGCGGCCATGCTTGTCCATGTTTACCATTTTACTTACCTGAGTTTTAAGTCAAATGTGAAAATTCAGAAAATATTTTCACCTGGCAAAATTTCCTATCAGGATCAGCAATGGTAAATAATGACAAGAGGTTGGATGATCGATGACCAACCTGTGCAGAGATTGTTTTATTTTAACTGAAGAAAAAAGAAAATGGTTACTTACATCTCTGAATTGTACCATGCCAAGTTCTCCAAGTTCAGAGACAACTGCATAGGCAGCCTCAGACTGCAAAAACAGTTGACACAAGGTCATCTCTTCACTCCTAAACATCGACATCTTGTGGCTTTCAAGTTAATCCCAAAGTTTTCAGCAGTAGTTTTTCATTAATAAAAAAATAAAAAATATAACAGGAACACCTAAAAAAGAAAAACAAAAGTAAATTTTCACATCAACAAAAATATAAAACACAAGTGCAAACAAACAAAAAACAAACAAAAAACAAAACAAAAAAAAACAAAAAACTAAAACACACGCAAGACGTTTAAAATCAATGTGTTTTTCACTGCAAAAATATACTAAAATTTCCTATACTGGTCACCAGATTAAGCAAGAAAAACAATTTTTAACTGAAATTTTGAAAGTTCTAAAAAGGATTAAAAAAAAAAAAAAAAAAAAAAATTTTTTAAAAATTGTTTGGTCTTTCCTCTTAAGTTTTTGACAATAAAACTTTGTTTTTATTAAGTTTGGGGCATTTTTTCATCAGATATGCTTCTTTTTTTTTTACCTATTTAAAATATAATTACCGGAGGACTGAACTGAATTTGATATTAATGAAGAACCTTTGCTCTAACATATCTGATCTTGTGCCCCAGCTGTTCATTGCGAGGTTCTCAACAAAATCCAAAAAAGGATCTGCAATATAATCAATCCTGACTTGGCATCTCAACTCCAGTCACTTTCTCATAGATGTGATGTGGCTTCCCTCTGTCTTTTCTACAAATATTTCCATGGCAACTGCTCACCCCGGTGTCTCAACTACATAAATTTAATCAAGCTACTAGACTGACATCTAGGTTCCACCCTAGTTGAAATGTAACTGCCACTTCTCAAAAAGCTTCTTTTCTCACACTTCCCACCTGTGGAATTCCTTTTCATTTACTTTCTTCCCTGATAACTACAGTCTTCAAAAATTTAAATGCAACATCAATCACCATCTTCTGATGTCTTAAACCCCGTTCATCTTATTCTTTCCTCATTCCTCCTACAGTTTTTCTCCCCTTATGAACCAGTGGCATTCCCAACTTGCTTGAGGTAAAATGCTTAAAAAATAAAAATAAAAATAAAAAAATAAAGAAAAATAAAAAGAAATAAGAGAGTTGATCTGTGGTGACCCCAACATGTACTGGGTTCAGCATCTTAAGCTTTGTACATGGTGCTATCTCAACTGGAATTGGTACACTATATTGGTCACTGCTAGTTTAGATTTGATTGGGTTATTTCGGTATAAAATTATATATTATATCACACACATATAACACCCACACAGACTAAAGAATAAAATTTTCTTCAATTCCAGTTTCTCTATAGAAAGAAAAACAAATAAAAATTCAGAATAACCTTTTGGGAAATTAATTTTTAAGATTATTTTTATGGCATATCAACCTTTTGCCAGTTATTTAAAGGCAGGAAATATTTTTAGATTGCAAAAATCTTTGAGAGATAAGAATTTACTGATACAAGTCCTACTAAGTAACCCATAGCTGGGGAGAGACAAGGTGGATTTATACATTTTCCAAGGCTATTTGCATAAAAGTGAATATAACAAATCCAACTGGAATTGGAACTAGAGTATTCAATTTCCAATTCCAAGCCATTATCCATAACACCATCTCCATATGCAAGCTCACAGCACCTGCTATTCCCAAGCAGTCACCTATCTAGGTACTGACCAAGCTCAACATTGCTTAACATCAGTGATCAAGCAGGTGTTTCAATGTGATATGACAGTAAGCCATGAATTTTAAAAAACTCAAATGCTACTAATAATACTACTAGTCTATATAATGTCTTTTTTAACTAATGTTCATCCAATAGAAGGCCCAAGAGCCACTCAAGGTAGGTTACTGAATGCGGTAGTTGGTATGGACATAAGATGGAGAAGGTGAAGATTATGACGACATTGATAACGACTGACCCTAGAATTTGAGGAAACATCCATGCCGAATAGTGGTTCTTGGGAAGAAGCTGAAACTTCCTTCTTACAAATGGAATATGAATGAGGGTCATCTGACCATGTGGACGTATCAATGCAAGTCTTAACTGTAAAAAATCTCAACTGATGAAACTAAAGGATGGCACTCATCTGTCATGGAAATAACATTTGTGGGGAAGGGGTTATAGTCTGGAAAATAAGCCATCACCCACAAGGCCCTGTAAATGGTTTTGAATTCTGTCAAAGCTGGAAAGTAAAAGTTTGGCAACTCCAGTATAGATATTTTTTGGCCTAATCTCACTTTTGCAAAGATAGAGCAAGTAGATTCTACAGTGGTACAAGGAGCCAGCCATTTTTCCAGCATGGGCCATATTTCTTGGTGGGGGGTGTGAACTTTAGTTTCAATAGACCAGAGATTTTCAATTGTAGGAGTGCCACAACAATTTTTTTTAAAAAGATCTGATAAGAGTCCATGTCTGGTTTAAAATGTCAGTAGTTTCTCTAGGTAAGTCAAAATTCAAAGTTGCCAAGAGAGAAATCATAACAGTTTAAATAGGATCTAATGGCCCAATCCACCCTGGGCAGGAGGGGGATACAAGTCTATGCTCCTGCTGATAGGAACAATCCATTAAGTTGGGGAGGGGGGATAACTGGTTATACCAGTTACAATGAACAATAGTTAACAATCTAATTAATTATTTTCAAAAGAAGTCCAAAGCAAAGTACATGTCAGAATCATTCTAGATTAAGTATACGAGTATATCTGTAGTAATAAATGAACGTATATATAATATAAAAAGATAAAATGCATTTGAAATGTCTGAACTCATGAAAAGATGAAAACTGGATAAAAATCTTATTGAACAAACTTTAAATTTATTGTATACAATTTTTTTTGTTTTCCTTGACAAGATATTCTGATAATTTATATTTTTCAAATCCAGTTTAAACTTTTAAATCATTTCATCCCATGCAAAGCAATAAAGCCACGAAGACACAAGTGTGAGAGAATATGAGGAGCAGTGGGGGGTGGGGGGGAGAAAGAACAGGAATTAAGATGGGAGATAATGATTGACATTGCTTTTAAATTTTTGGAAACCAAAACAAAAAGCCAGAGAGTTTCACAAGTGATAAATGCAAGAGAAGAAACTGCTAACATAGAACTTACAGTTCTAGTAATAATATTTATTGATTAAATAAGAACTAACATTAAATAATGGTAGATTTTAATCATTGAGTATTAAGTGGGGATGATGAAGTGAGAAACATGGCAAAAAGACTTGGTGGAAGTGGGGGTCCCACTCAGCCATGAAGAATACTGTGAAGCAGTCAAAGAGTCCCACTCTGTATTGCAATGGACAATGACAGAGAGAATAAAATATGGTTTCATTCTCTTTCCAAAAGTACTAGAGCAGTTTCTGTCTGAATTTAAACTCTACTCCCCAATTTCAATATACCGAGTGTAACAGTAAAATTGTCTATAAGTTAGATTAAGCTTTGAACTGTTGTATCTGAGAAATGATTAAAGATATCTTACTGGAATTCTCCAAGGTTTTTATAAGAATTGTGATGAAAACAATCATAAACGAAAATGTCATATTCATTTAGTAGTTTTTAAGATATTAAATATTATGAGGAATGGATAATTATCACATGCTGTTACATGATTTGGACAAGTTTGCTTTTGCACCTGGTACATGCTGTTAACTGAAAGTACATCATCATCATCTATGTGACATGGGGGATAATGGCTCTCCACAATGGTCTAGTGCTCCTGCTATACATTTCAAGATCATTGATAAAATCCAAAGAAGAACCTGCAATGTTATTGATCCTGACCTGGTATCTCAGCTTCAGTCATTTTCCAAATTGCCCGAATGCAAATTCCCTCTAGCTTTTCTACAAATACTTTTATCATAACTTTTCTGATGAACTTTACTCTATGGTACCTAGACTATATGAATTTAAGTGTAGTACTGGATTGGCCACAAGATTTCACTTTACAATTGAAATAGCTAGATTTAACTAAGTTCTATGCTAATTGTTTTTCTTCTCTCTCTCTCTATATATATATATATATATATATATATATATATATATATATATATATATATATCTCTTCTGTTGTACTTCATGCTTGTGGAACTCTTCTGGTATCTTGCATTCCATTTAATTTTGAACTTCAAAAATTAAAATGCAATATCAATCGCTATCTTCTGTCTTCTTAATTCTTCTTTTATTGTTCTCTCTCCTTAATGTTTCTTTTTTTTTTTCTTTCTTTCTTATATTCTTTCACACCTGGAGTGAGATAAAAAAAAAAAGAAAAAAAAAAAAAATTCTCGTCCTTAGTAGCTGTTAGTCTTTGCTATCTACATCTCGAAAAGAAAAAAATTGAAGAAATTTTAACCAAATGCGACTGTATTTTTATTTTTTTTTGCACTCTCCCACCAACTCCTGGGAGAGGCTCTCTTTCTCTCTCACTACCCATCCCACCGTCTCTCACCTCATAAATTCAAACATCAAGATACACCATTAATTTTTGATCATCTTCATGCACTGAACAGGTTTAAACCAAATTTGAAAAATGTACACTGGCCCAATTGGGAAGAGAATTGATTTCTCAAGTTTCATGTTTGTTACATTTACCATTGCCTAAAATTTATGACTAAAAAAACATTGATTTACCTTGTGTTCACTATTTTCTTGGCAAAAATAATTTCCAGTATCACAAACTATTTCAAGTTATTTGTGTTTCTCTGATACACTTTCAACATGGCAGTCAACACCAAAGTAATCATAGCATGAAATATTATCATTAATTTATCTTAAGTACACATCGCTAGTAATCTTTGGACTGAGATAAAACTTACCCAAAAATGATAAGAACTAATGTAAACATTTCTAAACAGATTTTAAGAACAAAAATCACTCCAAATACATACAGATAAGCTACTTCCGTTTTATTTCATTACAAAGTTACTTATATTTACACTATTTACGTTGTTTGGACTATTGTCCCCATCTTTATTGTCATATTTACAATGTTTCAGCCACTGTACACTTCGACCTTCTTCAGGTGATATACATTGGAATTTTGAACTACACCCTTTATTTTGTCCACATGGGTAGATTGTTCTAGTTCTGTGTCAAAAATTGGCCACTTTTAGAAATATATTATATATGTGCGTACAACACTCATTTCAATCAATTTATCAATTTATTGATTTCTGAAATACAGCAAACTATTAGCTTGGAATTAAAAGTAAAATAAAAGCTTCAAGAAAGATTTTTCATTTTAAACCTTATTTATATATATATAAAATGCTGGGTTATGATTGGTTATTTTATATATTTATTAGTTTCCACACAAGTAGGAAGGGAAAGAAGGCAGAGGGTAAGTAAGGAAACTAAGAAAAGCAGACAAAAGGAAAACAAAGAAAATATTGTGATAAAAGAAAGACAAACTGGCTTTCTTCAGTTTTATTACTCTTTTACCACTTTGATCTTTTGAAGTGGGTAAAGTTTCATTTTATATATTTGTTTATTTTCAAGTCTAATGGGGAAATGGGGATACTTTGGTATTTTTATTTATTTCATCATAGTTTTAAGCAGGTTACTAAGTATTTAGTCATTTACTAAGCAGTACTTAGATAAAACAAGACAAAGTACAGAGCACTCAATGAGGATAGAATTCATTACTCAGTCTTAACCAATCTAGTGAGAAAAGCTCGCTAACCATTACACATCAGGTTGCTTAAGAATTTAATAAAAGCAGTATTGTTTTGAATTTATATGACTTAAGATTGTTTTTCATTATTTTTATACTGCCATGTACTGTCAGGATTTTGGTGATAATAGCTCTCCACACCTTCCTTTTGTAATATCTAAATTAACATGACTTTGTGGAAAGATAGTGAAGCAGTTTTCCCACCATTACTTCTCCACATTTTTGAGTCAAGAGTAACTCTTCTAGACTTGCTACTATCCAAGACTAGACAGACTTGTTTACTCTGCTATTTAACCTATAGTTGGGGGGAGGGGTAGAAATGGATTCACGGATTTCCTCAAGAGCATTTGTGTGAAAGTGAATGCAACAGGCTGTGCCAGAATTTTAAACTGCCTTCAATGATTCCACTTTCCATGCTGATAATGGTAATGCTAGCCACACACTGAAGACACACATGTTCCATAATGGTTACGAAATTGAATACTGCTGCCATATCTACTCTGGGGCTCCAGATTCTTTAGATTCTTGAGAAAATTCCAAGAATTATCTTTAATGTTATTAATCCTAACCTGGAATCTCAAGTGCAGTCACTTTATCCCCAATGTGACGCGGCATTGCTCCGTCTTATCTCAAAAATATTTCTATGGAAATTGCTCTTTTCCTCCATAGTGCCTCAACTGCATGAACTCAAGCATGCTACTTGATTGGCAACTGGGTCTCACTGAACTTGCTAAATGCAACTATCACTTCTAATGGTTTCTTTTCTCTCACTTCTCGCCTGTGGAACTCCCTTCCGATGTCTTACTTCCTTGCCACCTACAATCATCACCATCTTCTATTTTCCTAAAACCTGTTATTTTGTTGTTTTCCTCACATCGCTTTATTGTGTCCTAGTGACATTATCACCTTGCTTGGAGTGAAATAATTTAAAAAAAAAAAAAAAAAAAAAAACTTTATTAAATGTGTATACAAATCTAACAGCAAATATGAATGTGCATGCATTCAATAAGACATACTGTCAAGAGGACATTTTTTTCTGCCATGACACAGGTTTTTTGTTCGTTTTTTTTAAACTACCTTCACTCTTTGGCAATATTTATGGTTTTAAAAAGCAGTGACTAGAATTGAAATAATACCAAAAAACATATGAAAGTGAATTTATACGTTATTTTTGTTCTCTAGAATTGACAAAAATATTAAACACTTTATTAGATTATTAAATTATCCTTGTAAATAAACAAAGTTTGAATCAATTGGCAATTTGCTGATGTTTTGCCAACCATTCTAATAATATAAGTAAATTGTGTTTATTATTTTTGTTGTCAAATTTCAACATGAAAATGTATAAATTCACTTTCATATGTTTAGGTTTTATTTCAGTTTTAATTATCACTTTTTAAAAGAAATATTTCCAAATAATGAAGGAAGGTAAAAAAATCATAGCCAAGAGAAAATGCATCCTTTTGATACACCATGTTATTGCAACTATGCAAATCCATGTTTGCCCTCAACAACTATAGGAAGTGTGTGTAATATATATAATTCTTAATTCTTGCCAATACGTTTTGTCTTTCAACTTTATCAGGGCAATGAAAGGTAAATATTTTGTAGCCATAGATACATCAAATCCAAAATTTAAAGAGACACTCCTGCGTAAGCCTCTTTCCGGATATTGGTAACTTCCTTTTTACTACGAGTTTGTTTTTTGTTTTCCATGTCAGCAATATTGTTAAATAATAATAATTCTGAAGACAAAATGGTTTAAAAATATCAATTGGAAAAAATTCCTTAGTTCTTGCTGACGTGTTACCAATATCGAGAAAGAGGCTTATGCAGGAGCATCTGTTTTTTAAATTTTTGATTTGAGGTAACTATAGCTACAAAACATTTTGCATTCATTGATTTCCTTGATAAAGTTGGAAGACAAAATGCTTCAGCAAGAACTAAGAATATATATTAATGCGTATTTGGGCAGCAACCTTTCAAGCATGTTTCATTGAAAATGGCTGACAAGGAAGATTTAATTAATGTTTTATTGAGTTTTTCCAGCATTCTAACATTTTTTAGTTTTTCATGTCTTAAAGAATATAGGAATTGTCCATAATTGTTCCAAACACTTTTATTAAGTCATAATTTACAACAACCTTCAAGGAAAATTCTAGTTGACAACACAAAAATTCTTTTCAATTCATATTGCTGCACACAACTCATAATTAGGAAAGCATTGCTTATTAAATATTATTTGCCAGTTAATCTTACAAACTTTAGCAGTGGAGATATTATGTAAAAAGTTTTCTAAAAATACAAATTGTGCACAGGTCAATCAGGCACATGTAGCACATGACCACCAAAAAACATGCAATACCCACCGCACATACTCCACACAGCAAAATTACTATGTAGAAACTGCACACAGAAATTCACTATCCAAAAAAACATCCTTGAGAATGGCTGTAGAACCTTCCAAGAGTGCTCAGAACAATTATAATAATGGAAAATTCCTATATTCTTTAACCCCTAAAATATGAAAAGTTAGAATGCTGGAAAAATTCAATAAAAGATTACTTAAATCAACCTTGTGGGGATGTTTTCAGTGAAACATTAGAGACACGGTGGGGTGATGAAACTTTCTTTTGTTACCAAATTAATGTCCATGAAATTTTCCTCCTGAATGCCTAAGTGTGATATACAATACGTACTTTACAGAATCAAAATAAAATTTTTAGATTACTGGACGGATGTGAAATATTAATGAATTAATATAGAATGCAAAATAGAATCTTCTCTCCAACTTTCTTATTAGGTTTTATTGCAAGCCACACAGCAAACTTGCAACCCCGGCCAAGTCTATGCAAATTTATTCAACTGGATTTCTAAGGTCAAACCTCTAGAGGTCTACTTACATTTCACAATAAAATTGTTTACTTACTTGTTAATATGAAGAAAGGTAAGGATGGTCGTGTGGGGAAAGAAAAAGAAGAGTATAAAACAAATGAAGGGTGGGGAAAATAAAATGAGTCAATGTGGGGAGAATTGATAAAATGAAAATACAAATGGACAAGAAGGAAAAAGAGGGTATGTCAATAGAACACACAAGAGAGAAAGACATTATTAAGAAAAAGAGAATGGAGGGGGGGATTGGGAAGAAAAAGGAATGTAGGGTGAGGAAATGAAAACAAAGAATAATGCAATGTAAAAACAGGAACTGGTCTTAAAAAAAAAAAAAAAAAAAAAAAAAAAATAAGTAAATAAAAATGCAGAAGCAGTTCCGTTTTATAGAATCTATCATTTGCTGATTTATATGCCAATGGCATCAATGTGGTCTGAAAACACTCACAAGAAACACTCAAATGTCTCAATATAAAAAGTAATTTTAAAACAAACTTCAACTGAAAAAAGTAATATATGTAGATAGGTTTTGAAATAATACGAGGGTCAGTCAAATAGAATAAACCGTAATTCATTATATGTAGAGTGTGAAGGAGTATAAGATGCATAGAAATTCCAGGTGAAAAGTTTTCATGTACAAAACAAAATTTAGAACAATGAAGAAAACAAGAAAATTTTGTTTACTTTTGTGATTAGCAAACATTACTTTTTATGACACACACACATTTTATATATATATATATATATATATATATATATATATATATATATATATATATATATATATATATATATATATACACACACACATATATATGAGAGAGACACAGAAATACACACAGAAACACAGAGAGAGAGAGAGGGACACAGAGAGAGGGAGAGAGAGAGGGACACAGAGAGAGAGAGAGAGAGAGACCAACACAGAGAGAGAGACAGAGAAAGACACACACACCCACAGAGAGAGAGAGAGGGACACAGAGAGGGAGAGAGAGGGACACAGAGAGAGAGAGAGAGACACACAGAGAGAGAGAGAGACACACAGAGAGAGAGAGAGAGAGAGACACAGAGAGAGAGAGAGAGACACACACAGAGAGAGAGAGAGAGAGACACACACAGAGAGAGAGACACAGAGAGAGACACAGAGAGAGAGAGAGAGAGAGACACACAGAGAGAGAGAGAGAGACACACACAGAGAGAGAGAGAGACACACACAGAGAGAGAGAGAGACACACACAGAGAGAGAGAGACACACACAGAGTGAGAGACACACACAGGCACAGAAATCGGTTGAAATATATCTATCCCTCATGAGTTAATTTTGGATTTTGTTATGTAATACTATTTATTGACTTTTATAATAAATACATTGAGCTCTTTTTGTGGGTCAGTTTTAATATTTTATATTACTGGGATCCACTTGACCTTTACTATATATATATATATATATATATATATATATATATATATTTCCAGAGACTGAAAATGTTGAGTAGAAAGAGGACCAAGATTCCAGGAGACTGATGATGATGATTGATGCTGTATTTAAAGTCAGATAAGAGTGTACACAAAAAGTGTAGTAGAAACAAATTAAAAAAAAAAAATTTTCTTAGCAGACACCATTTTTGTATTTTGTTTTTATGATGGTAACAAACTATAATAAGAAGCAACTATTAGCTCATAGAGATCTTTTGGAATCTAAATTAATTGCACTATTTTTGTTTATAAGTCACTGTACTCCAATTTCACTAAATCTTATTGCACTCCATAACCGATATCAATGTGGCTAAGTAACTTCAAAAATTCTACCAATTCTACTAATTTAGTTACATTAAAACTTCCTGGTTAAAATCCCGAGTTCCTTATAGGGTTTGGGGATATCTATGTCTCAGGATTTTTCAAATATCTCATTTCCTAAAAGATACTCCTTTCCCCAGACCAATATACAGGACAATAAATAGTGAAAAAAAATTATAAAACAATGGTTAAATCAAAATCTATTTTACATAAATAATTTATCAAATTCAAACAAATGATATATAATAATTACATAAATAAATATTTAAAATTTCCTCAGGTGCAACATAGGACTCATTTCATACAGAAGGAAACGTCAATGATTACCCCAATACTTGGCAACACGTTCCTCCAACGACATATATACACACACACACATATATATATTAATTCATTCAACTTCTAGCATATGGTACAGATCTGTGGATAATGATTTTTTTTGTTTTTTATGGCTAAGTAATGATTGATGTCTTTGCCACAAGATTTGCAATGCCAATTGCAGTATTTGACATGTTAATTTACATGTCAGGTTTAATATTCAGTTCTGTAATTAATTGTGTAGCTTTGGCTATAGACTGCCCAATCCATGTCACCTGTCCTCTGTGGCACCAGTTATCTTAATTTTAAATTACCAAACTCTAAGAAAAACAGTTTAGAAACTACTTGATAAGTGTGTTGGGCATACAATTTCGCTTTTGTGGGTAATATCAGATTTTGTTATTTTTAATCATCCATACTTCGGCTGTCCTAGGAGATGTTAAAAAAAATTTAAGCAGGCTTTCATCACATCTTGAGAAGAAAAACTGTCATTATCCACTTGATCTTGACCTGAGCTGATTTTTTTTATTAATATTTACCTAATACAAGGCCCAAGAGCCACTCAAGGTAGAGGGTTGCTGTGTGGAGTTGTATTAGCATAGAAAAAGACAATAATTAGGAGTACAGATTTGAAGTAGACTTAAGGAACCAGAAACCCAATCTTAAACAGAAAAAGGATAAACCGCTACTTAAGGAACCAGAAACCCAATCTTAAACAGAAAAAGGATAAACCGCTACTCCTGTTCAAAAGGCTGGGGAGGAATGTGAACCTACCTACATCCATTGGTGGAAAAAAAAAAAAGAAAAAAAATTAAAATAAATAATAAGTGAATAAAATTTCAGTGTTCAGGTACATATGTTAGGTGTACAAAGCTGAATCAAACTTTAGAAGGAACTGGAAACCCAATCCCAAACAGGAAACAAAGGATAAAATTCTACTCCTTTTGTTTTTATTAAGAAAAATTTAGAAGCTGAATACTGATCCAAATATTCATTTTGTTTCCGTTACAATCAGAAATGTTGGAGACATTTGCCCTTCTGAATTTGTGCTCGTCTCCTATTACAAGAAACAAAAGTCATCTCTCATTAACTTTGGTGGATGGATTGTTTTTTTATGGTTTATCAACCTTTTTGCAGGTTTGCAAACATGTATTTTTCATTATATTTTAAGTAATTTTTGTTTCTAACTGAGTAATCATTAATTTTGATTGAATCTTAAATTTCTATAAAGGTTTTATCTTTGTAAGTATTTTTTTTTAAGTTATAGAACTTAAATTTTTCTATCAATAGACAAAGTGAATTTTGAATAAAAATGATTGAAATTAAAGACCATCTAAAACGTGATTCAAGCAGACGAAAGTAAATTTCTGTAATTACTAACTTTATACTATATATTCAATTAATATCAAGATTAAAATTTTACATATATTGCACCATTTTAAAAATTAAAGACTATAATCATTGCTACAATTTGAAAGGTTTCAGGTACTTAATGAGTTGTAATACGCAACATGTAAATTATATTCAATTTATAGACATATTTTGGAATCAGGTGTACAAAACATGAATAACGGATCTCACTCTTAGCAATGAACTTATTGATCCCTCATATGTGTGTGTGTGTGTGTGTGTGTGTGTATTTAGGCAGCAGTCTTTTATTTATGCATGTTTCATTGAAAATGACAGAACAAGTAATACGATTAAGCTTTTTATTTAATTTTTCTTGTTTGAAAAAATGTTTTCTTTTTTGGACAGAGTTTGTAGAAACTGTCCAAATGTCTTGTAATTCCGAGTGCTTTCAGCCATACTTTTAGCCATTATCAAGGATGATTTTATTTTTTTCAATTTAATTGGGTGTGAGTGTTGTGTGTATGTTTTTAGTGTTTTGGAGATGTTTTATTTTCTGAACACAGCACATTGTGGCCATGTTCATAGTTAATATTATTAAGTTTTAGGCTTTTTCATTGGTTTTATATATATATATATATATATATATATATATATATATATATATATATATATATATATATATACACCTTTCTTCAATGGACTAATAAGGAGACAGGATGGTCCATTAAAGCAGATTGTCAGTAAATGGGAAGGGATTATTTTTGAGTTATAAAACCACTATAGTAACTGCTAGTAATTATGATCATAATGTAAATACTATAAACATGTATATATGGCATAAATAATTATATACTTAATATAGATATATTAATTAAAATAACAAAAATAATATATTTCTCACAGCTACTTTCTCACACATGCGCTAATGCGCCGTATTTCTGTCTTTGTTTACAATGGAAAGCTCCACCACCACCAAGTAGTCACTTTGAGAACTAATACGACTCGTTCTGTTAATTCCACAAATATTAAAATACGCCACTGATGATTTTGGATTTCTTTCCTGCAAATTTTTTATTATTTTACCTGCAGCTTTTGTCAGTTACATTTGAAGTCCATTGATTGGGGGGGGGGGCATAGACGAGAGTTGTGTGTGTGTGTGTGTGTGTGTGTGTATATACATATATATAAAAATCAATTTCACCCCAAGCAAGGCAGTAAAGTCACTGAGTGAAGAAGAATTAGGAATAGAAACATTAATAATGAGCGGGAAGAGAAAAAGAGTAATCAGGAGGAAACTCGATACTGATTGACAATGCATTTAAATTTTTGCAGATTAAAGATGACTAGATATCATGGAGCTAGAATGAAGTTCCACAAGTGAGAAGTGAGAGAAAAGAAACTATTAGTATAGAACTTATGGTTAAACCTAGCCAGCTCAACTTTAAAATGACTAAGATCTTGATGCCAGTCTAGTACTACAATTATATAAAGTCTAGGTACCATAGTGAAGAATTCATCCAAACAATTGCCATGAAAGTACTTATAGAAAAGACAGAAGCAACCTTAAGGTGGTGTGAAAGTAACTAAAGCTTAGCCGCCAAATCAGGACCAATAATATTTCTTTGTATCTTATCAAGGCGCTCAAAGTAAAAAGCAGGGGCACCACACAATATGTGACAATATTCTAAACCTAGGTGGAATGGTAAACTTAGATATGGTAGATATATATTTAAAGTAGATTCTGGAGAGGAAAAATTGTCTCGCATGACACTGAACCAAGTTTCTTAGCAGCTGACCTAGCAATGGATTCAATATAGTCATTCCACTTTATATCAGCTGAGAACATTAGACCAAGAAAGTGCAATGAGTTACTTTCTTGGAAAGCAGAGAGGGGTCCCTCAGATGATTAATGGTGAGAAGTTTAGTTTTGGGGATATTAAAGATATAATGGATTTTATTTATTTACTTCTTCACAGGGGCAAATATAAGATAAGGTCAGTTCAAGGGGGAGTCCCACATGCATAAAGACAAAATCTGCTCTGACCTTGCAGCAAAGGCTTAAATCAAGAGGTGTTGTCCAAGTTGGAATCTCCAGGAACAAGTCTTCATTTATTTGTGTTGTAGCTTGCTTAATATATAAAAGTAACAATTTGGTAATAACAAAACATAAAACCTGATAGATTTCATTTTAAGCAAAGCCAAGAATATTTGTAAATGATGACATCAGTAATTTGTTTTTTGCCAATGTTTTTATTGATTTCTGGAGGCTAACATTTAAAAACAAACTGTTGTTGAATTTTCATTCAACAAAATCATAAAATTTATGGTTCATAATTGAGCCAAGCTTTTTCCACATAAAAAGCTTAAAACATACATAATATACTTGCTAGGTTATAATAACCTCCTCAGTAGGCCTAGCATAGAAATGAACACCATAAGAAAGCCTTTAATTAAGAAAGGACATAAGGCCTAAGACTAACATGTTCCCTCACCCAATTTATGTAGCATGTCATATAAAATAAAAGTCAAACATTGGTTCAATTGAAGAGGTATACAAATTAGATTGGTGGTATCAAAGTTCATGCTGTAGAATTGTCCTACAGTGACACATGGCATGGTGGATAAGAGGTTGGTTAAGCAGATCAAATTAATATTACTAAAACTCTTGCTTCATTTTCAGCCTCGTCACCAGCCAAACATAGTGGAATTGATAGAGGCATTTTTTAAGTAATTTATTAAAATAAAAATGTATCTTGGTTTTGTCAGTGTTGATTGCTTCTCAAGGCCAACTGCTGATTTATTAACAACTAGCAGTAGAGCCCGGCATTGCCCGGGGATGTAACAGTAAGAGATAGATCAAGTATCAACCATCATAAAGACTGAAAAATAAAATTGACAAAGATTATTGTTTAAGGTTGGCAGACACATATGTCTTAATTAGTTTTTTTTTTTTTTTTTACGAATTGGTAAAACCCAAACTCAAACAAAAACATTGTTTTCAATCGTTATGAGTCTACCGATTGAATAGAATTTTATTATAAACAATTATCTTGTAAATGGAATTTTTAAAGCATTCTGAATGTAAAAATAAAGAAAAAAGTGTGCAAGACAATAAGAAACACTACCTGCAAAAAAAAAAATAAATAAATAAAAAAAATAAAAAAAATAAAAAAATAAAAGTGAAGTTTTGTTGAAATCAGTTGAAAAATGTAGGAAATCTGATCCCATATATAAACGAACACACACACACAACCTGGGTTTTATAATAAGTAAAACTCGATATGAGTTGTCCCCCTTTCATTCTTGCGTCAACAATGACTCTTAATGATGTTTTCAAATTGATTTTGTGCAAAAACAATTGTGTTTTTCCATTTTGGGCGCTGTCAGAACCACCGCAAGGTAATTTTACGTTGTCCTTGAAGTTTTGTTGAAATCAGTTGAAAAATGTAGGAAATCCGATCCAATATATAAACGAACAGACACACACAACCTGCGTTTTATAATAAGTATGATTATTGCCAAAAGAATCTATAAAGCCAGAGATAAGAAATGTGAAGCTCAAGCTGTTGCTTTGGATATCCCAAAAGGGTTTGGCATGCTGGTCTTCTTCACAAGTTGAAAAGTTATGGTAATTTTGGACAAATTTTGGAATTGGTTCAATCTTATCAAATTGTTAAATGAAAGTGGTCTTGAATGGCCACTCTTCTACATCTTTTTGCATTCATGCAGTTGTCTCCCAAAGTTCCTAATTTTCATTAATGACCTTCCTAATATCATTAGTTCTCAACTCAGTACCTATGTTGATGGCAATTATTTACTCGTTTTAATGGTAAGTCGAAGTGGCAGTTGATCTCAAAAATGATCGTCAATCTGTTAACTGAGCCAAAGAATGGCTTGTTAATTTTAATGTCTTCAAAATGAAACTGCTCTCTTTCAATTTTTTCAGTGGATCTCTTTTGCATTCCATCAACATGGATGATGCTAACCTCCCAGAGAGTGACTCCTTGTGCCTTATTAGATAAACATTTTCCACAGAATAGATGAACCATGAAATGAGGAACTCTTATAATCTATTTGTTTGTGTACAGGGTTTTCTGCATCCGGATACAGGTTTCCTTTGAAAATGTCACATGGTGAGGCAGTCAAAAATAGTCATTACCATACTTAACAATAGAGGTCAACAAGGCAGGGTTGAAATCATCTTTGAACATTCCAGACAAGCTTGCCAGCAAGTGGGCAGGGTATAGATGATGATTTAACCAGGATGACGTCTGGCCATTCAGTCAATGTCATCCCACAATTCACCTCCGTATTCTTCTGGTTAAAGGCTTCCTACTTTTCTCCATTTGGAAGATTTTCAAAGAAGCATCAATAAACACAAATCTCGCCTGCTTTCACAGATCTTTGTTCAGCTTCAACAATTCATATTTTTTCCATTTATTCTTAAACTCCTTTACGGTATTATCCGAGGAACTACATTAAAAGCAATATCAGGAAGAGTTAACAGATTTCAATCTGCAAGTCAGGTTATGAAA